AAAAGCGAAATCTGAAGATTTAAGTAGTTTTAAAGCCTCAGCAGGTTGCTTCAGATGTGGAAGCCAATCACATTGGCAATCATCATGTCCTAAAAATAAAGACAGAGGTGAATCATGGCGTGGTAGAGGTGTTTATATTAGAGGATATAATAGAAGAGCGAGAAGTGGAAGATCATATAGAGGTGGTGGTCGCAACTACAGGCAAAATGAGAGAGAAGACAGGCAAGCACATATGACAGAGGAAACAGAAGGTGAAGTACAACTTTATGCAGCAAACCTATGTTTAGAAACAGATGGTAAAATAACAATGGTTCTTGATTCCGGTGCTAGTAACCACTTTTTAAAGGAAGAACTCGAGAAATATATGGTAAATATCAGAAAACTAGATAGACCAGTAATAATACATATTGCAAATGGTGAAAAGTTGCAAGCGAACAAAATTGGAACATTGAAGACACAATGTCAAAGGCAGAAAATATCGATTGAAGCATTAATTGTTAAAAACTTAAAACATAATTTATTATCAGCGTCAAAATTGACATCAAAAGGGTACACTATAGTAGTAGAAAGAGATAAAACAACAATAAAAGGAGAAAGTTTTTCTTTGAAATGTGAAATGAAGAATGGGTTGTACCTGCTACAATTAGATGAGGTAAAAGATCAAGAACAGTGTAATGTCACAGTACAAGAGCAAGGATTGTGGCATAGACGTCTTGGACATCCAGGAAATGATGCGTTAATACAGCTTGGGTTACCAACTGAAAAGAAAATATGCTCTACATGTATGGAAGCAAAAGGGGTAAGGTGTTCTTTTAAAAACAGTGTAAAAAGGACAACAAAAATAGGAGAACTAATCCATACAGACATATGTGGTCCTTTTAATCCAACTGCATATGATGGTTCCAGATATTTTCAGACAATCATTGATGATTACTCACATTTTACCATAGTAAAGACACTGAAGACTAAGAATGAAGCTGAACAGAACATTAAAAACTTTATTGAGGAAGTTGAGACACAAAAAGAAGTAAAAGTTAAAGCTATAAGAGCAGATAATGGAGGTGAATTTGTATCGAATACTTTTAAGGTATTTTGCATGAACAAAGGAATAGCTTTGGAATATACTATGCCCCATACACCACAAGAAAATGGAACAGCTGAACGAATGAATCGGACTTTATTAGACAAGATTAGAACAAAAATCATAGAATCAGCAATACCTAAAACACTCTGGTGTGAAGCTCTAAAATGCTCTGTTTATGAGCTAAACAGACTCCCTACAAAAGCATTACAAAGAGGAATGACACCTTCTCAAATCTGGAATAATAGGAATGATCTAAGCAAACTCAGAGTTTTTGGGTGCAGATCCTGGTATACCAAATTACCAAAAGGTAACAAACTGGATCCTAGAGCAAAGACAGTGGTAATGGTAGGCTATTGCGGTGGTGGATACAATTTATGGTCACCAGATGAACAGAGACTAATAAAATCCAGAGATGTTAGATTTGATGAATCAGTAATGGAATTTAAAGAAAGAAATAATAATAAAAAGCAAGAAACAAACCAGAAAACTATTAGTTTTTCAGAACAAGATAAAGAAAATGAAAATTTACAAGAAAATGACCAGAACATTGACCCAAATGAGACTTTATCAAACAGTTCAGGAGATGAATTTCAAGATTCAGGAAATGAACCTAACAATGAAATAGAAGTGCCAGAAACAACAACTACCAGAACTGGAAGAACAACAAAAAGACCAGGCTATTTGACAGATTATGACATGCATGTTGCTTACTGTTTGCTTACAGCAACAAGTACAGAACCAAGAACGTTTCAAGAAGCCAATCTACAAGATGAATGGAAAGAATCTATACAGAAAGAATTAAGTTCACACATAAATCTAGAAACTTGGTCTGAAGTTTATGTTTTACCAGAAAATGTGAAACCAATAGATACAAGATGGATATTTAAGCAGAAGGAAGATGGCACGAAGAAGTCCAGATTAGTGGCTAAGGGATTTCAAGTTCCATATAATGGAGAAGAATTTGATTATGCTCCAGTATGTAGAATTTCTACCATAAGGCTCATGCTATCCATTGCAGTTGAACGAAACTACTTAGTTGAGCAAATAGATGTGCCAACAGCATTTCTCAATGGAGAAATTGATACTGATGTTTACATCAAAAAGCCTGAAGGATTGGTGAGCAATTTTAAATTTTTCAAATTAAAAAGGGCACTATATGGTTTAAGAAATTCACCCAAATGCTGGAATATAAAATTTAACGATATAATGACGAATTTAGGGTTTATAAGGTCAAACTACGATTATTGTTTGTATCTAAAAGAAAATATCTACCTAGTTTTATACGTAGACGATGCACTCATAATGGGAACAAACGAACAAGTTGATACACTAATTCAAAATCTTTACAATGTATTTCAGGTAAAAAAAATGACAAAAATCCAATCATTTTTAGGAATGCAATTTGAATTTAAAGAAAATTATATTAAGGTCCACCAGACAAAAATGATCGAAAAACTTTTAAAAGAATTTGAAATGGAACAAACAAAACCCATAGCAACACCCATGGAAGTAAATTTCCATATCTCTGAAGAAGAAGAAATATTACAAAATGTACCATACCGAAGACTTATTTGCAGTTTAATGTACATTTCAATAACAACGAGACCTGACATTTGCCAAAGTGTCTCACTATTGAGCAGATACTTGGACAAACCGACAACAAGTGCATGGAATGCAGGCAAGAGGGTGTTACGCTATCTTAATAGTACCAAAAACTATGGGCTTACTTTGAAGAAGTCAAATACAGGTCTTGTAGGCATGTGTGATGCAGACTGGGGTGGAGACCGAATAACAAGAAAAAGTGTAAGTGGTTTCATAGCTTTCCATAATGACAACCCCATTGCATGGTTTTCCCGAAAACAGACTTGTGTGGCTATCAGTTCAATGGAGGCCGAATATGTAGCAGCAGCTGTAGCAGCGCAAGAGCTTGTGAATCTTAAAGGACTTTTGATCGAGTTTGGCAATTATCAGGAAGTGTTTTTGAAGTGTGACAATCTTAGTGCGATAGCTACTATGAAAAATTTCGAAAATTCCAAGAGGGGCAAACATATTGAAATAAAATACCACTTTATAAAAGATTTATGTTTGAAAAAGGTATTTACAATCAAATATGTTAGCTCATCTCAGAATTATGCCGATATGTTTACAAAATCTCTTTCAAAAGAAAAATTTGTTAATTTTCGAAATGGCATTTTAGCTAAATAAATTTAAGATTTTTTTTATATTAATGTTTTGGGCAATTTAATTTATATATAAAACTTTAAATTGAGGGGGTGTGATAAGAATGATACTCTATGTTATTATTACTCTATACTCTATGTATTCTGTGGCTAATCAGCTGAGATATAATTTAGAGGTTATGAGAATAATTATGTCTTGTTTAGAAAATTATGCGCATTTAATAATGTAAAAGGTTTTTCTGTCAAGTTGATCAATATAAAGTTTTTCCTAAACTATAGCGTCTATTTTCCACAAAAGATCCCACAAACCTCAACAATACTAACATCAAACGAAATCTCGTTTGTTTTATCTGAAAAAATAAAAAAGTTATAAGGGTGAGCCACTTTTGAGACGCACCCGGTATTATAAATATTTAGATATCTAATATAAGACATACATATCTACTAAACATATATTGAGAAGCAATCACGATGTCGTGACATAAAAAGATTGATAAAATCTTATTTAAAAGAACGTGTATCGTATATCCATTAATTATGATAAAGAAGCTTTTATTTTTAAATATTATACTTGTCAATATAATAAACATTTATAAACTCGAAACCTCTGGTATTTGAGGTATATAAATTTATTGTGCTGATCTTGGAAATTATCGGAACAGTGTTTTTTTGGGTCGCTCATCATGAATCTGACGTCGGATTGGCAAAATTCAAGATGGCGGATCCTATAAGGCCGACCTCAAGAACGGTGTGGGTCCGATTCGAATCGGCCCCTCGCCTACATGGTAGGCTATACTTGAGGTCGACATTATTTGATCCGCCATTTTGAATTTTGCGAATCCGACGTCAGATTCATGATCAGCGAGCCAAAAAACACCCATATACAAACTTTTGTCCGTGCCTTTTTTGAAATTCGCATCGGCCATATTGGATCCGCCATTTTGAATTCTGCCAATCTCACGTCAGATATATGATCAGCGACCCAAAAAAACTCTATACCGATTTTGTTTATGATCCGAGCGATTTTCGAAAATCAAGACTTGGTGGTAGGTTTTTGGTTTGGTTTTAAGGTTAGAAAAATTATGAGACATGCTAGCTCAATTCTTATGGGTGTTTTGAGTTTATCAGTCCCATTTACATGAGGTTATAGTGTTATACACGATTTTTTTTTATTTTTTCCTACTTCATTTTTCTGAATTTTTACGGATTTTCACCAAGTTTTTGAGGATACAAAAAAAAACAGATGTGATGGCGTAATTCTGATAGCGGATTCGTGCTCAGCATCGAAAAACACTATAGGATATGATGGTCTGAAGATAATTCTCCTTACTCTTCATACACTAATAATATAAAGATTAAAAAGACTACCCCATTTAAAAAAAAATATTTTTAATCAGTGTAAAAATAAATTACAACATTTTTAAGGCCAACTGGCAATAAGCTTTATATATAAGCTTACTGCTTATTAAAAAGCAGGAAACTTTTATAAACTGCTTATTCTTACCTAGCTAATTAAAAAATAAAGAAGAGTACGGACCAAATAAATGACGTCTAGTGCTCGACCTCGCCAAAATTATTATCGATATTATTGTCATTTTCCAGCCGTCTTTAACGCCGTTGTTAACAACCGCCGGCAACAAACCATAAAATTTAGATTTAAAACGATTTTACTGTCACGCGGTAGATTTTCATACAGTTTTTAGTCTTAGATTATTATACCTGCTATCTTTTTTCAGTGAAATTCATGCCAGACAACCCGCCCGCCGCCCCCGTGGCCCCCGCAGTAGTGGTCGCCCCGCAGGCGGCGGCCCCCGCCCCCCAAGAGAGCGCCAAACCGCAGACGGGCTAATCGTTCCACGGCATTCTTCTGGCGGAGCCGTTCTCAAGGCTTTAATACAATAACGATAGGTTCTCGACAAGAGAGGAACAAATAGGAGCGATCACCCTCTCATATGTCAAAATGAAAGTCATCAATTTATCTTTTTTTGTCTCTAAAAATATCATGTGGTCTAATTTATATGACGCCAGGGTAAGCGTAGAATTGATATTCTTTAGGTTCAGCTATGTCTATGGCTAGTTAAATGAGGAGCAGTCAGACAAAACGTGATACATTCACTTTTAGGCAAAATAACTTAATGATTCTTACGGGTGAGATAAATCCTGTGATGTAATCAGTTTCAACCAAATCTCTTTAATTCCCATTTAAAATCAACTTCAAAGTTTTACTTTTATTAGATTGTATTAAAAAGCCTCTTTTATTTTTCTTTTAAATACTTAAAAAAAGTTAGTAAATCATCAAGCAAATTAAATAATTTGGTGGGGTATTTTTGGTTAGCTCTCTTATTGTATATTATCGTTGTGACTTTTGTATAAATAGTGTTAACTATAAATACCTGTATAATAATTAAAATTATATTATGCTGCATAAATGTACAATATTTGCTATTATATATACCCTGTTTATATTAAAAAATAACACTCACTGGATATTTGAGTGCCGTTTCCACCAAACGAATTCTGTTTGCAAAAACACAGACCTAGAAAAACTCTTTGGTCTGTCTGCCGAGCTACGGGTCTTCGGTGTTGGAAATCGATGATAAACTTTGAATACTATCATTGATACTTTCCGAAGTTCAGCGATATAGATTGATGATCTGAAATGTCATTTCAGCGCTTACTGCGACGCCGTTCTCATTAGTTTTCGAAAAATGTTATTTAAACAAGCAGTTGATTATTATACTTCACAGATACTGTTTAAAGTTATTATGGCAGTATAATTTTTATTGTATAAGACTCTCACTTTTATTGCTCAAAAATATGTAAAAATATTTTCCTGAATAAACAGAATATACATGTATTAATATAACATGGGCCTCATATCTTAACGCGTTATGAAAGACACTATTAAATGAGAATTAAAATGAACTTGGTCTCTTACTATTTAATTATAACTCTATAGTTAACTATTTCAGGGGCATTTAAAAAAAATCTTAACCATTTAACTACTGGTTATTTAGATGTTGCTTTCTAGGAAAATTTGTTTAAAAATACCAAGGCTACAGTTCCCTGACTTTTACAATGATACATGAGAGGGTGTGTGTGAGTTTTTACTTTTTCTTTCCAATACGAGTAAGTTGCTTCAACATTGTTCAAATTCTCTTCCCAGATAAAAGACAGATACGCTCTATCTTGTATAATTTTCTTGTTTGATGCATACTGTGCTACGAAACAAACGCATAAGCAACGAGAAGCATTTATTGTTCGCTCCGTTTAGAATTCCAATGGCGCGTTATTTAAATTTACTACAAATTGGTTTTGGAAGTTCAAACGTAGGTCTTTGATAGGTTTAGCTACAAGATTTCTGTTGACCTGATTTAACAGTCAGGTAAAAATTTGATTTCACTTACTTTAGTGAGGCACCGTATGATCGAATAAATACGACGTCAGCGATAACTATGAAATGACAATCGATGACATTTCCCATATAATTTCATTTCATAGCCATCGCTGGCGTCGTTTTAATTCAATCATACGGTATTTTAAATAGAATATTTTTTGGCTCAAGAATAACAAAGGACCAAGAGTCAATCTCTCAGTCACAAAAATATATTTTCTTTTAGTTAGAAAAATACTTCTTAATAATAACGCTAGACAGTTTTTGGTAGTCTAATTAACCCCTTCAAATACATATGTTTGAAACCCTTTAGCAAAACCAATAATGGTTAACGTTTGATACATAAATAATATCGAAGATTATAAAAATATTTAAATCCTACGTTGACTTGCGTCTAGATTTTAAACTAATATGTACTTAAGAAATGGCTGGACAGGTTGGAGAAATTCTATTGGCTAATGTACGTTCTGGTTTGTAGAGAAGTGCGATTTTCCAATGAAGTTTCTTGTAGATATACGGTGGTAGGCAGTGTATAGGTATGTTTTTAATATTGTTATTTTGTAAAAGTAGAGGTAATTTTATCAAATAAATTTAATGTAAATTTTTGCGAAAAACTCTTTTCTTTGAATAAATAAATGCAAATATTTTAAAGGGTTAAAGAAAATATTTTTTCCTTTTTTAATAAATCAGACGCAAATAACCATAAAGTAAAATGATCAAAAGGCTTTGGTTTGGTGTACTTTTTAAGCCAGAGTCTCATGCATTCGAAATCCGATGGTACGACACCCGAAATTTGAAGTTAACCTGTGAAATAAAAAAAGCCTGTCACATACATCCGAAAGTTCGTTCCGAAATTTGACAGTTTTGGCATTTAGACCTGTCATTTCCTATCAACAGTATCAACATTATTACATGTATTATTGGAGAAACACTTATAAAAATAACTTCCTCGCCAAATATCCCGAAATTGCCCCCTTCCCACTAAACTTGTTTATAAAAATCAATGTTTTCAAAAAAAGTGAGGTTAAAAAACACACGATATCGTACAAAAGTTAAACAAAATTTAACTTTATACGACGTCGGACGATTAGTTAAAAATATCGGATAAAAATTGGTGTCAAAATATTTCGACCAATAGGAGCACCGTCGGATCGTCGTGTCATCGGATTTCGGATGCATGAGACTCCGGCTTTTTGCTGACAGATGAACAATCATCATCAGAAATTACAAAAAAACATGTGCCATTTCTCGGAGGGAGATTCCTCACGTAGAAATAAGATTTATTTTTTTATATACACAAGGTCCGATTCTACTTTGTTTTGTAGCTACACTGGGTTAAAATCTTCATTTTTTTTTGATTTAATATAATATTGTTGCTCGAATGAAATTTTGACGGTAGATAAGTGCTAGAAATTTTATTGCTAAAAAGTGTCAACAGATTCACTATAGGGATGTGTATATATTATCTCTGAAATATTTTTCTAAAAGAAAGACATGACTTTTTTCTTTTGTTATCTATCAAAATTGTTGACCTTGATATTTTGCCGATTTCGACCTCCTTGGTGAGATAAACGTAATTTTAATAATCAGAATTAATAAAATTAATAAATTATTTATTTGATCAAATATATTATTAAATTTTATTAAAATTTAAAACACTGATGTTCAGTCGTGCTACCTACAGCAATTTCAAAAACAAAATAATGTCATTTACGACACAATTACAAAAGACTTATTTTTAAAAGTTTTAACATCCTGCAACTTTAACTGTGACAAGTGCCTTGTTGCCAAGTCGTCCGAAAATACCTAAGTGATTCCAAATCGGTTTCTTTTGCGTTGTACTATCTAGACAGATCTAGATTTGTTACTGTTAATTAAAATACCACTTTATATAGGTACTTAAATGATTATAAATATAAATTAGCGAATTTAAAATATTTGCATTTTTTTAAATGGCACTCATCATTTTTCTTATAATTCATTTTTTGGAATTTCACTCTGTCATATGAAAATAACGAAAAAAAAAAAACGTTTTATAAAAATATGAAAACCATCATCTTTGTAAAATTAACGTAAATAATACAATTTTCTGAGCTTATATAAATAATAAAAAAGGATGCTATTCTTTCCGTTTCTAAGAAATATAATAAAATTATTGTTAAAGAACATGGATTAACTCTTTTTGAAATGCAGCTCAACAACTGACTTATTAAAAATATTAAACGACAATATTTCCTATTTGATTTTGGTTAACGCTTAATTGTTACAACTAAAACTTAAAGAAAACGTTTTATTTAATAAAATCTAATGATACTACTCTTGTAATATACTTTTTTTATTTGTAACATTTGTATAATGCATAAACATAGAGCTTTAAAGTCGATTTTTTCAGCATTTTTGTAGAATTATTTTCTATAACAAATCGTTATTGCTAATATAGGTATTAATCAATATTTGAAAAAAATCTTATTTCTTAAAAAAAATTATTTAAAACATTTATAACGCTTTAAAATATTAATAGTGAAAAGAAGTAGATTGTTTATAACTATAATCTACCTTCTTTTCAGATAATTTTATATACTGATTTGAATTTAAAAAAATACGTTGACAAAAAAACACTGACAAGTTTGAATAAGACTTGTTCAGGGACACTAACAGCTGTATATGTATGAATAATATTTTTGATTATTTATTGTTTTTTTTTTCAGGATCTTTGTACTGTGGAAGATTTGGATCATGTTTCAAATTAAAATTAAACTTAATTCATAAAACACTAGCTAATTTAGGTTAGTATGTAATAAAAGAAAATATGTTCCAAATCTTTTTTTTTTTAATTAATTTATGCAAAGATGTTTTTTTTTTGTGTTAGAATCATATATTAAAGGTATAATCTTATTGCAATCCTTAAAGAAATATATAAATTATCACCCTGTTATGTTGCTCTTATATTTATACTTTATATCAATACGGCTATTTGAAGAAAATTAAACTTAGGAGATTCTATGTAATAGACACAAGTTTTTAGTGTTATTGTAAAGTGAATGTGTATATTAAATTCCTAAAAATATAAATATGATCTTAATAGTGTTGTTTAATTAATGGCCTAATAAAAATACATGTGATTAACTTTTTAATCCTTTATTTTTTCTATATAAACTATATTCGTACTGTAATTTTGACCATATACCTTTGCACATTCTAACCAATCTTTCATCAACTATAATTGCACACTTTGATGTTACATACTCGGCTTCGATAATTTTTGCAGCTAACTTATATTTCTTCTTTTGAATTAAACTAAGGCTTAAATATAAACGGCATCGTGATGCTATATTTGGATCTCCTAGAAAAGTTACGAACTGAATCAACTTACTGATAGATTCAAAAGAATTTATACCTAGCCTTATTGCCAATTTTAACTGATTAACAGAAATTTTTCCGGCAGTGTCAGCGCATTTTTCAAAGTAATCTCCCAAAGCTGAAAAAGCACCACCCAATGTTGAAAGCCAGCTAAGTGCATGATCTAATTCACATTTTTCTCTAATTAGAAAGCATACATGCTCATTCCTAAAAAAAGAAACAAAAACTAAGCTATAAGTTTCATATATACATATTGTGTATAGATATACCTACCATCTATAATCTATTAAGTCTCTTTTAGTTTCTTGCAATATCAAATTCCTTGGTAAAACGTCCGAAGTATTTACAAATTTTAAAAAATTATTCCTATATATACAACTTAGGATAAGTTCTTTAATAAAATAATGCACAAATACACAATCTAGATTTAATTTGCCTTTTAACACTTCTTTTCCTTCATTTTGGTTAAAATCATTCAAATTTAACACTTCTCGATTATCCAACAGTACTTTACCATAATAATATTTATCAGGGCTTAATATTGTAAGAATTAATGGACACATAATTAGGTACTTAAAATTTAACCATTCTGTGAAAGATGATAGTATAATCTGGTATAATTTAGATATTTTTCTGCTTTTACCAATAATAAAAATGTATCAAAAGAAGGCAATTTTTTGGTTATAAATTTGAAAACTAATGAAAACTGACATGAAACTGACAGATGCATGACAGATGTAAACAAATTTTTAGGGCAAAAATAATACTCTGTGGGTCTGAACAGGAAAGGAAATAAAAATTTAAATATTTTTATTCTAAATACATTCAAATATCAAACTATGGGGTATTACCAACTATGGTATTGTAAATTGATAATGTTCTTTGCTTAATGTGTTTACTTGTAAATTATAATATTAACTAATTAGTTACTAAAAATATCCAAAAATTAGCGCCAACTTGTAGGAACTTTTGATTTCTGGTTTAGTTTTTTTTGGTTGGTGACATTAAAATAAATGCGTTTGATTTGTGGCGTTTTTTGCAAACAAAATAAGCCGTTTTAAAAATCAAGTTTTTAACTGAGATTTTTGGTGGCGTTAATAAAAACTTTGGATTACATGATTCCCGAAAAATGGATAGAAATTATTCACGGAAAATGCAAGAAGGGGGTTTATTTTAGAAGGACGCCATTTTTGCAAATGTAACTGTCAAAGCTAATAGAAAGGTCTGTGTCAAATGAGTAAACATAAATATTATGAGAATTTAAGGAAATTTAATGGAAAAACTATAATTGCGAAAGAAGAATTAAACGTTTGAGATATTGTAATGTGCCTGGATGTTTTAAGAAACATCAACTACATTTTTCAGGTCATATTTAACAATATGGATATATGAAGGCCTACTTATTAGGATTCACACTTCCATGGAGCCCAAGGCGATGTAAATGGACAAGCACAAGGTTGGGATTATGATGCAAAGTGCAAAAAAGGTGCCCATAAGCGACATCAACGAATGTATCACTTGTAAATTGTGTAAAGGCTATTTTATTGATGCTACCACTATCATTGAATGTCTTCATACATGTATGTATATTTAAACTGTAGAATAGAAAATTAGTCAATTTCTGTTTTAACATAAATAACAATTGTATATTTACAGTTTGTCGCAGTTGTATTGTGCGATATTTGGAATCTAATAAATACTGTCCAATCTGTGATGTTCAAGTTCATAAAACCAAACCGTTGCTCAACATTAGGTATGACAAAACTATACAAGATCTCGTCTACAAACTGGTTCCAAGATTATATTGCAGTAAGCATTATATTACGGTATCATTACTTCTGAGAGAAACTACATTAATATTTGTAGATGAAATTAAAAGAAGAAAAGAATATTATGAAAGTCATCCAGAAGAAAAGCCTACGGTATTAGAGCAGACTTTAATGTCACAGTATGAATATGTTTTAGCCCCGGAGGAGTCAATTAATCTCACTTTAAAATACCATGGATGCAGTGAAGGTGTGCGGTAAGTGTATTTTTTTAAGGTTACAGGATCTATGAAAACAATTTATTAAAAAGATGAAGGTGGAAACATGGAAGTTGCTGAAAAATACAAATTGCATATAAGTTGGGATTTGTACAACTTCAAAATTGTCAACAGAAAACTGATAAAGTTTCTGTCTTTAATATACTCTCCCCCTTTTTTATTCAATTATGGTTGAATAAAACAGTTGTATTTTAAATAAAATAGAATTAAACTTCTTTATTCATAATTATTGTATATTAAAAGTATAAAAAGAAGGTTATCAAAATAGCCTCTGGAATGTTTTTTGTTATTGTAAATTTTATATCAGAATTCCATGAGTGATATTACATCTGCTGGAATTTTTTTTCGGCCATTCAGTGCTGGCAGTTCCATCACAACCAGGCATTTTGAAACAGTTCCTCCCAGCTTTTTAACTAGCTCACATGCAGCTCCTAGAGTACCTCCAGTTGCTAGTAAGTCATCTACCACCAAAACTATCTGTCCTGCTTTTATTGATTCTTCTTGGATTTCAACCGTAGCCTGCAGAAAATGTTATGTCAATTATTTTTTAGTAGTATTATTTAAATAACTCACCTCACCATATTCCAACTCATATTTGTAACTCTGTACCTTCCCAGGTAGTTTACCCTTCTTTCTGATAGGGACGAATGGAATGTTCAGTTCTAGAGATATGAGGGGGCCTAATAGAAAGCCCCTGGCATCTAGGCCTACCACAACTTCAACTGGCGGACATATTGTCTTGGCAGTGTCGATTAATATTTCTTTCAATAAGGTGGATGCTGAAGGGTTTGATAATATGCTAAAGAGGTCCCTAGTAAAACAGATAGAAATTTCTTACTATAATTTGTTGGGAAAATAGTATTAGTGGGTGATTGAATGAGTTATTTTGTTTAATTGTTTTGAAATTTTTCAAGACAGATTCTAAGTAAGTTCAGTAAGTAGCCGATTCTTAATAAAAACTAATTTTTGTTTATAAAAAAAAATGAATGGGCAGTGTGTGTCAATAGATCTTTTTTTACACTCTTGCCATGGAACAACAGCACGACAGAGTTTCCAGACGGTCACCCGTCCATCCACTCGCATCGTCTAACGTCGCTTAACTTCGATGATCCATCGGGAGCCGGAGGTTCGACGTAGCTGGGCCGTTGCCCAATTTTTAATAATATGTATTGGAATTGTGGTACTCCCTGTATAAAGCTAATAACTTATATAGAAACGCCAAATTGGAAACATTTAGATGAAAACCGGATTTTTTTCGCATTTATTTATGTATTTACACCATGTATGTACATAATTTTTTCGAGACTTTCTTTTTTGGAACAATTTGACACTGGTATTTTTACCAAAAATATTTATTTGTATGTGGCAACATCGGTTTATGATTTTTAAATCGCGTGGATCATCAAGGTCGGAATCACCGTTTTTGTCTGGATGTGCATTTTGGGAAAATATCGATACTAAATTATGGATCTCTAAATCCATTTTATAGTTAAATTATTCGGGTCTGGTCCACTTTCGGTACGTCAAAATTTTAAAATTTTCTATACAGAATTGAGAAGAGGAACACTTATAATGACATTTTCTAACAAAAAAAGTGCGGATCGTCCATAAATAACACCAAAAACAAACCCCCCAAGAAGAATGTTGTAACCAATGCAATCAAAACTCAGTTACGGCGGACGTTTTTACCATTGTGATCCTCTTCTCAACCTTTAACACAGATCAAAATATAATATATATTCTTATGAGCTTAATATCGCTAACGCTATTTTTCAAAATTAATAGGAAAGTATAAATAAAATAAAATTCCGATTTTCAATATTTCATTGTTAAGCGTAGTTTACACGGGCAAGTAAATTATCGCAGGTATATGTCTGAGAGCACTTCTACCAAACTTGCATAATGTAAACAGTATCCGAAAGCACTCTCCCAGCAAGTCACAAAATTGGCGGGGAAGTGGTTGCAACGAAAGACGCTTGCAAGTGTAAACAGGTTGGGAGAGTGCTCTGGCAAGTTAAAATTTATTTCCGTCTTGTTGAAAGTTTTTGGTGCAAGTGATTTTCGAAGGCGTGTTAAATAACGATATTAAAATGGAGAAACGTATGTGGTAGAAAGAAGATACAATCACTTTGATTAATTTATTTGAAGGATTTCCGGAATTGTGGCAAAAAAAATCGAAAATTTACAGAGATAGAGCTCAAAAGCAAAAAGCAATCAAATTTATAGCTGTCAAATTCAACACAACTGAGGCTGAGATTCAGCGGAAACTACATAGTATTCGTACTTAAGCAAACCAGGAGTGGAACAAAATTATAAAAAGAAAAAGTAAAATCGACTTCTGACATTCGCAGAAAATTGTTTAAATGCTTTGGGTCTTCATTTCTTATTTTTTTAATAACATCGCGTAAGCTCCAAGACTAGGCCTTCTGGCAATCCATTCTTTAACCCATATTCTTTTTCTAGATTTTCTTGACTGTTTGCGTAAAATTGCAACAAGAAGAGCAGTGGCTGCAGCTCTCTTTTTACGGCGCGACATTTTTCTACTAAACAATATACTTGTGCAATATACACCATACCGTGTATACGTGTATGCAATTTCTTGCTCAAAGCATATAAAAGCATATGCCTAGAAGGTACTTGTTGCAAAAAATTGCTTTAAAATTTGCTTAAATGTAAACACTATCGCAAGTTACTCTAGCAAGTTCTATCGCAATTTTCTATCCCGTGTAAACTACGCTTTACCGCCAGCGATATACGCAGACGCGAGCAAAAGACAAATAAACCTAAATCAGCGTCTTCCTTGTCACTTTTATTAAACTTAATAAGGAAAGCTATATTCTAACCTCAAAAAATAAATAATTTTATTGCAGAAATCTCAAACATTTAGCCGAGTATTCGTACGATCCGTATTTAAAACGTTAAAACATTAATTGTAGAATATATTAATATCAAATTTACATCAATAACTTGAAGATTGACGTACCTAAAGTGGACCATCACCAATAATTATTCATTTATTTGTTGCCCTTGATGAATTATATTTAATATTATTCATCTGCATATCTGAACTATTTAACTTTTCAATTCATTTTAAAATTTTAACTTTCAACGTTTATAACAATATCGACAGTATAATTTCGATAGTTCTCGACATCCCTAGTCATTTGTCATCCTCGCTCGATTTTTTAGGTTATTATCTGTTTAATTGTCAATAAAATAAAAAATAATGAAATTTTCCAAGTTTCTTTTTGGAATCTGCCTGTTTCAATTGCAAATACGGAACAAATTGAATGTTATGTAACGAAATCCACTTACCAAAAAATAATTCCCGGTTTAGGAAAGTCCGGATAACTTTTCACCGCCTTCTTTAATTCCTCGAGTTTATCTTGTTTGCTCATCGCATCTAATTACAGCCAAAGTCACAGCGTCTAATTTGATCGTAGGCTGTCTTCCAATTGAACAATGTTTCAGTAGGTTTGCCTGATTTTTTATCTGCTACAAGGCGATAAGGTTTTTAAGTGTTATTTCCGCCGAAATTCCAACAAGTGGTTTGGGTTTGTTTACATCAGCGTTGCTACGATCGTACGGCAAAAAACTCCTGAAGGAGAGGGAGTACCCATGGGAGTACCTATAGGAGATTAATATTTCTATTGTCATTATTGAATTGATGTTCTCATTTTTTTTAATTTACCACAAACATACACGCAGGGTTGCCAAATGTCCCGCCATAGGGGAATAGACTCGCTTTTTGTTAACGAATCCCGCTTATTTAAAATTAATTCTCCGCTTTTTAAGTATATTAACCCGAATTCTCTCTTTTTCACTATTCAGCAATTTAAAAGTAATTTTTTAATTAACCATAATAATATTAGGCAATGTATAACGGGTACGTCTCAAAAGTGGCTCACCCCCTATAACTTTTTTATTTTTTCAGATAAAAAAACGAGAATTGGTAATATATTAGGATTGATTGACGTAGAATAGACGGTCATAAATTAGGATTGATTGACGTATTCAATTGTTTTTGGTCACTTCCTGTTTCACCGGAAATTATTACAACTTTTGATTTTTAAATGGCACCCTCGGTATTTTTAAAATTCAATCTAGAGTGTCATTGCTATGTTAAAAACACCAATTCTTCATCAATGAGCAATGGAAAATAGATTTGATAGCCTAACGGTTTTAGTCTCTTGTCCTGGCCAGTTAGAAAATGCTCAAATCGTATTTTTAATCATATCTCAATTTTTTCAAACGGAACGAGGGCTCATTAGCATATTTGGAAAAAGCATTTTTTTACGAATAATTTGATACCACACACTTGTTATTTCGAGTCAAATTTTCGTTACTAACCGCAAGTTATAATTTCAAATAAACCAGATGCGAAAATGTCAAAAGTTGACATATGATATGTCATTCAATTCAGAGTGTTATTTTCTATCGAATAAAGTAAAAAAATAACGAGGGTGCCATTTAAAAATCAAAAGTTGTAGTCATTTCCGGTGAAACAGGAAGTGACCAAAAACAATTGAATACGTCAATCAATCCCAATTTATGTCATACTAGTTGAATCCTGGCGCATCCGCCACGACATGCGACATCAGGAAAAAAAACTTTTTATTTTTTTTTAATTAAATGAAAAACAAAAAATCCGGCGACGACAGTTTTTAGAAGAGCCAATTAGCTATCTTTTAGTAAAAAAAGCAACTTTCTAGAGCAAGTCGTTACTTCTGTAGAGCCGACACAGATAAACATTAGCATTTTATATATGTAGATACTAACATACCAAATCTCGTTTTTTTAACTGAAAAAATAAAAAAGTTATAGGGGGAGAGATGTATATATGAGCCACTTTTGAGACGCACCCGGTATAGGAAACATACAGAAAAATCATTAAAAGAGAATAAAATAGATATAGGAAATATAGAATGTTCAGCCATCGTTCACCGTCACGTCATATATTTTGTCGAACTCTCTCAATCACTTGCCAACCAGATGAAAGAGATCGGTGACGCCATTACGGTATTTCGTAAATTATTGCATATTCTTTTTAGTAATCGTCATTGTCATTTGATCTGGGGTTATAATTTTATTGACGGACCTCGACCAATGTCAAAATTTCCTTTTAGAAATTGTCATTGTCATTTGATTTGAGGTTATAATTTTATTGGCTTTTTTTCTTTTTGTTTTTGCGATGAATTTTATTGTGGGTGTTGTTGGTCGACATTCGTAATAAGGCCGTTTTTTGATTATGAGGATTTGGCAACCCTGGTGAAGGAGTGGGAGTAGGTACCTAGGAAATTTAGTAGTTGTGTCGTCACTAATGATGTTCCAATTAAACTTAAAAATTGTGTTTTTTATTTACTACATAAACATACATGGTTGGATTATTATTACTAATAAACATACTGAGTGTTTTTCAAAAGCGTTTCAGATAAAAAACGAAATTTGATATATTAGTATATCGAACCGGCATCTCTGGCCTTGGGTGCCAATTTTCATGTGTACGACGAGTATGGTCAATACCGCTCAATAGTAAGATAAAATAAGAAGTAAATTAAAATAAGATAAAGAAAGAAGAGCAAGTATCAATCCCGATCGCATGAAATCTGGCGTCCTATTAAGTGATTATGTAATATAAATTCTCTCGCTTTTTTGCTCTTTCCGACTTACTAGATCGCCATAGCGATTCACTCCTAGACATGTAAACTCCGACCTAATAGCCTAAGAGCTGACGACATATTTAGAGAACATATTTTAGGCAAGCTAGAATAACTAAAAATGTATAGTTTATTAACTGGTGAACCCAGAATCCTAAGTCTGGCTGGGGGGTTGGGGGTATTTCGCTACTGCGCAACCCATAACATTTGCAAAAAAATAAACCCAAAAAACATTCTTTAGGCAACTTGAAATTTGTTTATTCTTAAATTTTAGCATCTATTTAGCCTAGAAATAGAATGTAGAATGTTTAGAAGGGGAGTTAATCACCGCGACCTTATAGATCTATTGTGTGTTCCCCTTTCTTGAGTTATAACGAGTTATAACTCATCATACAGTCTCAGGGCTTTAAGAAAAGCCAGTATCTGAGACGGCTCCACAGAGGCCAGCTCTCCATCCTCGACATCAGACGTAAAAAATATGTATTAATTGCCAGACGAATTCAATGGGATTGCCAGACGCGAATAAAGAGTTTAAATGAGCGCGATAAGAAAGTCTTATGAGTATCTATAAACGCGAGAAAGATAGTTTATTGAGACCCGTCGGCAGCCGATGCGGCTGACGTAACAGCATTTTGGAGTCGTAAAAATTTAAAAAAAAACTAACTAATATTGAATAAATAAAAAGAAATATTTTTTAATAAAAATGTATGATTGAAATCCTTTCAATAAGAAGACTTTTTAATTTAAGTATTTTGTATCTGAAAGAATAAAAAGACGAATAATTATTTAAAAATTAGCATAATATAAAATATATTTTTTTCAAACGTCACAAAAGTATAATTATTATTATTTTTTGCGACCTGATTGACAGTATAAAAAAGTCATTTTAACGCCTAAGCATAAAAGTAAAGCACTTTTACTTACTTTTGAATCTATTTAGAAAGATTAACAATGGTACTTTAATAAAATTCCAGAATACTTATTTTTTTAGCACTCATGGTACTCTTTTGTCGGGACTACGTTTTCTGGTAATACCACTTCTTTAAATTTTAAACCATGTTGTTGGCGCACTTATAAAATTATTTGCATTTTTGTAGTCTGCCTTCATCAAAAAACAATAACTTTGTCACTAGTAACTTTCTACAAAATACAACTTAAATGTTTTTTATCCATTGTGATTTAGTAGTTAGTAGCGAAATCAGTAGTTACTAAAATATTTATTTGCAGTAATTATTCTAAACTATTTACGCTATGCACGTCAATATTTAATTTATAAATACATATTTGTACATGGTAACTTAATTCCAACAATGTAATCTCTGAATTAAAAGCCTGCAAATAATTGAGATGAAACCGAAAAAAAAATTGTTTTTATGAAAATTTGAAGTACTCCAAAATCAATTTGAAGTACTCCAAAACTGTTGTCTTTAAGACATGTCATAAGACTTTTTTGTCGCGCTAATTTAAAATCTTTATTCGCGTCTGGCAAGTATTAAATCCCATTGAATTCGTCTGGCAATTAACACATATTTTTTAATATCATCTAATAAACACACTGTAAACATTTTAGAATGCCTAAAGTATGTTTTCCAGGTATAACAATTAATTATATTTGGAATGGTCGGGTTACACTTTAAACCCGAAAAAAAAGTCTGGCATACTTATTTCTAGGTTAAATAGATGCTAAAATTTAAGAATAAACAAATTTCAACTTGCCTTAAGAATGTTTTTTGGATTTATTTTTTTGCAAATGTTATGGGTTGCGCAGTAGCGAAATACCCCCAACACCCCAGCCAGACTTAGGATTCTGGGTTCTCAAGTTATTAAAGTTTATTTTTTTTTGTTACTCTAATTTGCCTAAAATATGTTCTCTAAATATGTCACCAGCTCTCCGGCTATAAGGTTTCGCTTGCCAGTGAGGTATGACACAAATCAGGGTAGCACATACTTGGTATTTTGAGTTAAATTGTCGTTATGAACACAGCCATTGCTCTTTAGATTGGAATTTAAAATACTGTTTTTTTTAAACGATAATGTCAAAAGTTTTCTCAGGATGTCACTTTCTATCAAATTATATATATATAAAGCGGGGGTCCTACCTCCATATTGCTCGATTTTGCCATTCTTCCTGGTTAATAGCTCTGTCTCTCATGTACTGGTCTACTCCATCTAACCACGTAGTTGTAGGTCTTCCTCTTTTCCTTCTGCTTTGGGGACGATACTCCATTGCCCTTTTTAATATCTTTCCCCTCCCATTCTTTTTACATAGTAGCTGTCTCGATTCGATGTTGTCGGTGCTGGTATATATTCGCCTTGTTCTTTGCCTGATCTCCTCATTTCTAATATGTTCCATCCTTGATATGCGACATGCTCTTCTGAGAAAGTCCATCTCCACTGACTCGACCATCCTTCTTTCTTTTGCTGTAAATTGCCAGCATTCGGCACCGTATGTTAAAATTGGATCTACGATTGCTTTGTAAATCCTTATCTTTGTTTGGATGGATGTTTTATTTGACCACAGGAGAGGTTTTAAAAGACCGATTACTTTCTTACCTTGTTGAACTCGACTATGTATATCTTTCTTGGAGTTCCCTTCTTCAGATATAATACTTCCTAAATATTTATATTCGCTACATCTTTTAATTTCATGTATGTGTAGTTCAGGATCTTCAGTTTGTTCTTCTCCTACTTTCAGGTATTTGGTTTTTGTGAGGTTGATATTGAGTCCCCATCTGTCGTATTCTTCCTCAAGTTTCCTCAACATATAGTCGGCATCCTCCTCACAACCTGCAACAATAACTTGGTCGTCTGCAAAGAACAAGGTCGATAGACAGTGGTTGTCAATCTCTATTCCTATAGCTCTACTCTTCCTTCTCCGGTTTTTCAATACCTTCTGGATATATATTTTAAATAAGGTAGGTGATAAACTGCACCCCTGTCTAAGTCCTTTAGATGTCAGGAAGGATTCCGATAGGAACTTCCCCTGACTTCCCCTTCTATCAAATTAAGTATAAAAATACTGAGGGTACGAGGGTACCATTTAAAAATCGATATTTGTTGCCATTTCCGGCGAAACAGAAAGTGGCCTAAAATAGATGAATACGTCATTCAATCCTGATTAATGCTATATACAGGGTGCTACAAATTCGAGGTACGAGCATTGGTATCTCGGAAACCGTAATAGATACGAAGATGGTTAAATTGGGGCAAAGTTGCGCCTTGAGATGTTAACAAGATGACATCAAAAAAGTTTTAAAAAGTTCGAGGATTGCTGAGTTTTTTCGAAAAAAAACGGATTTTTTTGAAAATCAATTTTATTTTTTCCTGTTGTTACTTTTTAGAAAATCAAAAAACTAATTCCACATTCTGATAGCCATTTATTATTATAAATATTAAAGATAATATTATAAATAAAAAAAGATAATTTGTGAGATACAGAGGCCAACTTATATTTTTTAAATACGGACCTGCATTTTTTATATCAAGTTTTGAAAGAACTCGGTCTCCTGATATGCCACACTTATACTTTATTTTTGTTTTGGGTACCTTTACAACAACAAAACTATTTAATTGTTATTTTAAATAATTTCAAGTCTGACTCTGGTTTTTTAAATTATTTAATCTGCTTATATTCATCGCAACATTATTGATCAGCGCTAATTAATAAAAAAGGGAGCCAATTGAAAGATTCAATTCATCGAGCCGATTAAAAGATTTAAATAATTATAAATAATATTCAGGTTAGCAATTTAAAGATATTATTTTTAACTTTTTTACTGTGAATTTGAAATCTCAGTGTACGATCTAATAATTTGCATAATATTAATCGTCATTATTATAAATTAATTAACTTCTACTAACTAGTTTCTAGTGCTCTACATATTCGAAAGGGTTATAACACCCTCCCTATTGCACACATTTATTTTTCGTTCAATTTTATTTATAGCTCTTGAAACAGATCTTCGGATTCTTCGGAATGCATTTTGTACTCTTTATTGTAAATGCTGAGATGTATTGATTTCACACACATATTATTTATTTTTTATGATTTTATTGCATTTGATTTTCCTTTATGCAATGTTTTACCCCACGTCATTATTAAGTTTGAAAGCTTATCAATATTGTAACGATGAATAGATTAAATATTTAAAAAAAACAGAGCCGGACTTGAAATTAGTTTAAATAAATTGTGCTCAAATTGCCGAAACAAAAAAAAATATTAAGTGTGGCATATTATTGTACTCAGGAGACAGAGTTCTTTCTTTCATACCCTGAAATAAAAAATGCAGGTCCGTATTTAAAAAAAAATAAGTTGGCCCCTGTATCTCACAAATTATCAGCTAATTTGAAAATATAAAAATACTATCAGATAGCCCTAATAAAGTGGCAATGAGAATGTGCAATTCGTTTTTTTTTCTAAAAAGCAACGACAGAAAAAAATAAAATTGATTTTCAAAAAAATCCGTTTTTTTTTCAAAAAACTCCACAATCCTTGAAATTTTTAAAGCTTTTTTTGATGGCATCTTGGTGAACATCCCAAAGCGCAACTTTGCCCCCAATTTAACCATGTTCGTATCTATTACGGTTACCGAGATACCAATGCTCGTACCTCGAATTTGTAGCACCCTGTATATACAGGATAGTCCGAACTGTATTCCGGAAACTTCGGCAGCATATTCTGCAGATAAAAATAAGTAAAAAAGTTCGTATAAATGTATGTCCTAAAATGCTTAGTTTCGAAGACACAGGGTGTAGAAGTTTCATTTTTATTTCGATTTTTTGCAAATAATTTCTGATGTAACGTCAATATTTCGATGAAAATTGGTGTGTGGGAGTTTCTTGACATGAGAAATTTGGATTTTGAAGTCAATATGACTCCTACTAGTAGAGGGCGCCACCTACATATTTTTTAACTGGTTTGAAGAGTAATAACTTTTCGTCCGTACCTGTAAAAAACTACTGAGTAAAAAAATATACATTTACGACTTTTTTTACATGAAAAATGTCTCTTGGTAAAAACTGCTACGAGTAATGGTTTTCGAGATATTTAGAATAGAAATTATCAATACCTGTCATCATTGACATAAATTAAACATGTTGACTAAATAGTTACTAGAGTCAAATCATAAATTTGAAATGTTTTTGTGCCAAATGTTCAACAGAAACTGTTTTATCATCATTTTTTGCAAAAAAAAATTATGATTAATTTAAAATAATAAAAATTTCCCAAATTTATTATTTCAGTGAAATAGCTATCTACTCAACGTGTTTATTTTTCGTCAATAATGACATGTATTTAGTATTTCCATTCTAAATATCTTAAGACCGGTTGTTCGTAGCGATTTTACAAAGAGATATTTTTTACGTAAAAAATCACAGAGATGTATATTTTTTCGCTCGGTAGTTTTATACAAGTACGGACAAAAAGTTATTACGCTTCAAAACAGTTAAAACACACGTAGATGGCGCCCTCTACTAGTAGGAGTCCTATTGATATCAAAATCAAATTTCTCATGTCACAAAACTTCCAGGCACCAATTTTCATCCAAATATTGACGTTACTCCAGAAATTATTTCGAAAAAATCTCCGAAACTAAGCATTTTAGGACATACATTTATACGAACTTTTTACTTATTTCTATCTGCAGAATATGCTGCCGAAGTTTCCGGAATACACCCTGTATATATGTTGGAGGCAGATGCCGAATTCGGCCTATGTCCGAAATAATTAGACATATGGCGATTTGTCCATACTAAACTTGCCAGATGCATGCAACTTCGTGGTTATAAATAGTCTTTATATAACTTCTTTGCGGAAGGGGTTAATCTTTTTTTGGTATAATATAACGACAAAAGATTAACACCCTCCGCATAGAAGTTGAAACCAATGCAATCAAAACTCTTCCGCGTAACTTTGTGAATATAGGTAGGTATATTTAATTATAATCGCCATATGTCTAATTATTTCGGACATAGGCCGAATTCGTCATCTGCCTCCAACATAATATATACTAACATATCGAATTTCGTTTCCTTGTCTGAAGAAATAAAAAAGTTATAGGGCTGCCGCTTTGGAAAAACATCCATAAAGAATCAGTTTTCATAGAGGATATGTTTCAGCTATCTAAGATGTCCCAGTGCAGTTTCAATTTTACACCTGAAAAAACTCGTCAGGGTGAAGTACGAGTTGACCGAACAACACAATATCGAGATCTTCTACGACCAAGACTGCCTAAATTCGTCGCTGTCTCTCATGGATGTCGCCTATATTTATTCATGGAAAAGGGTAAAATTTGAAGCTCAATCTTAACATTTTTGACCCTCTATTATGTTGTTTTTTAGAATACCCCTCTAGACTTAAGTTACAAAATTTATGAATGCCCGGCGAAAAAGGCGAAGCTAGATCAAGCGGTATCGGAGGATAACACTACAAACTCCCTGCAGAATAATAATAATTGGAAAGAGGTAGAGCTAAGAATAAGTGAAAATGGGGAAATGTCTATTACCGGGATTCGGGATTCTATGATTTTGGACGTTCCCGAAGACGTCGTAATAGCGGAAAAGAAAGACACCGAGGAGAACCAAAGAGAATCTGAAGAACCCGTTGAAGAAGTTAAAGTTGAAGAAAAAGTCAAAGAAAATGAGATAGTTCTTACACCCGTCGTGACTCAAGCTTCGCCTGTAAAAAAGGAGATTCCTGGTCTCAAGTTCATCGGTAAAATACCTGCGATTTCTCAGCCGAGTACTTCTTTAGATGTTTCTGTTGTTACCACCACCACCACCACTACTTCCAGCATCAGTATCGTTACTTCCACTACAACCTTACCGAAATCTTCATCGGAAATCATCATCACATCTAACATATCCATCATTCCGTTGCCGACGGGCAAAGCTACCTGCAACACTACGACGGTCTTCAGCACGATTAACAAGAGCATGTGCAGCACGAAACCCGCCGAGAAACCCCCGGTAACCGAACCTAGAGCTCCGAAAAGGAAAAACGAGGACTCGAAATTGGAGGAACTGGCACCTGCGTCTAAACTCCCCAAACCCACCATTCTGAACCACACGATCGGTTTGATGAATCTGTCGAATAATCATCCTTTGAAGAAGCACAAGTTGAACAGGAACGGGGAGATTTTGGAGAAGGTGACGGCGGGATTGAGCGCGAATAACGTGTCCGTTTTGACGAGCTCTAAACCGGTTGTGGTCAATAAAAATTCGACTACTGCAGGTGGTGCCGTAAAAGGTGGGGAGCAAAAGCCGGCCAATACTCCTTGTTACGCGCCAAAAGGGACAGTTGAAAAGAACGGGGACAAGGGAGAATACAGACGAGTATACTTTGACGTAAGTTTTATTAAATTCTTCCAAGGCTCATTTAACTAATATTTGCACTCGATCAGATTGATTGATATACGGTAATCGCAAAACATTTTCCGGTGCACGTCATCAATCATATCGAAATTGACACAAGCCTATACACCTGTCTAAATGAAATTTTGCCAAAAATGTTTAAATTTGTTGTATAATTTAAGATACCGAGCAGCTCTTCATTTTACTTCATAGAGATTGTAACAGATATTTTGTTTAGATTAAAACTGCAAAAATTAGTTTAAAGCGATTATTATTATCGCCATGTTGGTCACATTGCGCCACGATCAGCAACGTTGTCGTTTATTATTTGACAATAATCATGTCAGTCATTATTTTGTATAATATCGTTTTGTTGTTGAATCTTTGGGAGTAATTCTCTTTTTTTGCCATTTTTCATAATCTTTTTTTAAAATTTCTAGTTTTAAGCACAAATAATTCTTTTAAGAACTAAATTTTCGAGTTTTTGTATTGCATTTCTTGAAATTGTTTATCGAAAATACGCCGAAGCATTAAACAGTCGAATCAAAGAGCTTGTAGCTTGTGGCTTTCCTGATAAACTATTTTGAACGAGAACGTGAAAATAAAGGTCCTTTGTTACCCTTGATTGCAGTCAGAGAAGTAAGTTTGATTGATAAGCACATTATACCATTTTCAAAGTTATTTCTTATTTCGATTTGCAGGGAGTAATAAATATATTGTTTCCCAATTTTACATTAAGATTCATCTCATAAATCCATTACAATCTGGCTGCGCTGTCGCCATCGCTTGTCACTCAAAGTTGATCACGTGCATCGGAAATTGTTTTGCGATTACTTTAGTTGGCAACAGTGTTAGAGGGTTTTAGGATTGGTGATTGATACTGATGCTGAAGCAAATTTTAGTCATTTTCAATAAATCAATTTTTTTTAGTAATCATGTCAATTCACTGACATCAATTTTTATGACTAGTTGGCTTGGAAATGACGATCGATTACATTCCAAATATAAGTTTACATATAAAATGACAACGATCTTCATTTCGTAGCCATCGCTGACGCTGTTTTTTTTATCATATTGTACAATGTTATCAAAATTTATTACAAACATGTAACTTAACCTACATTTTTTAATACACTTATTCGATAAGTAAATTAGAAAATCTTCAGATTAAATATTTTTCATAACCACTAATTTCTCATTTTGTTTTGATAAGGGTCATTATGGAAAACGAATTTAAATATCGTCAATAATCATAATATTCTTTAATTTTTGATCTGTTTTAACGCTAGCGATAACAGACGATAAATATTCGAATTTCTTAAATTTATTGCCCACCAAACGAGAAAAATTAGATAACCAACTATTACAATCATTTTTGATCGCTCCATAGTACTTGTATGTCGCTGTATAAATCATTAACTAAATTTATTACAGTTTAGCACTCTACAGAAAACAACCGCCCCGCCTACTACTCACCATCCTCACTCTCACCAAATACCTATTATCACGCCCTCGCAACTTCCGCACAACCAAATCCTCAACGCTCTGCACTTAAAAACGACCCCCGCTCCAAACACCACCGCTCCTCCCACCGTAGCTCAGGACACGCCCTCGCAGCTGCCTTCCACCACCGCGGCGGCCAATCACGATCCGTGCCCCGCCCCCATGACCATCAAAACCAAACCGAGCACGCCCATCGGATACAAGACGTTGCGCGATCCGCCGAAAAGTTGGAACTCGCAGATCAATCTACAGATTGCGAAGAATACTATCGCCCAAAATCGGCAAAATTCAGGCGAACTAAAGAACGTTAGACCGGCGAAGTTTTTTAAAGGGAGGAATACTATGCCGCGATATTTAGGTGAGTATATACAGGGTCCGGCAATATACAGTGCTTTGGGCATCTGTAGCTCCTAAAATAAAAATCTCGGGAATTTTGTTTAAGTGCAAATCTAAAGTATGTACTAGGATGCATTTCAGGAAAATATTTTAACTTCTATAGGATGGTTTAAAAAAGTGTGACTGGATCGGAATGATTTTTTTAAATGGAACTCCCTGTATATTATGCATTTTTGGTTTCTTTTCAGATCATTTTGCATAATCCTAAGATATGAGTAAATATATTTCGATAGCTTCAGAGATATTAATAAATAAATAAAAACAACATATTTTCTGCCTTTCTTAAAAAAACGAATTTAAATACAAGAACTGTCCTGAAATCAAAACTATATTAGGTATTTACTTTAGATGGTCTGTACTTACTTTGCTATAAATATAATAATCGTAAATCATACAGTATGTTCAAAATTATACGCCGAATTTTCTAAAATATAAAATTACTTTTCTTGTTTTTTTTTAAATGGAACACCCTGTATATTTTTTTTCAATAGATGAAGAATTAAAAAATGAACATTTTTTGTATTTATATATTTTTCAAAATTTTTAACGGTTTCGCAGATATTTCAGTTTTATATTTTTTATGGCATTTTTCACAGTAAATTTTTATCGAAGCCACCCAGTGATTTTTGTCTCGTATTTTACCGTTGAAAGAGCCATATGAAATAATATTGCGTGTATCTAATGAAACAGTAATATACAGGATGTTCTATTTAAAAGAACAAAAAAATTATTTTATATTTTAGGAAGTTTGGCCTAGAATTTTGAACACCCTGTATGATTTAAGATTACTATATTTGTAGCAAAGTAGGTAAAGTAGGTATCACAACCATCTAAAGTAAATACCTAACATAGTTTTGATTTCAGGACAGTTCTTCTATTTGTAATAATTTTTTTAAAGAAGGTTGAAAATTATACATGTTTTATTTATTTATTAATTAATCTCTGAAATTATCGAAATATATTTACTTATATCTTAGGATTATGTTATGTACAGTGATATGAAAGGATTTTTTTTAAAACAAACATTTAAAAAATCATCCCAATCCACTCACACTTTTTTGAGCCATCCTATAGAAGTTAAAATATTTTTCTGAAATGCATCCTCGAACTACATACTTTAGGTTTGCACTTAAATAAAATATTCAAGTTTTTTATTCTAGGAACTACAGATGCCCGACGCACTCTTGCCGGACCCTGTATAAAACTATAATTAATGTTTATGATTTCATATCGCAAATAATAAATCATTTATTAGCTTTTTTACGTATGATTTTAATTATTATGAATCGTTTTTATTTAGGAAATCCAGCCTCAGGAGTAAAACCGATGTACCAAGTACACGTCAGTCCTGACAAGGACAAGAACCACACAGAAAACGCTAAAGTAGAGAAAAGAGAAATAAAGAAGCACTCGATAGTGAAAATCGATCCCAAAACGTTGAAGCCGATCAGCGAGAAGGCTCCTGAAACGTCGAACTTGAGTAACGTCACTGTACATGCGTCGCCACAACCCAATCAGGAATTCAGGTTAGTGGTAGTAACAGGGTCAGGCATTTACTGTCTTTGATGTAGATGTACATATTAATCATACGTTATTTTTTTTTTATTTTTATACCTTATAGCAAGCAATTTCAACAGACGACAACTCAAATGTCATCTGAAAATATATTTTTAGGTTAAATTCATCTCCGGGTGATCTAAAAATCAACACCAGTTCAGTTTCCATTTTTAATCCGCTGAAGTTACAAAGTTCGCCTAAAGGGGACAGGAAGTCTCCAAAAAGTCCAATCTCTCCAAAAGTTAAAGCTACAACGTGTGTAACATCAGGTAAATATTAATTCTAGGTTTGTTAGTAGAACAGACGCTACGAAATTTTACCAAGCTGTTGTTGCTTAACATACCTGTTATTTTGAAATTACATTTAAAATAAAAGATATGAAAATAACAGTTCTCTGACAGCGTCTGTTCGTCGGATATCAGGACGGCTCTGCTGCGAGTGTTATAGTCTTTCCGAAGTCTATTGGAAGCAGGATTGGCATGATTTAAATGAAGTGATTTTTTTGAATTTTAATCATGTGATTTAAATAAAAAAAATATTGAAACTTTATGATAAATCAAAAAATAACTGTAAAAGTTATAAAAATGTGTCCTAGAGGACTAGACAAATATTTCTATAACAGATATAACAGATAATAAATCGAAAAATAATTGTAAATGTTATAAAACTACATAAAAATATCTATTTATCAAAATTTAAATGTTGGACCGATTTTTGAAGCAATTTCGTGTGAATCCATTAGACCGCTAAACTCAGGGCTTTATTTTAAAATTTATATATAAGTGACAAAAATTCGCTGTTCAAATACATATCATTCGCAAAATATAGTTCAGAACGAGGTTCTTCTGATATAGAGACCATATTCCCGAAAATCTATAATCGTTGTCAGAAAATATGTTGTTTTATAAATATTTTTTTTTGAAACGGTTATATGTTTCCAAATTTCTACCGACATTTTGATCTGCAGTAAGTACTTTACACTTTGACATTAGATAATACATACTAATTTCATTTTCGTATTAAGAATATTTCCGAACAATACTGTATTGTTTTATTAGTAGTAAAAATTATACTTTTTTGACGATGCTGCATTTTTGCAGTACCATCGTAAAGCTATTCCGACGTTACAGGGAGGCACAAAAAGTACATTTTTATTCCGAATAGAACATACTATTTTTTAAACATCACAAATAATTTTTTAATCAGTTTCAAACATTGCAAATAATATAAACAGTAATCGAGCAACAATTTGTACACTCGTTGAATTTGACACTTATATCAGTTTAATAATATATTTTGTACTTTTGTGCTTAGGCGTAACAGTCCTTTACTTATTGGTAACCGATGTGGAAAAATCACACGCCCCATAGAATTGTTGATGTTATCGGTCTCTGGGTATAGATATAGCCATTTAGGATAGGACTTTAGTTGGAAATAAGTCCTAGTCATTTAGAAATCCGATTTAAGTATTGTTTTGAATTAAAATAAAAAAAATCTGATTTATATAAAAAAAAATCTGATTTAAATAAAACGATCATACGATATTTTTAGGGATGATATATTTCGAGCACAGAACAGGGTTGCCAACTTTCAAAATAAAAAATAGAGGACGAGAGGGTAAAAAAGAGACAAACATTTTTTGAAACCTCGTTTGAAACCCAATGTCTAGAATTTACATTCTTAAAAATATTTAAACACCAAACTTGTTAAAATAAAATAAACCATTTTCAACAAAAAAATTTGTTTCAAAACATAAGTTAACAGTAGGTAAAATAATTAAACATGTTTATTTTTTAACACCAATATTTCTTATACATAAATATTTCTTCGTTTTCGTTTCTGTACAAACGCGTGGGAGTAGCGAAAGACACAGATTAACAATTTTTTAAAGCATTGTGGGGATAGACGAATATTTTTTAGATTTTGAGTTTGGTATGTAAAAAAGAGGATTTTTTCAATGAGTGAGAGAAAAGAGAGCAGTGAGATCAAAAAGAGGACTGTCCTCTGGAATACAGGACGGTTGGCAACCCTAAACTATGCTCACGCCTATGAGTTTTTTTGCGCGATAAAAAAATTGAAAAGTGTATTTCGAAATTTATCTGGAAAATTTTTGTTGTGATTAACATTGCCTAATTTCTTTTCCAGCCTCGACTCCTTCACTGTCTCCCAAACAGCAACGCGACAAAACGAATTTGACGTTCACGCCACCCAACCCTTTTGTCCCAAATTTATCTAATCCGACTCTGGGTCCTGGCCCTTGGGGATACCCCAGCTACGACCCGCGAGTGATGGCGGCTTACCATAATCTGTGGTACAGTCAGCGAATGGCGGCGGGGCTAGTACCCACTCACTTACCTCTCGAGTTCAGCCTCAACATGGCCGCCATGAACCAAAAACTTACGGGAGTAACGAGTTCGTCGACTAAAGAGAGAAAGAAGAGGGAGGTGAGGGAAACTGGTAAAGACGGAAAATTAAGTCAGGGTCCCGTAAAATCTTCCGTTTCGCCAAAGGGCGATCCTAAGAAGACTCTGGAGACTGCTTTGGAGAAGCTGTGCCAGAATAAAGCGAAGGAATTGGTGATGGCTGCTAATAATAGTCAAAAACATGTAGCGGAGGTTAAGGTGTCGGACAAGGGAAAAGTTGAGGACAAAGCTGCTGATGTGGAAATAGTAGTGGAGAAAAGTACAAATGGACAGAAAGAAGGTAATTATAAAATATAATTTTAGGTCTTGTCATTATTTAAGGTGGATTTACAAGCATCCGTCGTCGGTTGATACGATCCTCCGTCGGCGCTCTGATTGGTCATATTGAGATTTATCGCTATCAGGAAGTGGTTATTCTCTTTCTAATTTATACATATAATTTTACATTTTAAAGTGCAGTATAAAGGAAATGTTCTTTTGAACATTTTTTTGTCAAGAGTAAGCAAACGCAAAACCCAAAATATCTTTAAAAAAATCTTTTAAATATTTTTTTTTAAGACTTAAGACTGTTCAGCCATCGTTCACCCCTACGTCATCATTTGTCAAATATAAGTCTTAGGGTGTGTCTGAGATCATTTCACATTGTTTAGAAAATTTTAGTTACCCGAAATTTTAAATTGATCTTTTTCATCTGGTTGGCAAGTGATTGAGAGAGTTTGGCAATATATGACGTGACGTTGAACGATGGCTGAACATTCTATAATTAGTCTTTAAAAAATAAATGAACTTACTCGACTGTCAAACAACTGAACACAGGGTTGCCAGATGCAATTTTGCAAATACCTTATATTATTGATTCTAAAATTCCTAAAATTCCCTAACTTACAACAATTTTAAAGTAACTAATGCAATATTCTCAATAATGTCAATGGTTAGAATAGTTCGCGTTCGTTAGAACTATACAGGGTGAACCGAACTGTATTCCGGAAACTTCGGTAGTATATTCTGCAGATAAAAATAAGTAAAAAAGTTCGTATAAATGAATGTCCTAAAATGCTTAGTTTCGGAGATACAGGGTGTAAAAGTTTCATTTTTATTTCGATTTTTTCCAAATAATTTCTGAGGTAACGTCAATATTTGGATGAAATTTGGTGTCTGGGAGTTTTTTGATATGAGAAATTTGATTTTGATGTCAATATGACCCCTACTTGTAAAGGGCGCCACCTACATATTTTTAACTTGTTTGAAGAGTAAGAACTTTTCGTCCGTACCTGTATAAAACTACTAAGTAAAAAAATATACATTTACGACGTTTTTACCGTAAAAAATGTCTCTTTATAAAGATCGCTACGAGTAATAATTCTCGAGATATTTGAAATCGAAATTATCAGTACCTGTCATCATTGACATAAATTAAACGTATGTTGACTAAATAGTTAATAGACTGAAATCATAAATTTGAAATATTTTGTGCCAAATTACCATCAATCATCATTTTTTCAAAGAAAATTTTATGATTAATTTAAAAAAATAAAAATTTCCCAAATTTATCATTTCAGTCAAATAACTATCTACTCAACATGTTTAATTTTTGTCAATAATGACATGTATTGACTATTTCCATTCTAAATATCTCGAGAAGGGTTGTTCGTAATGATTTTTACCAAGAGACATTTTTCACCTAAAAAATTACAAAAATGTATATTTTTTCACTCAGCAGTTCTATACAGGTAAGGACAAAAAGTTATTACTCTTCAAATCAATTAAGACACATGTAGGTCCTCTAAATTAAATTTCTCATGTCAAAAATTTTCATTCAAATATTGACGTTACTTGAGAAAATATTTGGAAAAAATGGAAATAAAAATGAAACTTCTACACCCTGTATCACCAAAACTAAGCATTTTAGAACATGTATTTATAAGAAATTTTTTACTTCTTTTTATCTGCAGAATATGCTACCGAAGTTTCCGGAATACAGTTCGGACCACCCTGTATATAAGAAGAGAGATGATAGATGCATATTTTCACTAAATTTTGTGCAAGAATCTAGACCTAGGCCTAGACCTGGCAACTACGACTAAGCATCGAAAACGGGCGTAGACATATGACAAGAGATGTGCAAACAGATTGCGCAGATTTTGTTGTGCTGTAAACATAGTGCGGTATAAGACGTAAATACTTTCAAATTTTTTAGGAAAATTTTCTTTAATAGGTTTGGTTAATATTACAGAGAAAAACTCAGAACGGATACAAACGTCCACCGCCTCAGTACCGGATACGAAACAGCCTCAGACTAAGAAAATAACCGAGGAATCTCGACAACTTCCGCCAACCACATCTACCGCAGTGGTCAATAAGAAACCAGCAGCGAATGATGTTAAAACCCCCATTGTCAATGGAGAACATCCCAAGCTCGACCCATCGCTACCCCCACCACCCTCGTTAAATGGTAAAAACACTGACGACGGTGACAGTTCGACTAACGAAACGTCGAAAAAGTGCTCGAGCGACGAAAACGTTGCGAAAAATGATGTCGGTAAGTGCGATTCGAAAAACGATAAACTTGTGAACCAATGTAGCGATGAAGTTGTGACGACTAAAGGTAACGAATTAGAGACAGGACTAGCTGTAAAGAATGGCGAGAATCAAAGTGTGGGAGCGTAGGATATTGTAGTAAAAATCACAGAATCACCTAACCTTACAGAAGCGACACGGACGATTGTTTCGTGGGCCGAATTTTAAGGGAGTTTATCAGTCCATAACTTTAACCCCGGTCGTCAAGTTTTGACTAGATAGTTAATCTCAGGGATGAATAAGTAAAAAGTCGTAATGCAAAAGAAATATTTTTTTATGTGTTAAAAACATTTCATGAAAAGCAAAAAATACTTTTTCCGATTATTATTTAAGTAAAGCTCTTTTAAAAGCATAGCTTTCTGTTAATGCTTTGTAAAAAGTTAATTTTTCTTTGGTGTTTTGTTGGTGATATATTTTTTATTTTGTGTAGAAGTTAAAATTTATGCCGAAATAATTGAAAGTATATGTTGAGAAAGAAGAGAAATATCATTTCTCTCACCTTTCTCACGCAAAAATATTACTAAAAGTTAAATATCCATCCCTGCAAAATGCTTTCCCTTTTATCTCTTCGAATTATTATTTACTAGACTTAATACGAAAATAAACATCACAATTGTAAGAGCGAATAAGAAAAATAAAATATTTTTTTTATTTATATAGCATAATATATGAATGGTGTTAACATCAATTTAATATTCAATCAACATAAATAAAAGAAGCCAAACTTACCTTGGATGCCTGATCTGCACAATACTTCTCACTCCTTGAAATATATATTACGTATTTTGCAATCTATAAAAATAAAATATACTTGAGCATCACTGGAAAACGCACACAATCACATTACCATAATCGAGTATATAAAATAGTTAAATATGTTTGTTATTGTACCGTAGCTAAGGCCACAAGGCGTCTCACCTACATATAGGCATGGCCCAAAAGCGACATAGTCGTAGCTTAGGCAGGTTACTATATTAAACAGGTTGTCTAGTAACTTTTGAACCAATAGGAGCGAAGCTGTAACTATGTCACAGCGATGCTACAGAAAGTATAAAATCATAGGTAAAGGAATAACAAATTAAATGCAACCGACGAAAACACATCAAACAACTGAAAACTATGGACGTCATACACTATAAACAATAAAGTGCACAATGAATATCGATTCGGAAATGCACTGTAGACAGTTTTTATCCCTCTATCTATAAATGAAAGTAGCTTTCCTATGACGTAGTAGATGACGACACGTTTTCGATAATGGCGGATCGAGTTACGAGACAACCTTATCTTTTAATAACCTTGCCTTTCATGAACGTTTTAATACGTTTTTTACGTTCAAGAAGCAGCATCCACCATAGGCGTAGGTTATTATTTAATTATTTATTTGTTTATAAATAAAGATTATTCATAACCAAATAAGTCTAATAAGCGTAACAGTAAGTAATAAATTAAATTTTGTAACCGCGTCCGAAACAAAAATATTTGTGAAACAATTAAAATTCCAATTTTTATTTAATTCTGCATTTTTTATATTAACCCTCAGACACGGCACTATTTGGATGGAAACAAATGTAATAATTTGGTCTTGGATATTATTGGTCCTTGTTTAATCATTGTATTTCTCAATAAAATTCGTGACATTTTTTTTCAGTATACAAATTTGTTTAACTATCACATTTAACTTAACGGTTAAAAAATTTGGTGCACATGCTTCAAAAGGGCCGATGCTTCCTGTCGCTTCTGTTTAGTTAAAGTATTCTGTGGCAAAGCGATATTGTAGGACAAGGAATAACACAGCTTTAAGTGATCGGATCTTAACAAAAGCACCAGCAAAATTGATTATCTGAAAAAGGTATTCCCTTTTCTCTTCGACACTTATATTTTTTTACCAAATATTCTATAAAATTTTTAGTCATTTAATGGAAAATTTTATTTTGTTCTTTCCAACAGATCAATTATTATCAAATCAATATATTTTTTAACCAAATGGGCCTTATAGATACATATTTATTTATTTCATTTTTTATCAAAGCTATATTTTTAAAACGACTATTTTACGAACTATTTTTTATTTTATTTTTGACAATTTTATTAACTGTGGTGGCACTACAATGAGTAACTATGAATAAGTGAAATATTAATTTAGTATATTTTAAAGACTTTATATTTTTTTACCTGTAATACAAATTCATCTACACTATGAATACTTTTCTCCTATTATTATATTTATTATTTAAAATAAAGAAATAATTAAATCTTACATTGCCATATTCTATACAGAGCGTAGGCTACCTCTCGCATGTACTTGTGATGTGTGTCATCAGTGTTTGACAAGTACATGGGACCTACAGTTTATGTAGGTACAAGGCAAATACACTCAAGGTGGTTTGCTTTCCTTGAGCCGGCGCCGGCTCGCTGGTCGCCCTATTTAAATAAATATTTTCAAAAAAAAAAATAAACTATTGCAAGAACACTTTGTATTGAGAAGTAAGTTAATGCATATAAAAAAATATATATTTCAGTGTCTTTAATTTTTTGTAGTAGTGATAGGTGTTGCGGGATATAAAACCCGCTATGACCGCATGACGTGAAACTAATACCATATGATCGAAAAAAACGGTGTCATCTTGGCTTGGAAATTGCAATCGATGACGTTTTCCATATAATTTAATATACAAATTAACAGCGATCATAATATCGAGATCAGCTCTAGCGTCGTTTTTTTTGATCATATGGCATATGAATAGAAACAGTAAGTTCCTTTTGCTACAATATCAAAAATAAATTTTTGTATATTCGCTATATAGCTGGTAAGTTTGTATAATTTGTTGATTTGTTCTAATACATTTTTTGTTTTTTTTTTCTTTTTCTGTGTGTACGTGTGTATTTTGTTATTTTTATCCAGTTTTTAGTGATTACGCAGAATAGTATTTTATAATTCCGCAAAATAATATTTAAAATTTTTTCTATAATAATTACAAGTCGAAAAGTGCCTGGAATAACTGCATTCTAAATTATAGAACCAGATGGGCATATGAGAAGAATATTTTTTTTTAAACAGCAGTTAGCCGCTATATCTAATTAAATTTGTTTTCACACTTTCAAATAGGTATATGGAACAAGTCATAGTTACAGCCTTTACTTGAAATGTAATATATTGTATTTTTAGAACATATTTAGTACGTAACTGCACTTAATTTATTTGCAAAAATGCTCACCATTCAACTTCCTATTAGTTACCTACCAAAAAATTCTTCGCATCTCATCATCAACCTAGCTTTTTATGTCACATATGTTGAAGTTACTGTATCCATTAAAATAAAGAAAATTTTGTCAGTGAAACGTGATAACCTGACTCCATTTTTTACGTGAATAAGTTTTTTTTACACCATTAGAAAGATAGTTAAAATTGTTATTTTAACTCAATAATATCTAATCTGCTAACTCCCAGTGATCTGAAATAGCCGCCGAAATGCTATTATCTCCATAACTTCCGTTACGATCACGCTGAAGCAAATACGCGAATTCCTTACTTGTATGTTTCTTTAGTACAGTACGTCGATCCAGGGTCGGACTAGGCTAGAGGGGCGCGGGTGGTATTGTGAGGAGGGGCCCGGGTATAGCTTTTTTGCGTATACGTTTTGGTCAGTTTTTCTCTATTATATATAGAAATCAGGAAACTACCCGTAATGTAAAGTAAACCAAAATCCAATGCACCCAAATTGCAATGCAAATATTGTTAATTAAAAAAAAACGTTTTCGGGATAACCTCAGAATATTACCGTCACTTTTTTCTGTTTCATTTCTATTTAAGAATAAATAATGAACTACTAGGGGAGCCCGCGAAGGCTGGGGCCCGGCTGGCAATCGCCAACCTGATTGTATGGCAAGTCCGATCCTGCGTCGATCCTCTCTGTAAATACAGGGTATCCGTAAAGGAAAAGGGGAGAAACAAAGTTATCTCTACACGGGCAATTCATGGGCGTGCTATAAATATTCTAAATAATATTGTTTATTTTAATATTGTTAGTAATAATATTCCTTACTTGTACAAAAATTTCCAAAGTACCTAATCAATTTTTTTTTCAACGTTTTTCCACGTAAACGAGACATAATCTATAAAAATTAAAAAATTAAGGAGAAAAATAATAAAAATTTAATAAAATCACGCAACTATTTTACCGATAACAACTTCACTGTTTTCCAAGTTCGGCTTGCTACCGTTCTCTTAAAAAAATTAGGCTAAGCAGCCGGTCAATAAAATTCGAGAAATTTGCAAGTGGCCAATGTAATATCATTTTACTAGATTTCTTCCAGAATATAGAGCTATATCCAGGAAAAATCTACCATACCTTCTAAGAACTATAAGTTAAATTTGTGAATTATTTTCATATTCATTAAGTCCAAATTGGCGCTATTTTAGCTCATTAAAAATGCATTCAAAATATATTCGTTTTTGGACTTGTGTATTTTGCTTCCAGACCGACGATATTATAAATATATGGTTATGAATATCATATTTCTTTTTAAATTTAATTGATTATTTCTAAATCTGTTTGGGTAGTAAATTGTTAGGGCATTGAAATTTTGAAAATGAAATATTCAATTTCATTTTCAAATTTTCAAACAATAAAGGTTGCTATCTCCAGAAATATATTTTTATTTCTTATTTCTGCAAGACGAATATCTGCTATCTCCCTATTGTGTCTGAAAAAAATGAAGTAACACGAAATATTGAGTTTTATTGTTCCCCAGCAAATAAAATTCTTATCTCTTTATCATATTAACGCAGGAATATACCTCCTACATGTATATATATTTTTATACCGTTTTTTTGCTCTCCTGTAAAATTAGGAATAATGGAATTAACAGTGTATCACATTTCACCGACGATTTGTGAGAAACTACCTTCTACCCTAATGTAAAGTACTCTTTCGGAACTGTTACGGATTTTTACACTATCACCATTGGTTTTAGCACTTACAACATGCGACGGACAAAAAACCGTATTTTTAAATACGAGCGATATTTCGCTCGAGTGATCACTCGGTTATTGCAATCGCTTGATACTCGAGTACTCGATTATTCAAATTAATTGGTTTTTCCCATCACTAATATTTAGTCTTATTTTTATCTATAAACAGTAAAGTTTGGTAAACTATTTTTTTACACCCTGTGTAGGATATGCAAGTAGCTTTTTTAAACGAGTAGCTGTTTTAAAATTCCTTTCCCACTGTCATAATCTATATACAGAGTGATTTCTGAACTGTGGCATTTTTTAGGTTAAATTATCTGCACCTTTAAAGCTCTTCCAAAATCACAATTTATTAATGATTTGTTCAAAACTACTCATATTGAAGTGTAGTAGGTACATTTGTCGGTATATGTATAGGTTGAGTTCAAATTTAAGATATACATTATCGGCTAGTGATGAGCCAAACCGTGATTTTCTGTTCACAGGCTTACCTGTGTCAGCGACTTTGTATTATCTGTGACTCTTAACTGTGACTGCGACTTTATGATTATGAATCCGAAAGCACAACCACGGCTAAAATATAAGATACGATACGAATGATACGATTCTGTTGTTGTTATACTAATTTTTAGTTGTCCTTTATCCAAGGCCGCTGAAATAGAAAACACTAGACAGTGTGTAAAAGGTATATTAAAAAATAAAAATAAAAAAAAAATATTAAAAGAAACCAACGGGAGAAGAATAAAATATGCAATATGCTCATAACCATAACGAACGAAACTTAACAACACGAGATAAGTAATACATTAAACAACAAATATTTTCCTTTGTATTAAAATAAACGAAATATATAAAAAATGAAGTTTCTAAAAAAAATAAACAGTATAAAGGTAAAACTTTATGTTTGGCTTTAAAAAAAACCTGCTATACTAAAAAGGAACCAAACCGATTCGTAGTGATAAAAAATAGTAATAAAATATAAAATACATAAAAATTAAATCACTTCTAACAGTCACTGTCTTTAGATCACTTTGTCAGATATCTATCCTATGAGACGTACGTCGTGACTCGTGACTGTGAACTGAGTCACGACCGGCGCCATCGGCAGCTGCGTTCGCGACGCGCGACGTCCCGCTCTGTGAAGTATTTTCTCGTTACCAGAGAAATCACAATTAACTGTAATCGTCACGCTTTAGCAAGTCACCGTTTATTTTCAAATCAGTCACAGACCGTTACTGTGATTATAGAATATCAGTGACAAAGTCACAGTTACCGATATTTCACTCATCACTATTATCGGCAACAGATAGTCTTTGGTCGATATTCACATGTCTACGAGTGAATCGATTTCGCTATCTTATAGGCAGGAGAGAGAAAAATATGAAGTATTTATTATATAACCACTTAATCCGACGCTTTACTTCATGCCCTTGGGAAAAGATTTACTCTTCTTTCATTGTTCAGTACATCTAATTGTAGTAAACACATTGATTACTCACGAACGCACGAAAACCGGAAAAAATATTAATTACCTATTTGGAAGTGCGAAAACTGCCTCTCTTGAGTCCGGTGACGTCACTAACTCTAGTCAGAGTCCCACTCCGCGTTTTTGACATGTGTTGTGTGGTGCACAGTGAGCACACAAAGAATAATATTGAAAGTGAGATACATATCACGTTAAAATTTTGACTGGAATTGTACTAGTACCAGTCAACAGTTGGTGCCTTTTTCTTTATATGGTGTCCAAAATCAGTAGTACCAAATATGAACAATATTGCATTTAGTATTAAAATTATTTTTTTCATTCCGCAGTTTTAATATTAATCGTGTTGTTGCCTGATCAGATTTTATAAGAGTTAGAATATATGTTTTGGACACCGTGTATAGTAATTACCTAATAAAATGTATCAATATGGATTTCGTTGGTGTTTTTTATGTCACAAGTCTTGTTCATTTCTTGTAATTTTGCTTTTGCTCCTTAGTTGTTGGGTTTTTAACAGGGTATCTGTAAAGTATAATTTGTATATTTTTGTTAACATTTCTTTTCGTGTACAAAGAAACTTTTGGACCTGTAGTGCTAATATTCCAAAAAAAAAACTAATTAATAGATACACATAAATAATAGTTCTTCATAAAATAGTATTTTACACTCAAATTTTTATCTATATAGATAGAAATTTTGTGTCACAAATAAGAATACTTTGAAGTGTACCGGGTGGCCAACTAAGAATGGACGCCGGCTGTATCTCAGAAACTACTTATATACACAATTAACAAGATTCAATGAAGAAATTATTGTTATAAAACTCCTAATATTAAATTTCATAGGTGCATTTTAACAAAATTTTATATGCAGTATCTTCAATGCGTGTGAATCTTGTTTTTTTTTCTCTGGAACATTATTTTTTATCCTTTTTTATAATATTCGTCGACTCTCTTTGTACATATCGAAAAGAAATAGTATTTTTTCCTTTTTTATTAAAAAAAAAATGAAATAATATATTTTTTCTATTGTATACTATATATCTAAAAGTACTTTTGGTGGCCTGAATTTTTCTCGCGGACACACTGTATAGTAAGCTTCCTAAAAAGAAACCTTTATTTGTCGACCTTTAAATAAATCTAGTAGGCTGTGAGCAAAAAAAGGTTAAAGGTTAAAAAATCATATACGACGGATTATTATTCTTAATATAAATAGCTTTATAAGTTTTAATTTCGTTTTGGAAATGGACAATATTTGCCTGTATCCAGATAGATGAGAAAATGTACTAAATTGCTCAAAAAACAAATAAATATATGAATATGAAAAATAAAAATTTCCAAATTGGGATAGGACAATAAATTTATTTTCGGAATATTTTAATGGGATAATTTTTTTATGTATCTGGATCGTCAGTTTTGATATTTACATCGTTAACATGTCAATAAATAGATTCCTCAATACCATTTTGTCCATATTACTTGTCAACGATTTAGACGAGCGTTGAAAATATTCATTTTTAAATAATAAACTTAACTTGTAGAATATAAGCCATGTTTAATATTTGTAAGTTGTAAAAAATTGAGATTTTATTATATATTGTACAATTGTAAATACTGAGCACAGAAAAATTTTAATAATGATATTTATAGTTTAAGCGATGTGAGTTTTATTTTTCATAAACCCTGTTGTAACATTTTCTAAATCAATCTTATCAACTAGGTAATTGTTTATCCATCGTCTTAGGTTTTCAAATCATATACTGTCATGCGAGTGAATACCAAAAAAGCCGGCGTCAAAGTTGACATTTTATATGTAAATAAGATGAATGTCATCTAACGTCATTTCTTAGTCAACTTGACGCCTTTCTTCGATCATATGATAATATATAACAAACAATGGGGGTTTCTTATGTGTATATTATGGATATTTTAAATCAGGTATGGTGTTGTATCTTTCCTATAATTTACCCTTTGGATAAAAAGATTAAGGAAGGAGCATATCAAAAAACTTAGGTCAACCGCAATGGGACTCAAATATGGCCGACTTAAATTCCGTTTAATCAGTGCCGTTTTAATTTTATTTAAAAAGTGTAAAACTATGATGTAGGATAGACTCAATAATTTGTTGTTTTATTTTACGTTGTGAATAAACGTTGGTAGTTATTAAAATTGTTATAAAAATAGATAATTCTAATAAAAATAGATGTTATAATAATTATTTATTAACACAAACATCCGATACGCTACTGAATCAGGTAAGTCAAATTGACGTATCTAAATTCTTTGACCTTTGACAAGTAGCAAGTAGTAAATAAAAGCAAAAATGCAAGAAAAAGTATGTAATTAGTTAATTTAAATGAATTTCATAAATGATCGGTTTACTACATGTATGTGTATATTATATAGTCACTTACTAGCGAAAAGTTATTCCATTATATCACTCGATTTTTGACCGAGATCTACCGCACGCCACACAACCAACTATTTTACAGTCTTTTTCGATAAATCGCGATAGTGTCACTGTTAATTTAAGTTCTGCCACAATTTCCACATAGATTTACTACCTTTATACAACTATCAGTAGTAGAATAAATAATAACATGAAATAGCTCAGTAAAGACAAAAATCTACAAAATTTTAAATCAAAATCAAATGAATTGTTAAACAGAACCGTCAATGATCCCCACCCTAGAGTCCTTTTTCCGCCCACAATGCATGAATACATGGATAGAATTATACCCCTTCCAAAAGAATTAACAATATAATCGCACTTTAGATTAAGAATAAAAAAATCGCACTTCAATTTAACTAGCCTCTCTAAAGGTCGAGGGAGTATGTCGACAGACGACATCCAAAAAATAACAGAAAATACAATTTACCTATAATGTAAAATGACAGGTCACTACTGTTACTGTCAAAAATTCTCCTATTCTACATGAGAAGTGTCTAGCCCCAGCAGGCAACTATTAAGCTTGACCAATCAGGTTGGTTAGCGTGGTTATTTGGAGTGTGTTAATTCATTGGTTTTTGTCAAAAACTCTAACGTGATCGGTCGGGCTGGTTCCCTGCTGGGGCTAGACACAAGTTACTACATGTCTTACCGTCTAATGAAAAACATTATCCAGAGTTCAAGAGAAGCTTTAAAAACATTAAAAAAATGATGAGGGCTCTTACTTACAATGTTTTAACTAAAATATCCAAAAACATTAAAACATTTATTCAACAATAAAGATATCAACAGAACAAGGTTATCTATTTTTTTGGTTCAGAAAATCTAAAGTAAGTTTCAGAAAATCGTTTGGTTTCTCTGAATGAACCCAATGACCCGCCCCTTCGATGTACTTCAACTCGGCATTAGGGAACAGCTTTAAGATTTTAGGATAATCACTTTTTCTGTAAAACAAAAAAAAACGTAATCAATTATAACACAAAAAGTCTTTAAGAAAAAAACTTTTTTTACTGTATGTAATCAGATTTAGATCCGCCTATAAATAAAACGGGCCCTTCAAAAATGATGTTATGTAAATCGGGAAAAGAAGCCAACTCGTCAAAGTATTCCAGTAACATTTTCAAATTAAACCTCCAGATATAACTGAAAATTTTTAAATAAAATACAAGATTTTACGTTCTTTGATGAGATACCTTCCTTCAGCAGTCTGTACCAAATTAGTTAGAACAAACGCCATCAATCCCTTATCTTTAACTAACTTAGCTAAATGACTAGCAACCAATGCCTTAGCTTGAGGTAATCCTAAATTTTTGGGAAACTGGAGAGTTTTTAGGGCTTTAAGTACTTCTGGAATAGCTTTGAAATTGTGGCTAGTTGATATTGGAGACACATCTGTAACCACTAGTCTTTCCACTAACTCAGGCTGTAAATATTTAAAATGAATGATATAGGTTTAATAAACACTATATCCAATACATATTTCAGTGCAAATAACATTCCAACTCTTCCTCCAATATCATGACCTATTAAAGATACTTTCTTTAAGTGCATGGTCTGCAAAAATTTCACTATATCCATTACTAAATCATCATAAGTGTTGCCTGGTATGTGAGCAGAATCTCCATGATTTCTTAGATCAACAGCAAACACATCTCTTTTTGGATCACTACCCTCATGATATCTTATGATTTAAAATTATTATTCGCATGAAGATAACATCTCATCTAGTAAGTCATTTTTAAAATTATTACCTCTTACACAAGCCATGGAAATTCCCCTTAGATCCTAATAATCCATGTACCAAGACTAAAGGGGGTGATTTTTTATTTAATTCCTGTAAAGATGTGTCTGTACTTTGATATGACGCATATGCTAAATCAGTTACATTTTTTGAATTCTCAAAACTAACTAATTTGCCCTTATTTCTATTTATAATTAAATTAAATAAGATTCTACAAGAATTTTGAACCCTCATTTTTTGAAGTATAGATGTCAATTCAAAATGACAATAAGTTATTTATGTTTATACTCACTCTATGTAATCTGACTTTGCTCCTCCAATAAATAATGTATTTCCTTCATATAGCAAGTCTTCTATAGGTGGAAATCTGGCAATATTTTGAAAATTGGACAATAAAGCTGGTATGTTAATCCTCCATTTGTATCTACAAAATTCAATCAGTTAATCTTCTAATCAGTGGGAATGCTTTTGAATCTATTTAGAAACAACGAACCTCTGCTGATCAGTTTGTATTAAGTTTGTTAACAAGAATGCCCTCAAAGATTTATCCAGGATGTATTCAGAAAGCTGTTTATCCACTATATTTCGAGCTTGACTTAAAGGAATATTTTCTGGCATTTTAACACTAGAATCGGATAGTGTATATATATTTTTAGAGAACATAACTGATATTTACCTATTCATGAAATTGAATAAATTTGGGAGCTCATGTAAATTTGGGCTTGTGGTTACTGGAGATATATCTACAATAATAAGTTTCTCTACAAGTTCTGGCTAAAACAGCTTTATCATATTAAACAGGCCGAATAGATGAGTTAATACCCACATATTGCAGTGCGAATAACATTGCACATCTGCCACCCATTGAATGTCCCATAAGAGCAATTTTTTCAATCCCATGGTCTCTTAAAAAGTGTTGTACATCTTCCGCCAAATATTCGTACGAGTGTTGAGATGTGTGAGGACTATCTCCATGATTTCGCAAGTCTAGTGCTACATTTTCAAAGTAAGTTATTATGTTATATTATAAGATTAATTTACTTACCGATTACCTTTCTACGAGGACTGGTTTGTTGATGATAAGCTTTACTGAGACTGGTCCAATTTTGTTTAGAACCAAATAATCCATGTAAAATAACAAAGGGTGATTCTGAAGAGGTATCCGCTGCTGTTTCGTATGCAGCGAATGATAGTTTTAACGGAGCTGATAGTTCACATGACGAAGAATAATTTGCAGAATATCTGTTAAGTATATGAGGAGACTTTAATAATTTAAAAATAAATCTATTGGATAACATTTTTCAAGATATAATTTGAGGTTATGTTTCTTTCTTCTTTCTGATATAGTGGTCGATTAGTTCATTTGTCCCGTTTGACCCTCGTTGAGGGTGCATCCACACCATCCTAGAAAAAACGGAGCGGCCGCGGCGTAACGGCCTTGAATAGATTTTCAGTAATTCTATTGGCTGAAAAATTCATCTGTCAAAAATTACATCTGTCAAATTCATCTGTCAAATATTTCAGCCAATAGAATTGCTGGAAATCGATTCAAGGTCGTTACGCCGATACAACGCCGTTCCGCTTTTTCTAGGATGGTGTGGATGCACCCTGAGATAAAACATTTTGAAAAGATATGTTTAGAAATATTTATCTAAATCTTATTCAAAGATCTAAATAGACTTACAAAATATACTCTATAACAAATAAAATGTAATGATCCAGGTAATGGTGTGTTTGATAAAATATCATCTACTTAGAACATTACTTCGTGAGAATAATATTTTATAAATTCTATAAAATATTCCATTGATTGTATTTCGGTAAAATTACTAATTTTTGTAAAAATAATTATAATGTTATTTATTTGTTATTAAATCTGTGTTGTGTACTGCTTTTATTTGCTGAGCTGTAAGTTTATTTAACTAATTCCTGAATATAATACATTTAGAAGATAAATTTTTTATTTAACCTTTATCTTACATTCTTTACATGTGTTTTGTGTACTTATATTTTTTAACTGTTTGTTTTAGCTATGAGTTTTATTTTACTTAACTGATTTACTCATTTTTTAGACTTGACACACCTGTGACACACTAACAATGTATCTACAAAGAGAAGATATAACGAACAAGAAGCGTTCAACAACCTCTACAATAGGTAAGTTTGATTGAGTTTGATAATGAGTTTGATATTTCATGCTACTATGTATTTGTACTTTGTACCTGTGATTTGTACAGTGCTGAAATAAGAAAATTTACATTTACTTTTTAAAAAAACGTCCTCTCTTTTCAATTTATCTCTGTGGCGCGCTTAATCGATTACAGCGCCATATTTTCTTAGTGAGAATTCTTGGAACTACTGTCTAAACGATTATGGCGCCACCATATAGAAAGTTGTAAAAGTAAGTAGGTACAGGTTTCTGTTTTTAATATATCGGTGTAGCGCCATTACGGGTTAAGTATGGAAACTATGGAGCAGTGCCTTCTATTAAAAGATCAGCCTACGGGCGGACTTTTGTTTACTTCATCAGCTGTACATACTTAGATATTGGGTTAGATTCCGTTTCATATTTTGTCGGTTGATTTTTGGTTTTAACTCTTTGATTTTTGGTATTATTTATTATTGTAGTGCAAAAAACTAATTATTTTGGTGTTCAATGAGGGACATCTATGTGTTAAACTTTATATTAATTTTGCTCTAATCATAGAAAAATATTTTTTACTAGTTGAAGCCTGGCGCATCCGCCACGACATCAGGAAAAAAAATACTTTTTATTTTTTTTTAATTAAATGTAAAACAAAAAATCCGGCGAAGACAGTTTATAGAAGAGCCAATTAGTTATCTTTTAGTAAAAAAGCCACTTTCTAGAGCAAGTCGTTACTTCAGTAGAGACGACACGGATAAAAAAGCAAAATAAAAACACTAAATCACCACAATACACCAAAACACTTTTACTTTTACACTGGACGCGCGTTTCGCTAACCATGTTAGCATCATCAGCAGATGATTATAAACTATCAGTTGATCCGTGAAACTATCAGTTGATTGCGCGTCCAGTGTAAAAGTAAAAGTGTTTTGGTGTATTGTGGTGATTTAGTGTTTTTATTTTGCTGTGTAACACCAAAGGTTCCAACCCTCAACTGTAATCGACACGGATAAACATTAGCATTTTATATATTATGTAGATATTATAATACCGTATGGTCGAAAAAAAGTTCCAATTCCAAAAGGCGCCCAGTTGGCTGGGAAATGACGATCGATGACATTTCCCATATAAATTTACATTTATAAAATGACAGCGATCTTTATTTCATAGCTATCGCTGACGCCGTTTTTTCTCGATCATACGGCAGTAGTGTCTGAAAATAAACTGATTAGGTACTAATTTAAATCAATTTATTTTCAGTTTGGGAATAAATCTGATAGATCAAATGTACGATTTATACAGGGTTCGCCAATAGTGCATCGGGCAGCTGTAGCTCCTAGAATTAAAAACTTGTGAATTTTGTTTAAGTGCAAACCTAAAGTATGTACTAGAATATATTTCATGCAAATATTTTAATTTCTACAGGGTGGCTCAAAAAAGTGTGAGTGGATCGGCATGATTTTTTTTAAATGGAACACCCTGTATATTATTGCATTTTTGGCTTCTTTTTAGATCACTTTATACAATTCTAAGATATGAATAATTATGTTTCAATAGTTTCAGAGATATTAATAAATAAATAAAAAATATATATTACTTAACCTTCATTAAAAAAGATATTACAAATACAAGAACTGTCCGGAAATCAAAACTATATTATGTATTTACTTTAGATGGTCTATACTTAGCTTTGCTATAAATATTGTAATCTTAAATCATACAGGATGTTCAAAATTCTACGCCAAACTTTCGAAAATATAAAATAATTTTTCATTGTTTTTTTTAAATGGAACACCCTGTATACTATTTTTTTATTAGATGGAGAATTAAAAAATAGACATTTGTTGTATTTAAAGTATTTCGAAAATTTTAATAGTTTTTAAAAAAGTTTTTAATAGTTTCGTAGATACACGCAGTGTATTTCATATGGCTCTCTCAACGGTAAAATATGAGAGAAAAATCATTGGGTGGCTTTGATAAAAATTTACTATGGGAAATGCCATATGAAATGAAATATAAAACCGTGAATATCTGTAAAACCGTTAAAAATTTTGAAATATTCTAAATACAAAAAATGTTCATTTTTGAATTCTCCATCTATTAAAAAAATAATATACAGGGTGTTCCGTTTAAAAAAACGAATAAAATTATTTTAAATTTTAGAAGGTTTGGCGTAAAATTTTGAACATCCTGTATGATATACGATTACCATATTTATAGCAAAGTAAGTACAGTCCATCTAAAGTAAATATCTAACATAGTTTTGATTTCAGAACAGTTCTTGTATTGTTAATAGTTTTTTTAAGAAAAGCTGAAAAATATATATTTTTGATTTATTTATTAATATCTCTGAAACTATCGAAATATATTTACTCATATCTTAGGATTATGTAAAGTTATCTGAAAAGAAGCCAAAAATTCAATAATATACAGGGTGTTCCATTAAAAAAATATCACGATACACTCACACTTTTTTGAGCCACCCTATAGAAGTTAAAATATTTTCCTGCAATACATCTTAGAACATACTTTAGATCTGCACTTAAACAAAATTCTCAAGTTTTTTATTCTAGGAGCTACAGATACCCGACGCATTATTGCCGGACCCTGTATAATATATTTTTTATTACTAATCTTTAATATTGTTTATCTTTTTTTTTTAATGTAATCTGTGAAGAAAGTATGTAGACGTAAAACATTTTTTAATATTTTATTACAGATACAATACATTAAGTAAAATGGAGAGAAATGAGGGTATTTTTTTGGGGAAGATGTGGTACAGGTCAGAGATATAATTTTAAGAAAAACTTACCGATTTTACCCTGTTTTTCAATGAAAGTGTGTGCCAAAAAAGAGCAAAACCTGGAGCAACCAATATTGGAATATGAACAATACCGCAAGATGGTTTCTGCTTTCAATTGTTGCTTTCAAGTCATTGCTGCAAATAGGTACCTCGTCCAAAAAGTATACTCTCGAACATTCAAATCCATGGACTCTCTCCATGGATGCTGTATATGTTAGGCGCCATTTTTTGGATGTAACGAGTGAGTCACCAGCTAGTCATCAGCTACAATTTTAGCGATTTTTAATATTTTGTGTGTAGTGAACTTTGTATAATCTTTACTACAATGGTGATTAGTTGTTCAGCATTGTTCAGCCTTCAAGTGTAAAGCCGCATCGATAAGAAAGAGCCAGGAGTTCCGTTTCCTAGGTAAATAAACAGTCCACTCCACCTTTTTAGCGTTTTCTTATTGAATTCGATAATTATTTTTCTGATATTATATATACTTGATATGTGCTATACGTCGGTAATCGTTTTGTACCTTTCGCTAACATTTGAATAAGTTATTTTTGTAATTAATTGGTATGATTACCACTGTATGCACCATAGGCGTAGTCAAAACATTTATCAAAAATATATATATCTCTTCAAGCAGCTAAGTTAAGAAAAATATGTGCCACGGCACTGTTTGGAGGTATGGTAACAATTTGGTCTCGGGTGTTATTAGTCCTTGTATTCTTTAGTCATTGAATAAACCATATGCGAAAACGTCAAAACTTGACATATGATGTGTTATTTTATTCAGAGTGTCATTTTCTATCGAATGAAGTGGAAATACACAGAGGCTGCCATTTAAAATCAAAAGTTGTAGTCATTTCCGGTGAAACAGGAAGTGATCGAAAACAACTGAATACGTCAATCATCCTAATTTGTCATATACTAATATACCAAATCTCGTAGAGGTGAGCCACTTTTGAGACGCACCTGGTATAAAGAAATAACAAAACCTTTACTTCCAGCTTGACTTATTCATACGAAATATGAAATTAAATGGAGTTTTAAACAAAGTCAAAAGTTGCGAATGGGATCTCCTATGGAATGAAGAATATCAAAATCTCGTTTCTGCGGAACTACATAATATATGCAGATCACCTGAAGTTTTTACAGTACCTAGAATTATACAGTAAAAACATACCTTTAGAATAATTCATTTCAGATACGCTGAAGCTATAAACGCATGTCCTCATGTAAATGTTGTTGGAAAGACGTTACTGTATTGTGGATTATCATTTATACCACTTGGAATGAAATGTGCAGCCTCATTTAGTTTCGTAAGAGTAGATTTCAAATTTTATATTGTCCTTTTATTCCTATTTTTATTGTATAGTAGTAAGATTACAGTTGGGGGTTGGAACCTTTGGTGTTACACAGCAAAATAAAAACACTAAATCACCACAATACACCGGAAAACTTTTACTTTTACACTGGACGCGCGTTTCGCTAACCATGTTAGCATCATCAGCAGATGATTATAAACTAAAGTACAATCTACAAGTTGAGCGTTTATATCTCTCTCGCTCAGTGGGCACCGAGTGGGCGTGGCAAAATCTAGCCAACCGAGTCAGAGCCCACTGAGCGTAACAGTTAGATTTCCGCCACTAGAGTAGTAGGAACAAAGAACTTGAAGGAATTGGACCGTTGTCTCTGTTCATACTATCTTTACATTTATTAATTCTGATGCTTTCATATGCATCTAATTGTCTGTAATTTGATACTTGTTTAATTAATTTTAAATTATTAAGATCTATACAATGTTCTTTAGCAACAATATGTTCGGCAACGCAAGATTTATCCGGCCTACCATATCTTATCTGAGCTAAATGTTCTTTAAATCTAGTTAATATTGATCTTCTAGTTTGCCCAACATATTTCTGATTACAATCTTTACAAGAAATTTCATAAATACCCGACCTTTCCAGTGGAGGTGTTTTATCCTTTGGATTGCCTAATAATTGTTGTAATTTATTATTAGCACTATACACAAGTTTATAATTGACATTCTTAAAAATTCCTTTTAGACCACGGGATAACTCTCTATCAAACGGTATCGAAAAATATTTAGACGTATCTTTCTCCACTTGAAAAGTCGAATTTTCAGAAATCATTAACCTATACCTACGTTTTCTATTAATTGCTATTAATTTATCAACTACTGAAGGGGAATATCCATTACACTCAGCTACATTCCTAATGTAATCTCTTTCTATTTCATATCTTTCGTTGGAAAGTGGGAAGCTAAGTAATCTCTATGAACTAAGAAATTTAAACTAGCCATTTTATGTTCAACACTGTGATGTGATTCATTAGGAATATATCTGCGTGTGGTCGTATTTTTCCTATAGATATCAAATTCCAGGCAATTATTAGTATTTCTAATAACTAATACATCTAGAAATGGTAATCTGTCGTTGTTCTCAATTTCATTTATTTCAACTGAATCATTATTTTTAACTGAGAAAGAAGGTTCATGATCAAGTAAACTTTCGAACTCCCTTGATAACCATTTTGCCAAATTATAAGTCGGAGAACCTACAGCCGAAACAATTGGGCGCATAGACTTGTCCGGTTTATGAATTTTTGGCAAAGCATACAATTTTGGTAATGAGGGATTGGATACTTGCAATTTCCTCTTTAAAGAAAGATCAATAAGGTGTTACATTCTTTTAGAGTTTTTTTTTAAGTTGTTAACCTTATCGTAATAGTCTTCTTTTATCTAATATATGTAGGGGCCATTATCGATTAAGTTGTTAACCTTATCGCAATAGTCTTTTTTATCTAATATAACAACCTTATTTCCCTTATCAGCTTTTAGGTAGAAACAATTTTTGTTACGCAAACTCTTGACAATATTGTGCTCCTTGTTAGATTTTAATGATTTACTTGAAACGATATTTTTTGATAACTACAAGCCTCTAATATTTGATTTCTACAAGCCTCTCTTGTAAATACTTTAGAAGCCTCGGGCAAGTGCTGAATAGCAGTTTCAACACCAACGACGATTTCCTCCAAAGCGCTACCAGAGTTGGGCAATGCAAACTTTAAACCTTTGTTTAATAAACTGAGCTCTTGTTTATCAAATGTCTGCGAAGAAAGATTCTCTACTATGTTTATGTCTCTTTGGAAAACATGTTTGTTTTTAGAGCTTTTTAATTTTTTAAACTTATTATTCAAAATGGCCATTTTCTTAACAAATTTTGAATTGATAACCACAAACATATTTCTCTGAAAGGGACACCAACATTCATACTCTACATTAGTTAGCTTATAAGTAAGTTTTTTGTAAAGTCCATAGGCTTCAATTTCAAGCATACTTCGTTTACTATACAGAAATTTGATTTCTAAATCAAGCCATTTTTGTTTTGTAATTTTCTCTACCTTATCACTAACGTTACTTTTCGGAATATCAACTTTAATAAAACTAGGATAAACTGAATTGGCTTTTCATGATTTAAGAAACCAAATATCTGCTTCTAATAACCTAATCTTAGTACTAAACTTACGATAAAGATTCAGTTCCGTTGACCGTGAAGCCATCGAAGATAACAGTTGAGGGTTGGAACCTTTGGTGTTACACAGCAAAATAAAAACACTAAATCACCACAATACACCAAAACACTTTTACTTTTACACTGATGAAATAGTAGTAAGCAGTAGTCTTCGTTTTTTTATTTATTATAATTATTTTCCAAGTCCTTTTTATCCCCATATTATAATGCTAAAATAAGTGCTACATATTTTAATGCTAAACAAGTGTTTATAGATTCATCCGGGACGTGCACATGGGTTATCACTGTAATAATTTTCGAAAAAAAAAATGTACGCCACTGATTTTTTGTCTTTTGATAGCAAAATTGTATAGGCCGTTTAATGCCAATTAAAAGTTGTATCTTGATAATTTATCGATTTCGATCTCCGCGATAGAAACGCAATTTTATTAACTACAATTAAGAAAATTAATTTAAAAATAAAATTAATACATTATTTATTTTATCTAATTTATTATTAAATATTATTATTATTACTTATAATTACTATTAGTCCAATCCTTGGTTCAATCTACAGCACATTCAAATAAAAATGGTATTTAAGATAATTACAGAACACCTAATTTTCAAAAGTTTTTACATCCTGTATTTTTAAAACTATGGATTTCCATACCCATGTTTATTTGATGAGGAATCAATGAGTACTTATGTAAAACTTTTGCAAGTTAAATTAATTTAATGAAATTAAATTTTATTAAAGGTTGCTATTATAGACTTGAACAAAGCAAATTAATAAAATTGCGTTTATCTCATCAAGGAAAGGAGGCCTAACAATAAAAAAAAGTCAGTGGCGTACATCCTTTTTTTTAGAAAAATATTCCAGTGACAACCCGTATGCACGTCCCTGGTAAATATGGCGACACTTTTTTAGCATTAAAATATGTCGCATTTATAGTAACTTTTACCCTCAAAATTTCATTAGAATCACTAAAAGTACTTGGAAGAAAATTGTAATAAATCGAAAATAAATAAGACTTTAACACTGTAGCCACGACACAAAGCCGAATCGGATCTATGTTGATATAAAAAATAAATCTTAATTTTAGGTGATGAATCTCCCCACGAGAGATAGAACATGTTTTTTGGAACACCCTGTATGTGCACTTATTTGACTCATCCTTATATGAACAATATTTTGTCATTTATTATTAAAATTACATAGTTTATTTTTATCAGAATTGATATTATCCTTGTATATTATCTAATATACATGCATTGGGTTATAAATGCCGTATGATCGAAAAAAAATGGCGTCCAGTTGGCTTGGAAATGACAATCGATGACATTTCCCATATGATTTTACATTATATAAAATGACAGCGATCATCATTTCATAGCCATCGCCGACACCGCGCCGTTTTCTCACAAAACTGTTCGTGGTTTTCTCACATTTATTTTTCTCGTAGATTCAATTAATATATAGGGTGTTACATTACAAAAACACAACTTTGAAGTGTATTTTTTTTGAAAAAATTATATAAATTAACCACATATGCTCACAAAATCTCATTTCAATACAATCTGTCATTCTCTTTGTAGCCTCTGCGTTCACCCTGTACATAAAAAATTAAAAATTGTAAACAATAAATAATATAAAATACAATTCTGATCTTCTTCCTGTTTATCATTGAAAACTTTTTTTGTATTGTGTCAAGATATACTATGTAATGTTTATGTTCATCTACTACACAAATTTATAGAAGAAAAAATAACTATTATATATTTAATTAAAAAGAAAATAAAGTCATCTATGGTTAAAACGATCATGGTTAGAAGAAGGAATACCAATAATTGGTTTTAATTAATTTTATACCTGCTTATATTTTCTTTTATTATATGATCTGGTTTAAAAATGTCAATGAAGAACTTATTATCAACGTTTATACATTTTTCCTTACATATAATATTTTATTAATCGTAATTAAAACATTTCAGAATAGACATATATTTTGTAGTTTTTTATTCTTATATATTTATTCTATCTATCTTATAACAAGGTTATCTGTTTGTTTTGTTCAGAAAATCTAGAGTAATTTTCAGAAAATCATTTGGTTTTTCTATATGTACCCAGTGACCCGCCCCTTCGATGTACTGCAGCTCGGCCTTGGGGAACAACTTTAGGATTTTAGGATAATCACTTTTTCTGCAAAACCAAAAAGTAATAAGGTGTAGAAGTTTAATTTTTTTTCCGATTTTTTCCAGCTAATTTATGAAGTAACGTAAATATTTCGATGAAAATTGAATCTGAAGTTTTTTGACATGAGAAATTTGATTTTGGCGTCAATATGACACCTACTTGTAGGGGACGCCATCTACATGTGTTTTAACTGTTTTGAAGAGTAATAACTTTTCCTCCGTACCTATATAAAACTACTGAGTGAAAAAATATACATTTCCGTGATTTTTTACGTTAAAAATTGTCTCTTTTTAAAATTGCTATAAGCAACAATTCTCAAGATATTTAGAATGGAAGTAGTTAATACATGTCATTATTGACTAAAAATAAATATGTTGAGTAGATAGTTTTTAGATATTTGACTGAAATGATAAATTTGGGAACTTTTTTTTTAATAATAATAATAGCTCCCGTATATAGCGTTTAACGCCTTGGGAGTAGCAAGGTACAGTTTGCCATACTAGAGCCGTTCGGTATACAAGGAAGGTAATGTGGCTAGCACTACGCTTCAACCGCCTATTATTACCTCAGGATTGTGAATCCCAAGTACTCATTTAAGGCCGAGTCGACCTAGGTACCCAAACTATTTTTATTTTAATAAAAATAGTCGGCTGATGAAATGCCGGGTGTGGGATTCGAACCCACTATCTTCAGATTGGTAGACGAGAGCCTGTACCTCTACGCCATCGGGCACCTTTTTCTATTATTATTTTTTTTTAATTAATTAACTAGTTTTGATAATTTCGATTCCAAATATCTAGAGAACCATTACTCGTAGCGATTTTTACCAAGAGACCTTTCTTTCTCAAAATGTCGTAAATGTATATTTATTACTCAGTAGTTTTATACAGGTACGGACGAAAAAGTATTACTCTTTAATCAAGTTAAAAAATATGTAGGTGGCGCCCTTTACAAGTAAGAGTTATATTGACATCAAAATCAAATTTCTCATGTTAAAAAACTGCCAGATATCAATTTTCATCCAAATATTGACGATACTTCAGAAATTATTCGGAAGTAAAAATTAAGTTTTTACACCACTAAGCATTTTAGGACCTTTATTTATACGAATTTTTTTACTTATTTTTATCCGCAGAATATGCTGCCGAAGTTTCCGGAATACAGTTCGGACCAACAATCGATCGAGAAAAAGAAGCTAATTCGTCAAAGTATTCCACTAAAATCTTTAAATTAAACTTCCAAATATAACTTGATATAATGAAATAAAATACAAGATTTCACATTTGTGTTGAGATAGCTTCCTTCAGCAGGGGAAGCAATAGGTGTCAATTCTTTACTTTAACTAATTTAGCTAAATGATTAGCAACAGATGCCTTGACTTGAGGTAATCCTATTTTTTTTTAAATGGAGCCACTTATTACGGCTCAAAGAAGAACCTTTGAAGAGGTTGAAGCAAGGTTAGAGAGCGCTTTAAACGCCATGTCTGCCTACTATGAGCTGAACTCCTTAAAACCAAATACTTCCAAAACACAGGTCTGTTCATTCCACCTTCACACACGACCAGCAAACCACAAATTAAGGTCGCTTGGAACGGAGAGACCCTTGAACACACAAATAAACCTGTGTACCTTGGAGTCACACTCGACAGATCTCTAATCTACAAACACCACTGCGAAAAAACCCGTCAAAAAGTGACTGCGAGGAACAATATATTAAGAAAACTAACCCACAGTAAGTGGGGCGCTAAACCTGATGTCCTAAGAACGACAGCACAAGCGCTATGTTTCCCCACAGCCGAATATGCCTGCCCTGTCTGGTCAAGATCGGCGCATGCCAAAAAGGTCGATGTAAGCCTCAACGAAACTTGTAGACTTGTGACAGGGTGCATGAAGGCTGCTCCGCTGGATAAACTGTACCAAGCAGCAGGTTTTCCCAGTCCTAACTCACGTAGGGAGGCACATGAATTCAGCGAGAAGTTTAAAAAAACATTCGACAATCGTCATCTACTTTTCGGGCAATACCAAGAATCTAAAAGACTAAAATCCAGACGACGATTTCTCAGCAGCCCCCTGGATGAACCACCCACGAACTATCCTCTGTCAGAAAGCCTGCCGAGAGGTGCCTCGTTCAACTTTAAAACCTGGAGAATGTTGAACCGCATAAGAACAGGAGTTGCTCCGGTAAAAACCAATCTGATCAGATGGGGCCTTGCGCAACCAAATGACGACAAATGCGACTGTGGGATGATACAAGATATGGAACACCTTCTAAAGTGCGTTAATTGTCCTGCACAGTGTAACTCCGACGATTTATGGCAAAGCAAACCCGAAGCATTGGACGTGGCTCAATATTGGGCCGAGAAAATATAGAATGTTCCGAACACGAAAAAGTAAAGTAAGTTTAAATGGAGGGTTTTTAGGGCCTTAAGTACTTCTGAAATAGCTTTGAAATTGTGGCAAGTTGATATTGGAAACACACTACTGGTTATATTGGAAACACACTAAACTCAGATTGTAAGTATTTAAAATGAAAAATATATAATATTTGAAGGCAAATAACATTTCAACTCTTCTCCAATAACGATCTAATTAAAGATACTTCCTTTAAATGTATGGTCTGCAAACATTTCACTATATCCATTATTAAATCATCATAAATCTTTTTTTCCAATAATCTGTCTTGCTTTCATGGTGGAAGATGCCGAATACCGACTCTGCATGGAAAGCGTCGAATATGTGTATCTGCCCCGTTGGTGACAAGACCGGGTTAAAGATATTTAGCAAAACTATGTTGGACTTATTAAACCTTGTATATAACCAGCTATATTAAAAGGTTGGATCTCGAGTTGAAACTGAGAAATTTGCATAATTTTAATACTAATAATTAAATAAGATTCTACTAGAATTTTCAACCATCATAATTTTTCAATGTCAGTTCAAAATAGCAATTGGGTAATAAGTTAAATGTATTATACTCACTCTATATAATCTGATTTTGCTCCACCAATAAATAATGTATTTCCTTCATACTTTAAGTTATCTATGGGTGGAAACCTGACAATATTTTGAAAATTTGATAATAAAGCCGGTATGTTAAATCTCCATTTGTATCTGTAAAATTATCAGTTAGTAAATGTTCTGATTCTTAATAAACTCATCCAACTTCTGATGATCAGTTTTTATTAAGTTTGTTAACAAGAATGCTCTCGCAGATTTCTCAGTAATGTATTCTGATAGCTGTTTATCCACTATATTCTGAGCTTCTCTCAAAGGAACATTCTCTGGCATTTTAACACTAGAATCAGATGGGGTGTATATTTTTTTTAAAGAACATAAGTGCACGGCCACACAGAAAGCGTTTTTTGCGTTTTTAGCGTGAAGCGTCTTTAGCGTCTAAAACAAAATAACAGGATTATATAGGAGTGGCCCCACCAAAAGCGTCTAGAGTTCGGCGTGTCTCGCAAAAAACGCAAATGAAAACAAATCAATTTGTTTTCTGTAGCGTCTTTACCGTTTTCTATGAGACCCCGTCATAGGCGGACGTAATATTTAATAATGCAATAAAAATTAAATTAAATAGTATGCATTTTTTTTCATTTTAGGATATTATCTAAAAATATTTTTATAGAGAACATCTACTGTTTAGGAAGATTCTATTAAATTCAAAAATGAAATGAGGAAATGTTGGAAAAAATCTAGTTTGAAATGTTGAAAAAGTAATAAATTAAAGGAATATTTTCTTACGCGTAAAAAAAGTTTTTTTACCAGAAACAATAAGTTTTTGACACGTAAAAAAATAGTTTTTTACGTGTAACAAATAGTTTTATACCCGTAAAAAATATTTTTTTTTGGGTAAAAAAGTTTTTTTTACCAGAAACAATAAGTTTTTGACGCGAAAAAAAATAGTTTTTTACGTGTAAGAAATAGTTTTTTACACGCAATTTTTTTTTGCGTAAAAAAGGTTTTTTACCAGATACAATAAGTTTTTGACGCGTAAAAAAATAGTTTTTTACGTGTAACAAATAGTTTTTTACACGTAAAAATATTTTCTTTTTGCGTAAAATTTTTTTTTACCAGGGTCAATAAGTTTTTGACGCGTAAAAAAATAGTATTTTACGTGTAACAAATAGATTTTGACACGTAACAACTAGTTTTATACGCGTAAAAAATAGTTTTCTACCAGTAACAAATAGTTTTATATGCCTAAAAAATGGTTTTTTACGTATAACAGTTTTATTCGCGTAAAATAATAAAAATAGTTTTTTACGTGTTACAAATGGTTTTTACACGTAATAATTTGATTCACTTTTACAAAATTTGTATCAAAATATCAATATTTTTGATAAACACGTGGACTGCTCACAAATACACGTCGCGTCACTACGTATTTCTAAGCCGTTAACACGTTTCGTTACAACTAGCTCGTGTGTCAGGGTCGTCTCGCTAGCTCGTATGTCACGGCCTTGAATGTTTACTCCCAGCGCGCGTAAAGAAGTTTCACTCCAAAATGTTTCATAAATCATGTCCTAAAATTGCATGAGCAACTAGAAATATTTATATACTATTCTATTATATAATTATAATTATTTAGCCACGACTATCGAATGCTATGAAATTTAGTATTCGTTTGGATTTTGTATGCGTCAGTGCATTATAGTTCTTCCAAATTTTTATAACTTCGCCGTATAAATACTGTGCTATTTTTGCGTTTATTAAAATAGTTAAAATACTAAAATAGTAGTTATTTTTTAATTTTATTTATTGACGATTGTGTGCATGTGTAGGTGGTCAAAATTTTTCCGAAAATTTGTGTGGTTTTCCGTAGTCCGATCTTTCAATTATTTAATTTTATATGGTACCTATATGGTCTATTTTTTAATGGGAAATTTTGAGAAGTAGTAATTTATAAGAGAGATGAGATGAACTTACAATTAATTTTAAAAATACATATTTGTATTTTAGATGTTTTAATAATATGAATTAGTTGAACTTAATAATCATATTTAAGTAATGTGGTTAAATAAATGGTTATCGAACTCAAACTATGGGGTGAGAAAATTAAAATGAAAGTTTTACACGTGCCAATTTAAAAAAAAAGTTAACGATGTTTGTATTTTGTTTATGCTAATTCTCTTACATGTAGTTTTTTTGCGAAGAAATATTTCATTTATTTTTTAAAGTAAATGCCAGTAAAAGTAAATATAATTTTTAAATAGTAATATAAAGCACCTAATATAAATAATTTTGATTTCTAATTTTTTATTTATATTTTCCTTCCATTACACCGCTTGCTTAGAAAATTAATAAATGTTTATATTTCATGATTTTAAAATTTGTTGTTAATATAACAAATTAGTTCTGTAATTATTATTATTTAATAAACCAACGTTGCCAAAAAATTAGAGACTATATTATTTTTAAATAGGATCTAATATAAATAATTTTGACATCTAATTTGTTGTTTATATTTTGCTACTACTTAAAAAAAATGTTTATATTAAATGATTTTAAATTTTGTTGTTAATAGGTATAACAAATTATTACTGTTATTATTATTTATTAAACCAGTCTTTGCTTAAAAACATTAAAATAATTTTCCTACATCCAAAATAACAAGTATTATTGCAGTGTAACAACAGAATATTAATAAAAAATGCAGAATATATAGACATACTATCCCTAACTAACTAAAGCCAAACAATAATATTCTTTGCTAATATCAACTAATACAAAAATATGGCAACAGCGCCCTTCATAATGTATTTTCTGTGTAAATACTAGCACCTCAATAAAAAAATAATGTGTCCTTATCATATATGACTCCGCAAAATCAAAGATGCCGGCTTCTTTCATAGCATTGCCACCGACCGCTTTCTCGGAAAACCCTACGTCGCCGGGCGACAACTAAAATTCAGTTAATATTTTATTATAATCGATCCTGACGAATAAATGAATTTCATAAATGAATGAATTTTATAAATGAATGAATTTTATAAATGAATGGTTTTTGCTGCCGAATTACTATACAATATTTCAAGGCAGATGACGGATCTATTCGATAATTTTTATTCGAATAGTTTTCAACGAATGTTTTCTTACTAACTATCGAATTATTCGAATGAATTGCAACTATCGAATGTTTCGATAGTATTCATTCGATAGTTCCCACTACTAGTTACAACTAGCTCGTGTGTCAGGGTCGTCTCGCTAGCTCGTATGTCACGGCCTTGAATGTTTACTCCCAGCGCGCGTAAAGAAGTTTCACTCCAAAATGTTTCATAAATCATGTCCTAAAATTGCATGAGCAACTAGAAATATTTATATACTATTCTATTATATAATTATAATTATTTATTATATTATACTATAATTATAACAAGTACTAACCACAACACTACAACATAAAAAACTATACACATATAAACTAAAATTCGTAAAATAAATGGTAAATAATAATAATTATTATTTTTACACATACCACTGGCACTAGCAGTAGATTGTGTTTGGTGTGGTTTGGAATATATTCCCCGGCCCCGATGTCTCCGAATATATTCCCGGCCCGTCCACAATTCAATCTCAGTATCTTTTATATTCGTCTCTTCAACGCTAACCGGCGCCGATCTCGCCTATCTCTTTCTCTCAGGATTGATTGTTGGACGGGCCGGGAATCCACGAGCTTGCGACGTTACTAATTGACATGTTTATAGAAATTGCAGACCAGCCGCGTCTTTTGCGTGTTTTTAATGGACACAAATTGACAAAAGCGCTTAAAACGGCAAAATAGCAAAAAGCGCTTGAGACGCAAAAAACGCAAAACGCTAAAAACGCTTTCTGTGTGGCCGTGGGCTAACGTATACCTACCTATTCATAACATTGAATAAATTTGAAAGCTCCTTAAATTTTGGGCTAGTGGTGACTGGAGATATATCTACAATAATAAGTTTCTCTACAAGTTTCGGCTAAAATAGCTTGATTTTTAATAAACAGCTCGACCGCCATAAGTAAATACCCACATATTGCAGTGTAAACAACATGGCACATCTGCCACCCATTGAATGTCCCATAAGGGCAATTTTCCCAATGCTATGGTCTTTTAAAAAGTATTGTAGATCATCCGCCAAATATTCGTACGAGTGTTGAGAAGTGTGAGGGCTTTCCCCATGATTTCGCAAGTCTAATGCTGGATTTTCATGGTAAGTTATTTTACGTCATTAGATTAAGTTACTTACCGATTATCTTTCGTTGAGGACTCGTTTGTTGATGATAAGCCTTACTAAGTCCGGTCCAATTTTGCTTGGAACCGAATAATCCATGTAAAATAATAAAGGGTGGTTCTAAAGCGGTCTCAGCTTCTGTTTCAAAAGTGGTGAATGATAGTTTTAACGGACTTGATAACTCAGACGATGAAGAACAATTCACAGAATATCTATCAAATATATGATGAAACTTTAATAATTTACAAACAACTCTTCTACTGAATAACATTTTTTAAAATATAAAATTTGAAGTTACGTTTATGATGTCCTTTGAATTTATTAAGATAAGGTGGAAAAGGTGGGCGATTAGTTCATTTGAGCCTCTCACAGGTAAATCATATTTTGACAGAAATATTTTTACTTAAATTATTTACAAAATATACTATATGAACCTTTGATATGAACAAATAAATATACTCTACAGAGTGTTTCAAAAAGCATGTGCCATCTCTCGTGGGGAGATTCCTCACGTAAAAATAAGATTTATTTTTCATATCAACATAGGGACCTTCTGTTTTCTGCTTTGTTTCGTAGCTACGGGGTTTTAAATTCTTAATAATCTTTTGATTTATTATAATTTTCTTTCAAGTACTTTTAGTGATTCGAATGAAATTTTGAGAGAACAAAGTTACTATAAGTGCTACATGCATATGAGTTATCACTGAAATATTTAAAAAAAACCTGTGCGTCACTGACTTTTTTTTATATCAAAATTGTGTAGGCCGTTTAATGCCAATTAAAAGTTATCTCTTGATATTTTGTCGAATTCGACCTCCTTGAAGAGATAAACGCAATTTTATTAACCACAATTGAAGAGTGGAAATACCAAAGGGGGTAAGTGCCAAAATTATTTTTTCGAGATAAATGAGAAAAACACAGTAGAACCATAGTATAAGGAAACTTTTACTCCTTGTCAAATCCTTTGTTCTTTTTCTGCCACTTTATATGACCTTGTTCTCGCTTCCGTAGCCGACGACGTAGCTGTATAGTCGTGGTCTATTAACTAGGCAAAGTATAGACGTGGCACTCGCCATAGTTTCACAGATATGTATTTAGGAAAATATGAGTTCACAATAAAATAAAATAAAAAAATGATCATCGAGTAAAAACTTGCTTGAAAACAGAATATTTTCACATTTCGTGTAGGTAACAATTCTTCTGTATCTGAAAATCTTCTGATGGGAAGAAATGCGGAAAAAAATATAATAATGACATATTTTTATATTATTATCTATTTCAGAGATTTTCTACGACTTTTTTTTATTTAAAGCAAGTTTAATTTTCTGTAGATAACTGGATTCGGCATAAAATTATGCTATAGTACACTGTCTTTATTTAAAGCACACTGCGGTGTTGCCAATCTATTTCTTATTTACTAAAACTTTGGTTAAAAACATTATATACGAAAAGTGGTAAAAAACTAGAGTGAATATAACTTTATTAATACTTTGCTATGTTTTCTTAAACATGAAGGATATCTGAATAAATTCGTGTAGAAAAATTTACTTTATCGTATACAGGATATTTTTTATGGCGTCACCAAAATCGTAATATTTAAAAAATGTTGTATCTCATTTTTTTTTAAATGCAACACCTTGTATATTATTTTTGTTTCAGATGTAGAATTAAAAGGTGAACATTTTTTGACAAGACAAGACAGACAAAGATCATATTAGGTGGCTTTGAAAAAAATTTACTGTTGAAAGAGCCATATGTAATATAATACTGCGAATATCTGCGACAGCGGTAAAAATTTAGAAACACTTTAAATTAATAAAAAAATGTTCACTTTTTAATTCTGCATCTGACAGAAAAATAATATAGAGAATGTCGCATTTAAAAAAGTTGAGATATACCATTTTAAATATTACGATTTTGGTGACGCCATAAAAAATACCCAATATAGAATAATGTATATAGAATGATATAAAATAATAAAAAAAATCAAACTAACTTTACCATAACTTTTTTGTGACACCCTGTATATAACAAAATATTTTAGGATACACCCCTTTATAAACCTTGAAACATATGAATAAAACTTTTTTCACATCTTCGACAACGACGACGATATTGGACTTCCTCGCACTAATGGGCCACCCTGTATATTTACGGTGGTTTAAAGCTAGGTGTGGCACTTTTCTTCCCTCAAATATAAACCAATATTTTGTCTATAATATTTTGAATATTGATATATTACGACCACTTATAATAAAAAATAAATAAAAAAAATACAGTCCACTAAATTTATAAGAGATTATGCTATTATAAAAATCTTTCAATTAAAAAATATGAATAATTTGCGGATACTTTAGATGTACAAAATATTTACTCTAAAATTGTTTCAAAAACCAATTTATATAAATTCTCGTAAATTATTATTGGAATGAAAATTTTATGGGAAATCCCCTGACCAAAAAATATTTTCATGCGCATATTTGAGACAACCTGTATATCTAAAAAACTATTTTTAAAATCTGCACACATGCTAAAAAAATAATAACATTTAATTAATTACATAATATCTCAGCTTCTAAAATAAACAAATATAATTAAATGTTAATTGATAATTACTATCAGCTTGCCTATTTACATCCGATGGAAATCTAAAAAGACTCAAAGAACAATTTTTTGAATTATTTCCACAATTAATAGCAGCGCACAGTAAGGCACTCATTTCACAGTTCGACGGACCGAATTCAACTGAAACGCTTTGCAACCTGCCAGCTTGCAAAAACTGGCAGAAAATATTTGCGAGAGTGCAACTACTCTTTTCCTTAAACTATGGTAGAACTGAAACTAATAAATTTTTAAAATATCTTTTAAAATACGTATAATATACATAAATAGATCTTCTTATAACTTTTGTTAGGACATGCAGCATAGTATTTATTACGTTTCTAATTTAATAATTTAGTATTGAACAATTTGGCACTTATCCCCTTTGGTATTTCCACTCTTCAATAGTTAATAAAATTAAAATAAAATTAATAAATTATATATTTTACCTAATTTATTATTAAATAATATTACTATTAGTCAAACCTATAGCAATTTCAAATAAAAAAATAATGGCATTTAAGACAATTACAAAAAACCTAATTTTACTAAGTTTTAACTTTTAACATCCTGTAACTCTAAAACTATGTATTTCCATGCCCATGTTTATAAGAACTTTTTTTCATATTTTTTGATAAGGAATCAATGAGTACTTATTTAAAACTTTCGTAAGTTAATGATATTAAATTTTTTAAAGGTTGCTGGTAAATTGCTTACACTATTTCGCTAACAAGAGAAAAAAGTCAGTGGCGTACATGCATTTTTAGAAAAATATTCCAGTGATAATCCATATGCACGTCCCTGGTGAATATGTCGACACTTTTTAACTTTAAAACTTTAAAATATGTCGCATTTACAGTAACTTTTACCCTCAAAATTTCATTCGTAACGCTAAAAGTACTTGGAAGAAAATTATAATAAAACGAAAAAATATTAGGATTTTAACACCCTGTAGCTACGAAACAAAGCAGAATTGGACCTATGTTGATATGAAAAATAAATCTTATTTTTACGTGAGGAATCTCCCCACGATGGTACGTTTTTTGAAACACCCTGTATATAATATAGATTTAAATTCTAATTTAATTAACTACAATTTACAATATTTATTTCGAAACTTTGAATTTTAGAAGGACAAGAAATACAGATACAGGGACGTGCTAAAAAAGCTCATCTCAGATTGAAAAATTTTATTGACAAGATACACAAATTTTTGGTTCCCAAAAAACTATTTCAATAATTATCACATTGTATTTATAAAATTGATTGCCACAGAATGACCTTCAACGAAAACCAACTTACACACTAATTATCCATTCCCTAGCACACAAAGATCATACTGTGACTAAAACTACAATATCACAGAAAATTTTGCGGGATTGAACTGAAGCGAAAAGTAAATGCGGACAGCTAAAACTCTTAATGTATCCTGTAAGATTAACACCCCTATTTATAATACATTTTGTATTTTAAAAGTTTTAGTTATCGACAAAGTTTATATATTGTTATTTTAATACAAATTGTAATTGATATAAATGCATATTACGATACAGATAATTCTAGTCTATTAGGTATACACATATAAAATTAAGAATAATATTTTAGTTTATGATAGTATAGTGAATATATGACAGCTTATGAAATAGTAAATAATGATAAAAATATTAATCTTTGTACTCATTAGGATATTTCGTTAAAAGAAAAATAAATGCTATTACTATTCACCAAACAGGGTCTGCTCAACGAGGGGATTTATGACAATGACAGTTCTGTTTGTTATTTTAACTCACAGATAAATAGTATTTTCTGTCTGTCCAAATATTCTCTGATTTATTGAACAAACCTTACTATATTTTTAATAAACTTAAATTTAGTCATGTGTCATGTATTCACTAAATTAATACAAGCCTAAATCTAATAAAAATTATTGGGCAGTTTATATTTATCGAGGTTCCTAAAAAGCCATCTTAAAAGTTAATAAAGAAGTCCATAAAATACATTGTCACAGATGGTCAGTCTCAATATTCATCGCGAAAATAAATGCTGCCTCATCAGTCTTGAGTCCTTACAAAGGAATCTTATTTTTCAATTTTTGTAATGGTAGGACCACAACTAAGGTCATGATTCATTTAACAGCTGCACATGTGGCTCTAACATAAATAGATTTTTCGTTTGCAAAAAAGTAATTTTGATTTTTATTCAATTGTATATATGTCAAAGCGTCATTGAAACCTGACACCGTTGAATTTTTGTATAGACTATGTAAACTAATAGAGGAGAAATGTCTTGTCTGTCTAGAACTGTCAAATTATTGTGTTTAGTGTCAATTATAATGCTTATGGTCATATCTAGATAGACAAGAAAGTTGTTCTTTACAGATTTACAACACAGTATAAAGATATAAGAATTTGATTATCTCGTCACCATTAATAGTACACTACTACAATACTATTGGAAGTTTTGTCTCTACAATAACCAATTTTCTTTACAAAAAAGAAAAATTTTGAAGTATCGTCAATAAATGTTGACTCGTCGCTCATAAGAGATGAGTCAGATCGATATTTGCGCCTGTACTATGAGCACTGAGTGTACTATGAGCAATAGGGTAGTGTAGTACTCTGAACGGCTGGTATATGCGGATATTGTGCTTTTGATTCATGTAGAACAAAGAAACCTTAATATATAGCTATCTTTCTTACGAGTCTTATTGCTGTTCTGTTATTTTAATATCTCTACAGAGACGGCTTTAAAGTCGTTAACCTTCAATCAAAGGGCGGAGCTTAACCTTCAACGGAGCTTACCTTCAACAACTTCAAAGGGCGGAGCTTAAGAACCTTTCCAAGCATCACGGCAAATACACTGCCACGTTAAGGAAAACTTCCTTATCCAATGAGTTGAACAAGTTATGTTTTTTCGTGTTAATATTTGTTGATAGGGCACTCTTATATTACCGTAATTGTAAAATTTACACTTAAGGTAACATTATATTCCGTGATAACTCCGAAAATAAGGCAAGACAAGGTATTTCTTGCCTCTCATTTAGTTGGAAAATATCTGAATCTGCTTAGTGACACCTTGTATCTCAATTGTAGTTAAGGCGTTTTTCTTTTAACATGGCAGTACAGATAAAAGACCATAAATATAATTTTAAGATGTTATTTCTTCCATTTTCCTCATTGTTGTGCTGAAGAGCTTTACCTACAATTTGATAAAAATTAGTGATGGGATAATCAAATTATTAAATTATTCATAATTCGATTATGAAAATAATCGTCATCATCCGATTGTTGAAAAATAATTCAAATTTTTTTAATGAATGATAAATAAAATATAATCGCATCGTTTGCGATGACTCATCAATACGAGTAGTGGATGTTTCGGCGGGATTGTTCGGTAGTCTCTTTCTTTATCGTTATCGAGAAACTAATAGACAGAGAGGGAGACAAACAACCCGATTCGCTATTAACAATCTGAGGGTTTGTTTAACCTGTTTTAATTTAATTTAACTATAGAGATTATGACGACAGAAGCTTCTACGTTCCACTAGTCAACTCGCATACCCAACAATGTTGCCGTTTGCTGTTATCTTATTTTATGAACGGTTTTAAGAATGACGGACAGTAACGCCTAGCTATAGCCAATTTTGCAAGAGCAGCTGTGGATCCATTGGTAAGGTCGTCGCTTCGGGAACGAGAGGTCCCAGGATCGTGTCCCAACCTAAACCAAAACTTTTTTATTTTTTTATTTATTTGCAGTTGTCGGTAATAGCAATAATTGATTGTGTTGGTTAGTCTCTGGGGTAAGTTTTTTTTTGTTTAGATTGCATGCGAAATACTCGACCGATTATCGTTTATGCGCGTGCAGAACTGTGAAATTAAGGAACAACAAATGGCAACGTTGGGTATGCGACTAGTGGGACGTAGAAGCTAGTCGAATTTCGAATACTGAGAACTGAGTGATGAATTATTATGAGTGACGACCTTGTGACGTTGCAAGTACACTCTTGAGTGATTTATAATTCGAATTATAATCCGATTATTAAAATCACTCATAGCCTGATAATTCGATTATTGAAATAATACGATTTTCCCATCACTAATAAAAATAAATTATACAGCAGTTTCAGGCTATACCAATGGTTGATTTTTTACATATCATAGAATTAAATACATGATTCTTATTGTAACAAAAATGAAGTCAATTGAATATCTAATAGCTTATTTAATTTTGCATCTGCGTTTATGGCTTAGTTTGGAAAAGTTTTAATCTTTGTCCACTGACTTGATGTCAGACTTAGGTAGTTTAATATAATTGAATTGGTGTTTAATAGTCATTCAGTGTTTTTATTGTTTTCTGTTTTCCTATTTTTATGTGTAAAGTTGCCTTTAGTTACTGTACGTGTGGGACGACCTTAAGATTAAAAGTATGTCTGTCAAAAAGAAGACGAAAGAAGATGGCGGAACAATAAAGTTGTCAGTAATACCGTCCGCTGTTTTAATACAAGTTTTTAATTGCAATTGTAATACCTCCGAGTAATACTATCAACAAAGAAAAAGTTCAATCTTCAACAACTGGATACTCATATATTTTAACCTACTCCTTATATCTTTATACTGTTCACAGGGTCTATAGTCTATATGGTACTTTTTATAATTATTATTCGCCTTTTTCGAACAGACGATTATCAACGGCTACAGCGCAAGATCCAGCCCGACCTGTTTTAAGAGGGGCCAATGAGATCCATTCATTACTTACCGGATCGTACGCCTCAACGCTCTTTAAATAAACGTTCCCATCGTACCCGCCTATCGCGTACAATTTATCCCCAAACGGGGTGCAAGCCACCGAATCTCTTTTCCCCGACATCGTACTTACCGTCGTCCATGTTTCCGTCGTAGGATCGTACCTTTCCACGCAATCGAACCTCGAAGATATGGGACTGTTCGCGGCCGCGTCTTGGCCTCCCATCACGTAGAGGTGACCATTGGCCGTGGCTACGCCCACGCAGCCTTTGGGGCGTGACAGGGGCGGGATCAACGTCCACTTGTTCGTGTGCGGGTCGTAGCATTCCACCGTTCTGAGGCAGTTGGGCCCGTCCCTGCCTCCGATGGCGTAGAGTTTCCCGTTGAGAACCACCACGCCCGCCGAGCAGCGTTGGTTTTGCATAGCGGCCACGTACTGCCAAGAGCGGGTGGTCGGATCCCATCGTTCCACGGTGCTGAGGTAACTCCAGCCGTCGTGGCCGCCTACTGCGTATAGAGTTCCACCCAGTATGGCCACGCCCAAGCCGTGCCTGTGGGTGTTCATAGGCGACAGCTGGGTCCAAGTGTTGGTTTTTAGGTCAAGGCATTCCATGGTGTTCAAAGTTTTCAGACCATCTCTTCCTAGACAAATATAAAATAACGCGTTATCAGATGGAAAAATTAGACTAAGTAAAATGGAAATAAAAACGGAGAAGTGCGAGTCGGATTTCCCCACCAAGGGTTCCGTATATACCGGGTGTGCTCGAAAGTGGCTCACCCCCTATAACTTTTTTATTTTTTCAGATAAAAAACGAGATTTGGTATGTTAGTATATGACATAAATTAGGATTGATTGGCGTATTCCATTGCTTTTGGTCACTCCCTGTTTCACCGGAAATGACTACAACTTTTGATTTTTAAATGGCATTCTCGGTATATTTCTACTTTATTCAATAGAAAACGACACTCTGTCACATGTCAACTTTTCACACGTCAAATCGTATTTTAAATTTCAATGTCATTTGCTGCGTTACAAACATTAATTTTTAATCATGGAGCCCTGCAAAAATAGTTTTTATTGTCTAATGTTTTTCGTGTCTTATCCTGGCCAGTTAAAAGATATCCAAATCGTATTTGTAATTATATCTCAATTTTTTCAAATGAAACAAATGTAGCTCATTAGCATATTTGGAAAAAGCATTTTTTTACAAATAATTTGGTACCACACACTTGGTATTTGTCGAGTAAATTGTCGTTATAAACCGCATGTTACAATTTCAAATAAACCATATGCGAAAATGTCAAAAGTTGACATATGAAATGTCATTCTATTCAGAGTGTAATTTTCTATCGAATGAAGTAGATATATACCGAGAGTGCCATTTAAAAATAAAAAATGTAGTAATTTCTGGTTAGGTTAGGTTAAAAGTTATAGGGGTGAGCCACTTTTGAGACGCACCCGGTAGACTATATTTTTTATGATTTAATTGTAAATCTATAGTTTTCAAATTTTTCCCTATACTTGTAGTATAAGATGGTATTACTTGCCAAATTTCATAATTTTAGATTAACGGGAAACATATATGGTAGTCGCAAAACAATTTCAGATACACGTGATCAATTTTGAGTGAAAAGCGATGGCGACAGCGCTGCCAGATTGTGATAATAAATATATTTATTATATAATTTTCTAAAGAGTTTTACGTTTTATTTTTAATTTAATAACCAATATTTTAGTAACTAATTGATTTATTTGTTTTATAGCTTATTTTACTTATTACAATATTGGCAAAAACTAGTCTATTATGAAGATTATTATAAGCGTTATTATGGGTTCTTTATTAATTTATTTATTACAAACTAATAATCACAGAATTTAATAAAAACTAACTTTGAAAGTGGTATAATGTGCTTATCCATCAAACTTACTTTTCTGACTGCAGTCAAGGGTAATAAAGGACCTTTATTGTCACGTTCTCGTTCACATTGTTTATCACGGAAGCTACAAGCTCTTTTCTTCGACTGTATAAATGCTTCGGCATATTTTCAACACACAATCTCAAGACATACATCTTTTTTCATAATAAGGGACCGTCCTCTGCTGGAAACACTGCGACCTGTGAGGCATATTGTGTTTGTCCCCTTTCTATATCTGCACCCATTCTCCTATCCCTGTGCCCTGCACTAACTTATGCAGGTCCTTGATAGGATGGGAGCATACTTCCTCCGGTTCTAGCCTAGCATTCGCAAATAAAAAGTCTTGCGATCCAGAGCCTCGCAGTGACATATTATGTGCTCCGCTGTTTCAGGATCTTTATCGCAGAGTCTGCAGCAAAGACTTCCTTGATACAGGTTGAGCTTGTTCAGGTAACACTTGATAGTCATGTGTCCTGTCAAGAGGCCTGTTGTAATCCGCAATTTATTCCTGCTAAGCATTAGCAGTTCTTTTGCGGTTTTAGAGCTAGGTCCTTGGATAAAAGCCTTGCTGTGCCTGTGCCCCTGTCTGTTTCTCCAGTGGACATTCTGCTTTCCCTGATCCAGAGTTTTAGTGCACTACGGGCCATACATTTGGGTATTCCCAGTACTGGCTCTGGACCAAGATAGGATACCGATGATCCTTGCCTAGCTAGCTCATCGGCTTTTTCGTTGCCTTGGATGCCGGTGTAGCCCGGCACCCAGAATAATTTAATTCTGTTTCTTCGAGCCAGAGCTCCCAGTTCACCTAGGCATTCCCAGACGAGTCTCGACGATACCTTTGGGCTCATAAACGCCCCAAGTGCCGCCTGACTGTCTGAGCATATATTGATGAGCTTATCTGAATAAGCTCTTCTACTGTTTTCTCTCGAACATTGTAGAATGGCGAAGATTTTGTTGCATTACCTTAGGCCACCATACCAAGGATGCATATGTTACTGAAGGTCTCACCACTCCAGTGTACAGCCAGTGCACCATCTGTGGTCTGAGGCCACAGATTTTTCCATGAAGTCGTCTGACTACCGCTAGTGTAGTCACCACCCTCCTTGTGACATTTTCCTAATGTCGGTTCCAGGTCAGTTTGGTACCAAGCGTGATTCCTAGATACTTGACCTCCCCTGAGAGAGGAATCTCATCATCGCAGAGTCTTATAGGACCTAGTCCCTCAAGTGTTCTGCGCTTGGTGAAGGAGATTATTATATACGGTCTTTGTAGGACTATATAGTCCCTATCGGACTATTTAGTCCCTATCGTGTCACCCATGATTCCACAATCTTCAAGGCCCTTTGCATTCGCTCCCTTACTGTTGTGTCAAACTTACCTCTGACTAACACGACCAAATCGTCTGCATATCCCAGAGTGTTGAAACCAGCCCTGTTGAGACTATTAAGCAGTCCGTCCATAACGAGATTCCACAGCAGAGGGGAGAGAACTCCCCCCTGCGGGCATCCTCCCGCCACCCGGACTGCAACAGTCTCATTTAGTAGGGTGGTATATGCCACTCGACTTTTGAGCATGCAGTCTATCCACCTGCAGCAGGTCTCCTCTAATCCGAGGTTCCTTGTAGCTCTAGTCAGTGACTGAAATGAGGTGTTATCAAACGCCCCTTCTATGTCGAAGAATGCCCCTAAAAGCACTTCTCTTGTTTCGAACGTCGACTCCACTTTGCTTACTACTGATGGAGTGCCGATTCGGTTGATCGTCCTGCTGTATAGGCATGCTGGTCTTGGTGAAATGGTCTTTTTCCCATTATTTCATCCCTAACATACCTGTCCATTAGTTTCTCAAAAGCCTTTAGTACGAACGACATAAACTGATGGGCCTAAAAGCCTTTGCCGTAGAATAGTCCAGACGCCCATTCTTGGGTATAAAAGTTACCCTGGTCAGCCTCCAAATTCTCGGTATATATCCTAAGGCCAGACTAGCTCTTAGTAGTGTACAAAGTTTGCTCGTCAGTAGGTCTGGTCCTTTCTGGAGCATTATTGGACAAATACCGTCCGGTCCCGGTGACTTGTATGGCTCAAATGAGCTTACAGCCCATTTTATCTTTGATTGGTCAATCACCCTTTTTGAAACCTGCCAGTCTTCCCTTGAGGCTCTTCTCGTGAATTTCTCGAGTCCACTACTCTTCCAGGTTTCTGGGGATCCCTCCAAAGTTGTTGATCTGGGAAAGTGTACCCGAAAGAGATTCAATGTTTCTTTCCCAGTGGATGTGTATTCTCCTGCACTAGTTAACAAGAGAGTTAATTGAGGACTGAGAGTCTTTAGAGAGTATTTTTTGAAGTCTGGCACATTCTGAGGTACTGTCAATGCCCTCGCAGTATCTGCTCCAAGATAATCTCTTTGCCCTCTTCAGTTCTTCGTTATATTCGGTCAAAGAGGTCTTATATTCCCCCCAATCGCCGGATCTTTTTGCCCAATTCCAGTTTTTCCTTACCTGCCTTCTTCTTGCCTCTAGCTGGACGATCCACCACGGTGTTATCCGTTTGCGGCTTCTGACAGTCTGAGGGCAGTTTCCTCAAAAGAAGAGATGATCACGTCAGTCAATTGCTCCGCGACCAGTTCCACCTCAGTCTCATTCCTTACCATTGATTTGATTCTCGTCAGTTTGCTAGTTAGGTCTGCCCCAAAGGCTTCCCAATTTGCATTCCGAGGATCACGGTAGGTTTCTACGGTCCTTTGTATTCCCGAGATTTCAAACCTTATGTGTTTGTGGTCCGAGCAACTCTCCTCCTCTGACACACTCCAGTTTTTTTATGAAATTGCTAACAAAAGTGGTGGCTAATGTTAGATCTATTACTTCCTGCCTTTGTGTGGTCACAAAAGTAGTCCTGTTACCTTTACCCATAGTAACATGCCTTACATCTGCAATGGGTGCTCTGCAGGCGTTGACTTTCTTTCACCCTTACTCGTGGGAACAGATGGACAGAGAGAATCAAGACATGCATGCTTAAAAGTGCAATTTAAAAAAAAAAGACTACGAAAATTGGCAAAAAACGAGAATTGTTCACAAAGATTCAACAAGAACACGATATTATACAAAATAATGACTGACATTAGGATAATTATTGTCAAATAATAAAGGACAACATTGCTGAACACGGCGCAATGTGACCAACGACATAGCGATAATAAAATTCGGTTTAAACTAATTTTTGCAGCTTTAATCTATATAAAATATTTGTTACAATCATTTGCTCTATAAAGTAAAATAGTAAAATGCAGAGTTGCTCGGCATCTTACATTATACAACAAATTTAAACATTTTTGCCAAAATTTCATTTAGCCAGGTTTATAGACTTTAATGTTAATGTCGATATGATTGATGACGTGCATCGGAAAATGTTTTGAGATTACAATAAATGTTGATTCCCTTGAGAGCGTCGAAATATACATTTTTTGGGGCTTAAACGGCCGTATCTTTTTTTACATTAACTTAGAAGTTTGATTTTTTAACAGCCTCAATTTTTAATTTCAACTCGATACTTCGACGCGTTCCCGAGATGAAGGGTTGTGACAGACAGACTGACGAATAATAAAGTGATCTTATAAAGGAGTATGCGCACTGAAGGGGTATCGGCGCGAGCGAACGACACGACCGGTCGGAAAGTCGATGGTAATCGACGGTCGAGAGTACGTCACCAGCATATTTGAGCATAGACGAGGAGGAGCTTATTCAAATTTAGTCAAATTCATTCGGTATTTCAAAAAATTATAAAGTATTATTACTATGTATATTTTTATGCAACTTTTTATATTTTATGCTTTATGATGGAAATTAATATTACTTAGATCTTAACCAAACACACATTAATATATTTAGATCTTAACAAACTACATAAAATTAGTGAAATAGAGTGGAAGATGGGGATAAAAAATACTAAATTACTCCTTGGCTTGACCGATTTTAACAAATTTGGTGTCATTCAAAAGGGTTTAATTTGTTCTTTAAAACAAAGCTAGATATGAAAAATAGTCAAATAAAACTTCTATTTTTAGTTTTTTAATCTAAATAAGCGTTATTAGAAACATTTATAAAATAATTTTATATACTATATATACATATACCGGGTGCGGAATATAAATTAGTGAATCGAAAAAAAGAAATAAAGCATAATTAAATTATATAATTAAATATGAAAATCTTGAGCTAAAGAAAAACTGTTATGCGATTCACTGGTTTTATCACACTTTAATCACTGCAATGGAATTTAGCTGGTTAAACATGTAAAATTAATGTACGTTGCATTTCTTTTCTCTTTCTAATGATTACTACATAACTAGATATATTTTTTATATATCGAGTGCTTTTCAAAAGTGGCTCGCCCCTATAACTCTTTTATTTTTTCAGATAAAACAACGAAATTTGGTATGTTAGTATATGTTATAAATTAGAATTGATTGACATATTCAATTGTTTTCGGTTACTTCCGGTTTCGTCGGAAATGACTACAACTTTTGATTTTTAAATGGCACCCTCGGTATTTTTTTACTTTATTCGATAGAAAGTGACATTCTGAATAGAATGTCATATCATATGTCAACTTTTGACATTCTCGCTTAATAAAAAATTGTATTTTAAAATTCAATCTAGAGTGCCATAGCTATGTTAAAAACACTAATTCTTCATCAAGGAGCTTTGGAAAAATAGATTTCATGGTCTAATGTTTTAGCGCCTTGTCCTGGCCAGTTAGAAAATGCTCAAATCGTATTTTTAATCATATCTCAATTTTCTCAAATGGAACGAGGGTGGCTCATTAGCATATTTAGAAAAAGCATTTTTTTACGAATAATTTGATACCACACACTTGGTATTTCAAGTCAAATTTTCGTTACGAACCGCAAGTTATAATTTCAAATAAACCATATGCGAAAATGTAAAAAGTTGACATATGATATGTCATTCTATTCAGTGTGACATTCTCTATCGAATAAAGTAAAAAAATCCTGAGGGTGCAATTTAAAAATCAAAAGTTGTAGTCATTTCCGGTGAAACCGGAAGTGACCAAAAACAATTGAATACGTCAATCAATCCTAATTTATGTCATATACTAACATACCAAATCTCGTTTTTTTAACTAAAAAAATAAATAAGTTATAGGGGTGAGCCACTTTTGAGACGCACCGGTTGTGACCACTTTTGAGACGCACTTTTGAGACGCACCATTATTATTTCACAATTATCACCGGTTGGAGTAAATAAAACTTGAATTAAACTCACAAGATAGCAATTATTACTTTGAAAATGGACGCTATAAACACTTTTCGGAATTTCTTTAATGAGAGCGGTTTAGTTTTTGAAATATTATTATGATTTTTGAAGATTCTGACTTTGACAAGAGAAAATTATTTCTGTTTTTGTTTGCCGTTGTTCTTAGCGACCGCTATAGCAGCGCCAGATCGCGTATAACGGTCGCGACCCAAAATAATTTCGCGACCTAAATTTTTTACGGGCTTTCCAATCTAAACTTGTTGCATTTATCTATGGATGACTATTTATCAGCTGTTATTACTAACGTCAAAACAAACCAAAAATTAAATAATATAAGTTTTTTGACAATATTTAAATTCAATTTCCACAATAATGTGAGATAATCAAAACGAGATGAGAAATAAATGGGTTTAATCAGAAGGTTTTCTAATTCAGTTATTGAATAAGTGTATTAAACAATATAGTTTACGTGCTTGTTAAGAAATTTTTATAAAAAACCGCATAGTATGATATGGTCTTGTACACTTTCGATTAATAATTCATCGGACATGTTTAATGTAAAACCGCTCCACTGAAAACAGTCGCTCGGCGTAGACTATTCGTCCCCCTCCCATGCATTCTCTGATTTCGCCTGATGGCGCCGAGTACCGCCGATACCGACGATAGCTCGTAGCGCACCGATCTAATGCAGTGCGCGGGCTTACATTTATTTCAACGTAAACTGAAAATCACGTGTAGGTCGATCGCGCCGATACCCCTTCAGTGCGCGTAGAGCTTAGGGTTCCATTTCTTCCTTTTGAGGTATGGAACCCTAAAAATGAAGTTTAGTAACAGTAATCTTATTTGAAATATACACTAGCAGTTATAGCCAGCAAACCTCTTTAATATTATTAATATTTTTAAGTAAAACCAACCTCCAACCACCAAAAGCTTGTCATCCATTAAAGCTATTCCAAACTGTAATCTTCTTCCACTCATATGATGAGCTGTCATCCATGTGTCAGATCTTGGGTCATAGCTTTCAATAGTAGTAGCACCTTTGTTATTATCTATACCACCTAAAGAATAAAAAAAATCAATATCTATTCAGAACATCTTATCCTTATTCCTGGGCATATTTATAATGCAGAGTAACTATCACAATCACAATGAACTTGAATATTAGAAAATGATCTTTTGTCAAAAATGGTAACATTCTTTCTATTACTAACTACTTACCCACAATCATTAATCTTCCAATTGTTGCTTTCCTAGGCCTGGTTCTGCTACAAGACATCTGCACCCTTCTTTCAGGTAACAAATGCCATTTCATAGCTTCCATGATGAGTTTTTGACAGAAAGTGTCACTACCAATGGCAGGTTCAACTTGGTCCGATAAGAATGCAGGAGTCAAAAATGGCAACTTAACTAAAGCCAACAATTTGCTGATATGCTTTTTCCTTTTTGCTGGTTCATGCTGTATCCAACTCATCAATGCGTTAAAGACTTGCTCTTCACAGGTTACATTCAGATCGTCGCTGTTTAACAAACTGCACATTTGATCCACATTTAATTGAAGAAATTCTTGGTTTAGAATTACCTAATTGGTATAGTTGTTAATAATAATAGAATAAAGAAAAAATATATGCCTATAATAATATAATAGAGAAAAAATATATACCTATTACCTGCATAAAATGTTGATTAGTGTAAGCATTAGCTTCATTTAATAGACTGGTACAAGATTGATGTTCTGCAAATATAGCAATTCCTAAACAGTTACTGGGATGCAATTGATGAGCTAAAAATCTAGAACAAGCTTCAACTACTTCATGTAAAAGCATCAGACATGCTGTGGCCAACAGCGTTTCAACATTATCTTCCCTAAATAAATCATATTCCTTAGATAAGTTGCATTTACAAAAATATACCAAATTTTAACCTTATCTCTATTGTGCCAGTGTAACAATAATTTACAACTGCTTGCAATACATCACCATTAATGTCAACCAAAGTAATCTCTCTTTGTTCATCATTACTTAAACTTCCTGTAAACATTGTAGCAAAGTACTCGCTTGCTGCAGAAAGTACTAATCTGTAAAAAATACTCATTAAGCAATCTATTTGGACAATTTTATCAACTGATAAAATTACCTATGTGCAGCTACTTTTCTTCCATTTTGTCCGGCTACTAATACAACATCACATAGTTTTCCGGCTTGTAAATATTTTTTCATGCACGACAAGCTATGTTCTGCATGTCCTACACAACTAAAATGTTCATCTTGGGACGACGTCGTCGAACCAGTTGAGAATAAAGAAAGTCTACAATAAAACACATTTATTTCTATGTTAATTATGATAGAAGATAATTTTTGACTAACCTGCTAAAATCTCTTGGTAAATTTGAATCGCTTCCTGCCATGCTGCTGTTTCCCGATGTACAAGAATCTCTTGAGGGGCTCATACTTTCAGACAAAGACATACTTAAATAGTTAACACTTTGAGACTATTTTCACGTGGTTATATTATTGGCATATCATATCCATAAGAAAACCGTACAATTTTCCTTTTTTTATTTAACTTTAAGAATAATATATTTGTTATAAATAAGAAACAAGCAGTTTAAAAAAATTATGTCGATATTTTATATTTTCCAATTGAACACTTTGACAGCTTGACAGCTTTGACCTCTGATCATAACATATAACATCTGACATCTGACTTGCATCTGACCACAGAACACACTAAAGAAGAACGCTAACTCCCATGCATTTTTTAGTTTGAAAACGGTTTCAAATTTGTAAAGAAATCTGTAATCTGTATATTGAAGTGGCGCCATCTAGCCACCCAGGAAAGTAACAAATGTGGCGGCAAATTTAAATAGATCCAATTTATTTTTAAGCAAGACGTATTTAGCAAGGCGCTCGCACTTCTTCTTGTGTATGTGTTTTGTGAGGATATTTTTGTGCTTTGTGATTTGTGAATTTTGTCAGATTTTAATTGTTTATATTTCATTTTGTTTAGTTTTGGTAAAGATTAATTTGGATTCTAAATATATTTTTATGTATGTTTTAAACCTTGCAGATCTATAATCCTAATTGAAAATATAAGAATGTATATTTTAAGGATAATATGGGAAAACTAGACAATTTTTGTTGTATTTGTATACAAAACAGGGAAGAAGTATTATGCATAAATGATGTTGAAAATAACATAAAATACATTAAAAAGTTATCATTTTGTGTGCCTGCAGGGGTATTATTTCTTAAATCCTTTTTGATCTTAAACATTTAATTATTATCTATTACTTTAGGGATGGAAAGAATATTATAAAATTTGTAAATTATGTGCAGGTCAATTAAATATAGCATACAGTTTTTTAAAGGTATGCATAGAAAGTGAATCTATTCGGAAGAAGGAACTCGAGCCTTCTAATGAAGATAAAGAAATTCAGTATACTTGCGATTATTGCAACAGATCTTTTAAACAAAAAAAATATTTGTGTCAGCACATAACTAAGTTACATATTAAGAAGGAAGGGAAACAAATTATTAAAAAGGAGAGTCATGATGTTTCAATATCAGAGGAGTTAAAAAGGTAATTTTAGGCAATAATTGTACTTAGTTAAAATTAATTTTTATATATGTATATTGTTATAGTGGCAATGTTAAGCCTGAAGAACAGTCACTAGCTATAGTGAATGAAAATAATTCTATAGAATTTGAAGAAAATTGTGATAATGAGATATTAAAGGGTGATGAATGCAAGTTGGCTAATGATAGTTTGTTGAAATTTGAACACAGTTATTGTGGTAATGAGACATTTAAACCAGATTATGACAGTAAGTTAGATGTAAAGTCTGATTCAGATGATTATCGGGAAGATAATGACACTTCTGGGGAAAATAATGACAATTATCAGGAAGATAATGACACTAGAAGTGGTGATGAAGAAGTTAGTAATTATTTTTATAATAACATCAGAGAAATAAGTAAATATAGAGAGGCTTTAATATTGCCACTCTACAAGTAAAACACACAAAGTCTGATTTATATCATTTGACTAGATTTCTTCAAAAATATAGAGCTATATTCTGGAAAAATCCACTGAGTCTTCCAAGAATGATTGACAATATACCGGGTGTTTTTCAAAAATGACTGATGCCTTTAACTTCTTTATTTTTTGAGACTAAAAATCAATATTTGGTATGTTAGTATATGACATAATCATGATTGATTGACATAATATTCAATTATTTTTACTTGTTGTTTCACCAGAGATGACTACAACTTTTGAATTTTGGCACCATGGCAGTCTGAAATAAGTGCAAATGTCAAAAAATGTCATTCTATTTAGATTTTAATTTGCTACCAAATAAAGTAAAAAATACTGAGGGTACAATTTAAAAACCAAAACTTGTAGTCATTTCTGGTGAAACAGGAAGTGACCGAAAATAACTGAGCACGTCAATTAATCCTGATTTATGTCATGTACCAACTTATCAATTCTTGGTTTTTTTATATGAAAATATAGAAAAGTTATAGGGGGTGAGCCACTTTTGAAAAAACACCTTTGGTATTAAAATACTTTTGATTAAACTATTGCATTTTGAATTACATGTTGTAGTGGTACCACTTACAAAAATATCAATAATATTGAACACAAATTTATAATATACATTGAAAAAAAATACTAGGATACTTTTCATTTAATGTTTTAAATTTTAATATTTTATTATTATAGGTATATCACTATAAAGGAAAATATATAAAACTGTTCATCAACATCCTATAAAAATCCTATTCATTGAGAAAATATATGACAGTTTGGCAATTATTGTTATCTGTGGAAATCATCTTTACTTGTTGATAAAACTTTACAAGCCATTGCTATTCATATGTTATTTTGTCTCTGTGTTTACTTATTTTTCTGAAGTAAACTGTAGTTGGTTAGTGTATACCAAATACGTTTAAATTACCTATACGGAGGGTACCGCTTAAATTCCTGTCCCAATGTTAAAGGATGGCTATAGAATTTCAATGCATTTCCTACATAAGTCTATCCTTGTGTGGTAGGAGGTTTGACTAAACAAGGATGAACCTATGTCATGAAAGCATTCGACTCGATTTTCTGTCCTCCTTCAATACTGGGACATAAATTCTCTCATTGCTCTTATGGGGAGGCCGCGGTATAGGTAATTTAAACGTATTTGGTGTATACCCGTGGTGTAGGTATACCTAACCTAACCAACATTTGTAAATACTGACTTTTTTTTAGTTTGACGTTACGGATAAAAAAACTAGAAAAAAGAAAGTTTGCAAAAAAAGGCGATCTTTGCAGTGTTCATTTTGTTCAGAGACATTTTCTACGCGTCTGACTTGGAGTACTCACGTCCGAACCGTTCATTCTTTTGAGAAACCCTTCACATGTGATCAGTGCGAGTGTCGCTATATGAACGCGTACAGCCTGCTCATTCACAAAAGAAAACACTCGAACGAAAAACCGTTCATCTGCGCGACGTGCGGCAAATGCTTCGTTTCTTCGGCTGATCTGAATCACCACAATAAAACGCATAATTTAAACAGGGCCTATCCTTGTCCATCTTGTGATCGGTCGTACAAAACGCACAGCAACTTGAGGACGCACAGATTGCAAATGCATCTCGATCCGTCCGAGTGGAAGTACCTGTGTAATTTGTGCGATAAAAAGTTTCCTATTAGGGGTAATTTGGTGAAACACCTTAAAAGACACGCGGGTGTAAAGGACTTTCATTGTCACGTTTGCGCGAAAAAATTCTTTAATATGGCTGAGATGAGACTGCACATAAGGACGCACACAAATCAAACACATTTTAATTGTAAATATTGCAAGAAGGAGTATAAAAATAGGGAAGGTTTGCGGCGACATTTGAAGGTTGTTCACGGTGAAGGAAATTGGAAACCTCCCAAAAATGAGAAAAAGTATCTGTGTCCTTGGTGTCCAAAGCTGTTTGTTTCTTGTAATAAGTTGCAGAGGCATATATTTACGCACACAGGGGAGAAACCTTATAAGTGCGAGTATTGCCAGAAGGGATTTATTGATAATTATGAGAGGAAGGTTCATTGTAGAAAGGAGCATGACATAGATAATTGAATGTAAAAATACTTTTCGTTGGCTTCTAAGTTTATTATTAAGAGCTACATTCATCACTGATCAAATTTGAGAATGGTAAGGATAATTCATCCTTTTAAATCAGTCAGCACTGTATGTGTATTTAACTTAATTGTTTTCAAAATTTTTAATATAAATTGTTTGTTATTTGATTATCTCAGATACCAACTCATTTTTTATTTGGTATTTGTAAGTAAACGTTTGCAATTTTAAACTCTTTGTACATAGTTTTATTTTATATGTTCCATGTGTATTTTATATATTTGTAATAAATTTTGTGTTTTAAATTAAGACGAGTATTTTTTACACTATTTTCAATTCAGGTGTTTAATTAGTGTAAAGGATTGATAAATAATAAGAAAGCAATGCAGTTATCTATAAGTAACTATGTAGGTATGTAGTGTAAATAGAGGAACATACATCTGATATATATTTATGTAAACCCATTCTGTTTTTATATCAAAGATATATTTTATTTTTAAATTCAGTTTGTTATTCCTAGGTTTTAACTATTAAAATATATCTAATTAACAAAAGAAATGAACGTATACTATTTAGACTGTTGGCACATATTATTGATCTGCATAAGATAGATGTAGGTATTTGTTGAAAAATTGCAAAATACAATGTATAATCATTAAAACATTAATATTTATAACATTTTTTATCCTTTACAGTATTTACATTTTTATTTTTGATTGACTTTGAATAAGTTGACTCCATAACTTTATGTATTAATCCTTTCAACATATCGAACAAAAGAGAAATGACTAGAATATTGTTTACATATTAATCTTATGTCAAGACAATCTGTAACACACATTGTGCGCGTTCAGGGAACACAGCGGCTGACTGACCGCTGAGACTTTTGCTCAGCGGCTGACTGTTTTTGTGTGTAAAAAGAAACCGTTTACAGCGCTTTCAGATGATGCGGAGCGTCCGCGAGTTACATGAGTTTAAATAAACAATTTCACATAAATGATTTCGTCTGACGGCTATCTTGAAAAAAACAAGCAGCACAAAAACAGCGCGGACGCTCCGCTCCATCTGAAAGTGCTGTTAGGGAACCGCTTTACCCAGCCACTCAGCCGCTGACCGACCCTGAACGCACGCATTAATTTGTGTAAAACACATTATTTTTAAATTCATATTTTTTTTAACTTTACAAATTATTATTTAATTTTCTATATCTAATCTAAAGCGACATCATCGAGTGGTCCTTCATTTTCCACATTCTTCGCATTTGTAGTTTTGGCAAGCTTTGGTACGGTGGTTTTTGTTAAAAATTTCTTGTTTTTTATATCCTCTGTATTGTCGTCTGGAATAACCTAATAAAAACAAAATTGAATAACTACATAAAATTAGTAATAGTGTACCTACTGAATATATTATTACATTAATATAAAATATTAATATTTGAATTATTGTATGACTTCATAGTAAAATATGGGTAGTTAAATATGTTATATACCGATTTAGCATCAATTTCGCCTATTGCTATGCCAGGCTTTGGCTTCAAAGGTTCAGTTTCATTTTCTTCTTGCGAGGAAACTTTCTTGCTCCAAGTGTTTATCCAGTTTTCTGCGTCCGTGTTTTGTTGTTTCTGAAATATTAATTTAATGATCTTGATGTATATTTCTGTCAATTTTATTTCTCATATTTTATTTTACTACAGTTAAACGAAAACATTCAAAAAATAATTTTAAAATTTAACTTTTTATTTAAATTTACAGTAAAGAGTTTTTGTTTGCGTAAACTGCTTAATGTGGATGTAGTATTAGTATTAGTGTATGATTTATTTATTATTTTTTGTTGAAACATCTATCAATCAAAATATGATAATATAGAGTATGTCTATGATGATCTTGATGTATATTTCTGTCAATTTTGTTTCTCATATTTTATTTTACTACAGTTAAACGAAAACATTCAAAAAATAATTTTAAAATTTAACTTTTTATTTAAATTTACAGTAAAGAGTTTTTGTTTGCATAAAGAATAAGAAATTTAGAATAAGAAATTGCTTTATTGTCATAAAAAATTTTACAATTTTGTTGACAAAGCTTAAAAAAAATATAAAAAACATACAAAACTTCACTTAACAATAGAAAAACATATAAAACTAACAGCAAACATACAAAACTAAAACAATACTTTATACAATTATAGAAATTAGACAATTATAGGAATTAGACAATTATAGGAATTGTACAATTGTAAACTGCTTAATAATAATAATAATAATAATAATAATCGTCTTTATTGAAGAAAAAAAGATGTGTAACATTACATATATTATTACACATCATGCAACAAGGGTGGCGAAATTTAACAAAAAAAGTTATTCTTACATTTAACCACCCATAGCTGCCAGAAGATATTTGTTGAAAAATACGTTTAAAAGACAAAAAAGACAAAAAAGACAAAAAAATATGTTCTATAAACTACCAAATTAAAAAATATACATAGTTAATTCTTATACACATGGCATAATAAATAATTTTAAAAAATAAACAAAAAATACAAAACCATTATCATTCCTGTGAAGACAAAAGAAACATTTTATATTTTTTTCGCAATTGGCCAAAATTACATTGTTTAAAATCATTATCAAGGGAATTGTAACTAGTGACGGCCATATAGGTAAAACTTCTTTGAAAAAGGGCGGATCTATGTTGAGGCATGGTCAGTTGATTATGGTGTCTTATATTACAATTATGCATGACATTACGAGGAATAAGTTTTTCACTCAGATATATAGGGGTGGATGTGCTACGAACTTTATACAGAAACATGACGAAATGCAGCCTGACAGTGTTTGAAATCTTAAGCCACTTTAATTCATTAATACGAGCAGAGATATGATCGTACTTCCTCAGACCAAAAATGAAGCGACAGCAAACGTTTTGTACATACTGTAATCTGTTTTTAGAAACCAGATCCAAACATGGATAAAAAACAATATTAGCATAGTTGAAAACAGACAGTACCAGGGATTCACACAGTTTTTTTCGCATCTTAAAGTTTAAAATGTATCTATTGGAATATAATAATGTGGATGTAGCATTAGTATTAGTGTATGATTTACTTATTATTTTTTGAAACTTCTATCAATCCAAATATGATAATATACACTATGTTTATCCGTTCTGTAGCTACGGGACATATCCGTAAGGGGGAAACGATATTCTCTCGATGTTTCTCGGAAAAAATTAGACGACGCGTACCATCAATAAAAATTGGACAAATTTGCAAGAAGCTAATGAAATTAGTGGGCGGAGTGTTTTGTGGTGACATGCTCGTCAAGTCCATGTGGACTCTCTGACGCTTCCATTGAGGTAGCGATTTAAAAAATATATAGCTGTTTATTTAATTCCTTTCATAGACGCATTCCTTTCATAGACGCAGATCCAGTAGACGTATTTTATGTATCTTCTTGAGTTACAACATAAAACAACAATTCACCACAATACACCAGTTTTGGTGTATTGTTGTAATTTTCTATTTTATTTTGCTGTTGAAACACCAAAGGTTCCAACCCACAACTGTAATCTTCTTGCGTTATATATTTATTTCGGCTTCATACGCAGCATCTGTACGCACCTTGATGCTTGTAAGTTAATCTTTTATTTATTTGTAAAGACTATGGCGACTAGTGTTCTGACTACAGAGACGTGTTACGCGCAGTACGTTATACGCAGAATTTTGAAAGCATGCGGAATTATGGAAAATTGAGAAGTTGTGCGCCTTCATAAAACTGAATAAATTGTAACTATGTTTATCTTTTTTCTGTTTACATTCATAAGCAGGGTGACAATTTGATCATCAGCATTTGAGATTTTTTCACAGCTAAAACATATTCTTGATTGGCTCTTATATTATCGCTCTGTAGAAATGTATAAATAAATAATGATTTTTTACCTTTTCTTCCTCTTGTTTTCGTACTTGATTCTCCTTTTTTTCCTGCTGTCTTTGAGCGTAAAGAGTATTCGCCAAATTGTTTAAGCTACTCCTTTTATTAGTGCTGCTGCCCCCTTGGTTAGCCAGTGGTTGCGTGTTCAGTTGAGGCCCCAACTCAACCATAACCTGGAAATCGGCTCTATCGCCCAGTCGAAAACCCCATCCTATCCTTGAATCAGTACCTTTTTTGAAGGTGGGAATATTCGAGTAGATTACTGACAAAATCGATGGCAGTTCGTCGGGTATGATGAAAGAGTCTGAGCCTATAAAATGTATTTATTATTCGTTTGGAATACCTACGATTGGCAACAAATTGACAAAATATCTTTTATATCTGAAACTAGATTATACAATACGACCGAAAAAGAACGGCGTCATAGACGGCTGGAGAATGACAAATCGATGGTATTTTTGGCGAGGTGAAGCGCTGGAGACATTTATTTAGCCCGACATTTTTTAGTTCCAGCTGGTCTTAAGGAGGTTGTAATTTATTTTTATATTTAGTCATTTTTTTTGTTTATTTTTATATTTAGTAAAAATGACTTGAAAATTTGAGACAAGAATTTTTTTTTGGAAATAGATTTGTGTCTGCAAACATTCTATCTTGTTTTAATCTTTCTATAATTCTTAGTGTTAAGTTTTATGTCAATTTTTATAAAAAGACGTCTAGAGATTGAGCTCGTCAAAATTTTCATCGATTCTCATATATTGTGTTTCTCCTTGGGACAGCCCACAGGGACAGCCGAAGGCACTAAAACATTAGAAAATCAAACCTATTTTTCCAATGTTCCTTGATTAAAAATGAGTGTTTTTAACACAGCCCTGTCACTCTGGATTGAAATTTAAAATACGATTTTACATACGAAGTGAAAATGCCAAAAGTTGACATAAAATATGTCATTCTTTTCAGTGCCAAGCGTGCCTTAACGTTTCAAGCCGGAGTCTCATGCATCCGAAATCCGATGACACGACGATCCGACGGTGCTCCTATTGGTCGAAATATTTTGACACCAATTTTTATCGGATATTTTTAACTAATCGTCCGACGTCGTATAAAGTTAAATTTTGTTTAACTTTTGTACGATATCGTGTGTTTTTTAACCTCACTTTTTTTGAAAACATTGTTTTTTAAAAACAAGTTTAGTGGGAAGGGGGCAATTTCGGGATATTTAGCGAGGGAGTTATTTTTATAAGTGTTTCTCCAATAATATATGTAATAATGTTGATACTGTTGATAGGAAATGTCAAATTTCGGAACGAACTCGGATGTATGTGACAGGCTTTTTTTATTTCACAGGATAACTTCAAATTTCGGATGTCGTACCATCGGATTTCGGATGCATGAGACTCCGGCTTAAAGCCTATATATACGATATTAATAAAATTAAATCGTATAATCGTCTCGTCGGACAACGAATCATCGTATCGTTGGACAACGGAAAATCAAGCTTAAAGTAAAAATATACTACGGGTGTCATTTAAAAAACAAAAGTTGTAGTAATTTCCGGTGAAACAGGAAGTGACCGAAAACAATTGAATACGTCAATCAATCTTCATTTATGTCATATACTAACATACCAAATCTCGTTTTTTTATCTGAAAAAATAAAAAAGTTGTAGAGGTGAGCTATTTTTGAGACGCACCCGGTATAACAATACCACCGGGTATAACAATAGGCACGTATTTTTGATCCTGCATGCCTATGACTTAGGCAACCAACTGTCTATGACTTAGGTACTGTGTTTTTATAATGCCTGTAATTTGTAATTGCTTTGTTCTTATATACAGGGTGTATCGATTTCGATTCTGCCTTGTTTCGAAGCTACAAAGGGTGTTAAATTTTTCATTTTTTTGGGATTTGTTAAAATGTTCTTCCAAGTGGCTTTTAGTGATTTGAATGAAATTTTGATTGATAAAATTCTGACTGAAATTGAAAAAAAGTCAGTGCCGCATATGTTTTTTTTAGAAAAATATTCCAGTGATAACCCATATGCGCGTCCCTGGTAAATCTGTCGACACTTTTTTAATACTAAAATATGCAACACTGATACTAACTTATACCGTCAAAATTTCATTCGAATCGCTAAAAGTACTTGGAAGAAAATTATATTAAATCGAAAAAAATGACGAATTTTACCCCCTGTATTATGAAACAAAGTAGAATCGGACTTAAGTTGATATAAGAAATAAATTTTATTTTTTACGTGCATGGGGAATCACCCCACGAGAGATGGCACATGTTTTTTGACCCACCCTGTAAAGGTATGAAATAAATAAATCCAGTATTTTCAAGCATTTCTGAATCTATACTAATATATAAAATCCTTAAGTGACTGACATACTGATTAATCACGATCCTGCTCAAACCACTCAACGTAAGAAGCTCAATTTTGGCATACAGGTTTGTTCTAGGGTGTAGAGGTTCGATAAGAAGGGATTTTTCGAAATTCCAGTTCCAAGAGGGTGAAACCATCCCTCAAATATTACAATATTTTTTATTTAAAAAACGGTCAAGTTTCCGAAAAAACGCTTAAACACGTATATTTTATTTTGTTTTTTTTACATATTTTAAGATTTTTTAAAAATGTATACAGGGTGTTTCGAAAAATCTGGTCATTGATTAATCACGATCCTGCTTAAAGCGCTTGACGTAAAACGCTGACTTTTGGAAAGCAGATTGACTTTAGGGTGTAGATGTTCGATACGAAGGGATTTTTCGAAACTCGAATTCTATTTTTTATTTAAAAACCGGTGAGTTTTTCGGAAACTCTTAAACACGTATATTTTATTTTGTTGTTTTATATATTTTAAGATTTTTATAAATTTATACACGGTGTTTCATAAAATATGACCATTGAGTAATCACGATTCTGCTTAAACTGCTTGACGTTGAAAGCTGATTTTTGGCAAACGGATTGACTGTGGGGTGTAGAGGTTCGATAAGGAGGGGTTTCTCGAATCTCAAATTCCAAGAGGGTGAAAACGTCCCTCAAATATTACAATATTTGTTATTTAAAAAACGGTTAGTCTTTCGGGAAAACACTTGGACAAGCATAATTTATTTGGTTTTTTTACACATTTTGAAATTTTTAAAAAAATCATACAGGGTGTTCCAAAAAGTTGGGTAATTTCTTAACCACGATTCTGCTTAAACTGCTTGACGTAAAAAGGTTATTTTTGGCAAACGGATTTTTCGAAAGTCAAATTCCAACGAGATGAAACTACTCCTCAAATATTATCAAGTTATATAATAATATCGCCATATTGTTTTTTGTCATGCTGACATAAAGGTGAGAAAATTTTATCCAGTTTGTATGTTAATGGAAATTCTTACTTTGCTTTATCATCACCATTACAAATGATTAATTCGACGCGAACGAAGTCGCTGGTACACGCTAGTGAACTATAAACGTCAATTCACAGTAGTACATCAACAAGAAATAATTCAAGGCCGATAGAAAGCGGTTTTAACGTAAACTAACATTAACATAACATGCGACAATTACGAACTATGACACGAAAAATTAAGTAATCTAGTACTTCAGTACTTACCACTGAAATTCAACAGAACGTAACATACTATTCCAATATAAACTTTCATTTTCTTAATAAGCACTGAACTTTCTACTAAGATGTTTTGTCGGTAGTACCCGCTTTCGTTGAAAAGAAGACTCACTAGGACCGCGACAGTATATATTAATTTATGACAGTACTTTCGACCGTACGAAAAATTCAAATATCGTGAAATATACCGTTAAGTGCAAGCAGTGGCTAAACTGTACTGAAGGCGAGTTGAGGCACTTTCGTTTTCATTGGGTACCGCCTAGGAAAATGACCTATTGCCGACATTCTTAATGTGTTGCGTGATAGTGGTACGATAGCCAGTGACCTTGGCATGGTGGTACAATTTGATCGCGTGTCGATGGTCTTCTTGTTGCGGAGATGATGTACTAATGAGAGTGGTGGTACCGAAATGTGAAGGGTTACCGAACTCACTTATTTTTAACCGACCATACCAACAGGTATGGTAGGCTATTAAGATCGGCAAAAAAAAGTTTTTTTAATTTTACTCAAAATGAGTTATTTGGGTCATAAATGACCTAAATACAAAATATTTTTATGGTGTCTGTCTGTCTGTCCGTCTATCCGTCTGTAACACGATAACTCAAAAACCGCTAAACCGATTTTAACCAAATTTGGCACAAAAATACTGTGGCACCCGAGAATCTGGCCATTAGTTTTTGGTGGGAGTGGGGGGTTGATAAGGGGGTATGGGAGGGGGTTAAAAATTTAAAAAAATCGTAACTCCAAAATTACAGTAGCTAGTGAAACGCGGTTTGGTTTGGTTGCGAACCAAAAAAAAAGAATTTATAATAACATCAAAATCAGTCAAAGTCGCAGTTTTTGAGATAAAAAAAAAATGGAAAAATTCCTTTACTTTGAAACTAAAAGAACTGCCTACCAACTTTTTATTAACATATTTTAGTATGGGCGGCTAAACGTGTGCCTCCCGGCGCCAATTTTTTTTTACTTTCCTGTGATAATATTCATTCATTTCATTGAATTCATTCATTTTAAAATTTTTATCAATATTTAATTACACTAAATTAGAAAAATATGTTAAAATAATGCTAATAACAATCTGAAAAAATATACAGGGTGTTTCAAAAAACATGTGCCATCCCTCGTGGAGAGATTCCTCACGTAAAAATAAGATTTATTTTTCATATCAACATAGGTCCGATTCTGCTTTGTTTCGTAGCTACAGGGTGTTAAAGTCTTAGTATTTTTTCGATTTATTTTAATTTTCTTCCATGTATTTTTAGCGTTTCGAATAAAATTTTAAGGGTAAAAGTTACTATAATTGCGACATAATTTAAAGCTAAAAAAGTGTCGACATATTTACCAGGGACGTGCATATGGGTTATCACTGGAATATTTTTCTAAAAAAAGCATGTACGCCACTGACTTTTTTTCCTTTTGTTAGCGAAGTAGTGTTAGCAGTTTAATGGCGATTAAACGATATCTCTTGATATTTTGTCGATTTTGGCCTCTTTGATAAGATAAAGGCAATTTTATTAATTTGCCTTGAGTTGAATAACAACCCTTAATAAAAATTAATATCATGAACTTGCGAAAGTTTTAAATAAGTACTCATTGATTCCTCATCAAAAAATATGAAAAAAAGTTTCTATAAACATGGGTATGGAAATAATGGAAATGCATAGTTTTAGAGTTACAGGATGTTAAAACTTTTTTAAATTAGGTTTTTTGTTAATTATCTTAAATATCATTATTTTTTCATTTGAAATTGCTGTAGGTTGGACTAATAGTAATAATAATTAATAGTAATAATATTTAACAATAAATTAGGTAAAATATATAATTTATTAATTTTATTTTTAATTTAATTTTATTAATTGTGATTAACAAAATTGCGTTTATTTCATCAAAGGGGCCCGAATTCGACAAAATACCAAGAGAGACATTTTAATTGGCATTAAACGGCTCTACACAATTTTGATATCAAAAGAAAAAAGTCAGTGGCGCACATGTTTTATTTTTGAAAAATATTCCAGTGATAACCCGTGATGCACGTCCGATCCAGGCACAACTGATGAATTTATCGACACTTTTTTAGCATTAAAATATGTAGCACTTATAGTAACTTTTTTACCGTCAAAATTTCATTAGAATCATTAAAAGTACTTGGATGAAAATTATAATAAATCGAAAGATTATTAAAATTTTAACACCCTGTAGCTACGAATCAAAGCAGAATTGGACCTATGTTGATATGAAAAATAAATCTTATTTTTACGTGAGGAAACTCTCGTAGGCACATGTTTTTTGAGGATGGCACATGTTTTTTGAAACACCCTGTATTACTTTAAATGCATTAAACAGCTTACCCTATTCCCCTAACAAAAGAAAAAAAGTCAGTGGCGTACATGCTTTTTTTAGAAAAATATTCCAGTGATACCCCATATGCGCGTCCCTGGTGAATATGGTGACATTTTTTTAGCTTTAAAATATGTCGCATTTATAGTAACTTTTACCCTCAAATTTCATTCGAAACGCTCAAAGTACTTGGAAGAAAAGTATAATAAATCACATAAATATTTTAAGACTTTAACACCCTGTAGCTAGGAAACAAAGCAGAATCGGGCTTATGTTGATGTGAAAAATAAATCTTATTTTTACATGAGGAATCTCCCCACGAGAGATGGTACATGTTTTTTGAAAAATCCTGTGTATATTTTTTTTAATTTTCAAAGTTAAATAACTCGGTTATTGTGGACTTATTTGAAAAACGGTAAAGAGAAAATATGTTTTTTATCGAGATCTAATAACCGTGAAAATATTTGCACTTATTTAAGACTAACTCTGTATTTGCAGTTTGCACTACCCAGTGCGAAAAATTTGGTAAATTTTTAAGTTTTGTGCCAAGCGGTACGGTTTTGACTAAAACTACTCTCCCCTATAAAGGTTATATATTATACTATTTGCCTGGTAATTTGTATATTACATTTTTTGTTTGTTAATCAATAATACTACAACAAATGCAACGGTAAACTTTGATAAAGGTATAGATGGAGTATTTAATAATGACCGAGACTGGTCTTTGGTCTTGATCTTGATCTGGCAGAAAAAGCAAGACCAAGACCGACGCGACAGTGCAAGACTGGCGCAAGATCAAAACCAACATGCAAGACTCTTGCTGTCTTGCATTTTTCTCATGTCAATAATAAAAACGGTTTTCTTCTTGTAAAGACAATCCGGGGATATACGAGCCCTAACAACTATATGTTGGGACAAGGTCTTTTTTTGCAATAAAAATAGTAATTTGTTAAAACGACTCAATTTATTTTGTTTATTATTCTAAATTCAAACATTACAATATGATCTAGACAATTTTACTATATTTTTATAACTTTGCAAACAAATCACTTTTGATAATAGCTTATTTTGACAAAATCAAGCCAAATTTGCCGGCAATTATATATTGGGACAGCACAACAAGAAATTTGTTTAATACGGAGTTACATCACCTTTCGCCTTAACAACTGCCTAAACTCTTAATGGCATTGTATTTACCAAAGATTGGCACATTTGAGGAGAAAAATTATCCCAAATTTCCTGCAGTTTTGCCTGCAAATCAAAAATTGTTCGTTGAAGTGGTTTCTTAAATATTGCTTCATTTTATACCACACAGTTTCTATAACATTGAGGTCCGGACTACTTGAAGGATGGAATAGAACTTTTATATTATTATTACCGAACCAATTTTTTGTTGATTTTGCTGAATGGCACGATGCTCCATCTTGTTGGAAAATATAGTCTTCGTTTGGAAACAATTCTTGAGCACTAGGCAAAAGTGAGGTCTCAAGTATATGTTGATATTTTTGGGCGGTAACAGTGCCATCTATAAAATTTAATTTGCCCAAACCTCTCGCTGACATGCAACCCCAAACCATAATCCCCTTAGGAAATTTAACAACCCTCTTTAAGCAATCTTTATGAAAGGCTTCTGCTTTATTTCGTATTACTCGTTTTCGATGATCTCCAACGCAAACATCAAATTTAGACTCATCGCTAAATATGACCTTATTCCAATCATTTTGTGTCCACGATAATTTAGATTTTGTCCAATTGTAGCGATTTTTCTTTTGAATTTCTGTCAGTAGCGGTTTTTCTTTGGCCTAAATAAGAATTTGTATCAATAATCTTCAGGTAATTGATTATCCACACAAAATAAGGTTTACCTTGTAAAACCCCAGACAACATTTATGGATATATTTTCGGCAACATTCTCTTGATATATTTAAACCAGCTACAGTATTCCATTTAACTGTCACTTCGCGAAAAGTACTTCTTCCCGCAGACTTGCAAATTTTTACTAAATTTCGTAAATCTCTCTAGGATACAACTTTTGGCCTTCCCGAACTTTTATCTCTAACGTCTACATTGGCAGATTCACCGTATTTTTTTTATTATATTAAAGACCGTGGTTTTTGGAATACTTAAATCATCAGAAATTTTTCGAATTGTTTTTCCCGTACTGTATTGACGAATGATAATTTCGCGTAGTTTTTGATTTGTAGCTTTTTCACGGACCATTACTTTAAATCAAATAATTAACAAAATTGAAAATTAAAAAAATTAAAATTACTTACAGTAAATCTCACTACTCAAAGTATCGAGTCACTTACAAGCTGTCAATGCTGAAGTAAACAGTTTGCGACATTTGTGACGTTTATAGCAAAGCCGCCTATGATGATATTAATTATTTAAAATACTTGTCCCACATTTAGTTGTCAGCAAATTTGTCCCTTTATGAACAAAATACGCTACTGTAAATATGGATTGATTTACAAATTCATAAAAATATTGTCAAGTTGTTTAGGATATATGGCTATGTTTATATTTAAAAAATTAAACATATATTTTTCAGTCATTTTGAAAAACCAGGGCAATAATTCCATAATATGACCTTGTCCCAACATATAGTTGTTAGGGCTCGTACTCTATGTATAATTTTTCTGTCAAATTTTAAGGCAGATGTTGCTGAAGTTTAACTCACTATATAGGTACCGTCTTATTATATTAATTAATTTTGTATACTATATCCTACTACTTATATTTCCAGTCTCAGGTACACTATACCTTAATAGAATTGAATATTATTTTTCGGTTAATTGTTCTTGTACGAATATCCTTTGATCTCGAACGCCAACCGACTCTCAAAGGCAAAGCTAAATTTTACCTGCAGATTCAGCAATATCGACAGCTATATAATTACTAGGCACTTTGAGAAAATCTAGCACAACTTAATTAAAGTGATTTAACAAACGCAAAACGTTAATTAACTTCGACGTCATTATTTCCATCTCGTTGTTTTATAACGCTTCGAGGAATACTCTTAATTGAATTGAATGCATGGCTCTTGCGGTCTTGCATTTTTTATTTACCTTACTTAGATAATAATTTTAAAAATAAGGAAATTTTTGTGTATTTACTCGTCACCCCTATAATTTTTTAATTAAAAAATATTAAAAAAAGTTTTTCACCAAGCGAGTCTTGGTCTTGGTCTTTCATTTACTCATCACTATGGCACATATTTTTTTAAACACCCTGTATAAGGCATAGATGAGTATCCTTTGGATGTATGTAACGTTTTTTGTATTTTTTGGTTGTTGTTAAGGTGGCTACACACACTACTGCAAGCTTGGCAAGCATGCATGAACAATCTTTTTGTATAAGCAAACTATAGCGTCTGTAGGGAAAATTTGCGCAAGCAGTTAATTTGTGCAAGCCGCTTGATGATTGATTGAATTTGAATCATGCAAGCTTGGACAAGCCATGCTTGCACAAGCGAAACGGTACGTGTGTACCACATGTATTCAGCTTGTACAAACAATTAAGGTGGCTACACACACTACTGCAAGCTTGACAAGCATGCATGAAAAATCTTTTTGTACAAGCAAACTGTAGCGTCTGTATGGAAAATTTGCGCAAGCATTTTAATTGTGCAATTGAACAAGTAGTTCAGTCCGTGATCGTAAATATACGGGCTGCAGCAGAATTTGTGACGTTAGACGCCATTTTTTTGGACATAACGAATGAGTCATCAGCGACAATTTTAGCGATTTTTAATAGTTGGTTCTATGTAGTGAACTTTGTATAAACTTTATTACAATGGTAATTTGTTCGGCTTTCAAGTGTAAAAGGCGCAATGATAAGAAAGAGCCCGGAATTACATTTTATAGAGAAATAAACAGTCCACTACACCTTTTTAGCGTTTTTTTTAATTGAATTCGATAACTAATTTTTGATATTATATGTACTTGATATGTGATATACGTTGATACTAGTTTTGTACCTTTTGTTAACATTTTAATATGTTTTTTTTCGTAATTAATTAGTATGAACCACCGGCTATACCATAGGCGTAGTGAAAACATTTATCAAAAATATAAATATCCCTTCAAGCAGCTAAGTTAAGAAAAATATGTACCACGGCACTGTTTGGAAGAATGGTCACAGTTTGGTCTCGGGTGCTATTTGTCTTTGTATTCTTTAGTCATTGTCTGCTAATGATGCAAATATGATTAGCGAAACGCGCGTCTAGTGCAGCGCAAAAGTAAAACTGTTTTGGTGTATTGTGCTGATCTAGTGTTTTGCTTATCTGCTTTTATTAGAAATAAGTATTTTTTCAAATTATTTGCTTTTATATTTCTTGCTCGAGACAGTAGATTAAATAAAACACTATTGTTTGGAACTTAAAATTTTATTATAGTTTTTAGTTTATACACATGATATTTTTTATTATAGTAAAAGTTTGGTACCTAATATATACAAGATGTTCTGAAGTGCAACAAAATAAACATTTTTATTAGTAGAAAACAGAGAAAGTACATTTACCCATCATTTTTTTTGCATAAGAGTTCAGTGGTAAATAAAGACAATTTATTTTATAAATTTGGGTATATAATATATTTATATAAATTAGTATTTAATGGAAAAATAGAAAAGTAGAATATTTTTAGGTAGGTATTTACAAATATAGAGATATTTATTAACATAGTTCTATGAAAAATTTATTTAAAAAATAATTTAAATATTATGGTTTTCGAGTTAGGGATGATTTCGACTGGTGACATCCAAAAAATGACAGAAAATAAGTAATGCTAAAACTAAAATGACAAACAACAACTGCTATTGTTATGTATTCTGTCATTAGACAGAGTGTATCTTGATGGTATCAATGACTGTAAAAATAACATATAAAGTTTGCGAGAGGATACTTGACAGTGAAAGTTGTTTTCTGTGAGTATGATTCGCAGGTAAATTGTATTTTCTGTCATTTATGGGATGTCATCTGTCCCCAAAAGACAGCGATAAATACCCAAATTTATTACAACAAATTAACTAAACACCCTATTGTTATTAATAAAATAAAAACACATTTAGAATCAAGAAAAATTCAACAGTATCGACATTTATAAATAAACACAATCCAGTGACGTTGACACATCGTAAATCCCAACTTAAGCTCGTTCAGTACACGCTCATTGGTCGCATTCAAAATATATACGACCAACCGCCAGGACGCTGCTTGACGTCATATGCGACGCGACTTATTACTGGGCACGAGCCACGAACAAAACCGACTCCACCCGACGGGACACGATGACGGGAAATCACGTGACGTTTATCTCTTCGTCGCTGTCATTCGAGCTGTCATAATCCATGGCGTCGTAGGGGGTGCTCGTGTAATGGTGCTGGTGGGAATCGTTGGACGTTTGGACGTCTTGTGCCGACATTTGGCGGTCGGTAGGTGAACTGGCAGGTGAAATGTCCTTAAAAGAAATAAAATAAGACTTTTGAGAATTTTGAATAATAGTACCGTAAAACGGGGTAACTTCGACATGTATATTATAATGCTTTTTTTTCAGGTTTTTGTTGTTTTTCAAGTTATCCAAAGTTTTTTCTATTGTTTTGTTTTCTTTAATAAATTTTTTGTATTATAATTTTGTTTTATTTATTTACTTTTATTATTATTTTTTTTAGTTTGCTTTAGTTTTTCTCTTTGTTTTAGGTGTTGTGTATTTATGTTTTTTACTTTGTTCAATGAGTTTAAGTTAAGTTAAAATAAATAAGTCTTTTAAGTTCTGTTAGTTCAGATGCAAAATGTGCTAGGACCAAAGTTTCTGAAAATAAATAAGACTGTATTTTTTTGTTTCGTTTGTCTAATTTATGCCTATAAAACTATTCCCTAATGTTTCTAGTTAATAATTCATAATGAATTTTCTTTTTTTTTTGGTGCCGAAGTTGCACAGGAGACGTCTAACTTCGACTTCATGTAGAATTAACCATGGTGTCGAAGTTACCCCAGATGCGGGGTAACTTCGACACCAAAAAAATAAATTAAAAAAAAGTAGAAGGAGAGGTTGGGGGGAGTTGTTTGTTCGGCTATGAAGAACAAAGGCTTCAATTGTTACGACGACACATAAGTCACGATTCTCAAGACAATAGTTTTCTTCACAGAGCACGAAATACAGCTGAAACCTGTCGAAGTTACCCCGTTTTACGGTATATTTTTTATTATGAGTAAAAATGATACTTTTTGTGACGAGGCTGTAGGTTTGACTTACAGGCGAGCCACAAAAAGTCAATAGAATAGTAATAGTTAACAGAACATGCTATTTTTTTCAAACGCCAAAATAATTTTTAAACAATTTCAAAGGTTCCAAATAATATAAAAAAATTTAATGATAATCCCTTGTAAGTAATTATCTATCGAAAAACTATGGTTATGGTCGTTGAATTTGACACTTTATGTCAGTTTAATAATATATTTTTGTACTTTTGTGCTTAGGCGTAAAAGTGCTTTACTTTTATGCCTAGGCGTTAAAATGACTTTTTTATATTGTCAATCATATCGCAAAAATTAATACTATTGTGACGTTTCGAAAAAATTCATTTTAAATTATTTTTATAGTCTATAAAATGAATAACTTTGAATTTTGACCGTTATTTTTTACACCCAACATGGCAAATATAAAATCTCTCTCTCAAAAAAGTTATACTGATATTCTTTAAATTGAGTACCTGAACGAATCAGATAGGTAACTCTTTTTACTTTAATTTTCTCTAAAACAATATGGAAATTTGGAAAAGTATAAACAGAATTAACCATTTTAAAACAAGCAAAATTGTTTATGAAGAATGCATTTTTCTCAAAATATCAATAATAAAAAAGTTTTTCCTCTTGTAAAGACAATTCGGGGACATACTGTATAATTACTTACAAGGTATTACTTTTAAATATTTTTATATTATTTGCAACCTTTAAAATTGCTCAAGAATTATTTGTGACGTTTGAAAAAAATAGCATGTTCTATTCGGAGTAAAAATGACTTCTTATGCCTCGCATAATAAATGTGTCGAACATACAGCCACCGATACAGCCTCGTCACAAAAAGTATCATTTTTACTTCGGTATAAATATAACTTACTTGAACATCGGTAAGGTCTAGTTTTGGTCTGTCTCCATCCGCATCACTTAGGTCAGGATGAGGGTTGTTCTTGTTAGGAAGAGTCTGTTCCCTGCTACCACCCGCTGCTAACAATTCTCTTTCTTTAGAATTCCTCCATTTCATTCTTCTGTTTTGGAACCATATCTTCACCTAAAAAAAGGTAAATAATTATTTCTGCAGGTCTGTTTTTTCAAATTCTTTGACTTGTAGAAAAGTACTATACAGGGTGGTACGAACTGTATTCCGGAAACTTCGGCAGCATATTCTGCAGATAAAAATAAGTAAAAAAGTTCGTATAAATGTATGTCCTAAAATGATTAGTTTCGGAGATACAGGGTGTAGAAATTTCATTTTTATTTCGATTTTTTCCAAATAATTTTTGAAGTAACGTCAATATTTGGATGGAAATTGATGTCTGGGAGTTTTTTGCCATCAGAAATTTGATTTTGATGTCAATATCACTCCTATTTGTAGGGGGCGCCACCTACATGTGTTTTAACTGGTTTGAAGAGTTATAACTTTTCATCCGTACCTGTATAAAACTACCGAGTGAAAAAATGTACATTTCCGTGATTTTTTAAATAAAAAATGTCTCTTGGTAAAAATTGCTACGAACAACCGTTCTCGAGATATTTAGAATGGAAATAGTCAATACATGTCAATATTGACAAAAAATAAACACGTTGAGTAGGTAATTTTGAATGAAATAATAAATTTGGGTAATTTTTATTTTTGATAAATTAATCATAACTTTTCTGTTGAACTTTTGACTGACACAAAAACATTTTAAATTCATGATTTCAGTGTGATAACTATTTATAGTCAATATGTTTAATTTATGTCAATGATGACATTATTGATAATTTTGATTCCAAATATCTCGAGAACCATTACTCGTAGAGATTTTTACGAAGAGACCTTTTTTTACGTAAAAAACATCGTAAATGTATATTTTTTTACTCAGTAGTTTTATACAGGTACGGACGAAAAGTTATTAGTCTTCAAGCCAGTTAAAAAAATATGTAGGTGGCGCCCTCTAAAGTAGGAGTCATATTGACATCAAAATCAAATTTCTCATGTCAAAAAACTCTCAGACACAAATTTTCATCCAAATATTGACGTTACATCAGAAATTATTTGGAAAAAATTGAAATAAAAATGAAACTTCTACACCCTGTATCTCCGAAACTAAGCATTTTATAGAACATTCATTTATACGGACTTTTTTACATATTTTTATCTGCAGAATATGCTGCCCAAGTTTCCGGAATACAGTTTGGACCACCCTGATTAAAATAAAATCTGATAAATATTTTTCTTATAAATGGTTAAGTAAAATAATTTCAGAATTTGCCATTCCTCTACTAAAATTGTCATATATTTTTACGTAATGTGTACTTAAATATGTACCTATAAATTCAAAAATTAATAAGGAAGTACCTAATTATTGATATTTTTATGAAATATTCTGCGCCAGTTCGAATAGAAAAATTACTTAAATGGGAATATACATTCAATTAAAAATAAATATCTACATATATTTCATATATACAGGGTGTTTCAAAACAAATGCGAAAAACTTCAGGGGGTGATTCCTTGTTCAAAATAAATGGTAGTTTGCTTTATAAAGGTTGGGTCAAAAGTCAACCATTAGGGAGATATCGCGGTACAAAGATGGCGGAAAAATAATGTTTCTATTTTTTATATTGAAAACGAAAAGAGGTAGACTAATGAAATTTTACGGAAGCATTACTGTTATGAAAACACACTTTTTGGTAATTTTTTCACTTTTTTAAAATGAGTGGAAGGGGTTGAACTAAACTACCCTTATCATTCTTGTTAATGAAATTTAAAGAAAAATCTCATCAAACACATGTAAAAAAAATTAATTTTGATAGTTTAGTTTATTTAGAAACTTTTTTATCTCTTGTGTTTTTTTGATAAAACTCACCGATTTGAAATTAAAAAATAAAATGTAAAGCATTACATGTCAGGACTATAAATATTTTTAGATTAAGAATCTAGTGATAATAATGATAATAATAATAATCTAGATAATAACGTATTGCAGTAGGGTAATGTCAAATAAAACAATATTAGAAACATCCTAAAAAGTGACAGCGGCCGACTAGATTTTTTTCTAAAAAAATTACAGCTGCCCACTAGATTCTTTATCTAAAATGTTTTTGTCCTGACATGTAATGCTTTACATTTTATTTTTTAATTTCAAATCGGTGAGTTTTATCAAAAAAACACAAGAGATAAAAAAGTTTCTAAATAAACTAAACTATCAAAATTAATTTTTTTTACATGTGTTTGATAAGATTTTTCTTTAAATTTCATTAACAAGAATGATAAGGGTAGTTTATTTCAACCCCTTCCACTCATTTTAAAAAACTGAAAAAATTACCAGAAAGTGTGTTTTCATAACAGTAATGCTTCCGTAAAATCTCTTTTCGTTTTCAAGATAAAAAATAAAAACATTATTTTTCCGCCATCTTTGTACCGCGATATCTCCCTAATGGTTGACTTTTGACCCAACCTTTATAAAGCAAACTACCATTTATTTTGAACAAGGAATCACCCCCTGAAGTTTTTCGCATTTGTTTTGAAACACCCTGTATATATGAAATATATGTATATATTTATTTTTAATTGAATGTATATTCCCATTTAAGTAATTTTTCTATTCGAACTGGCGCAGAATATTTCATAAAAATATCAATAATTAGGTACTTCCTTATTAATTTTTGAATTTATGGGTACATAATTTTGATAGTTTAGTTTATTTAGAAACTTTTTTATCTCTTGTGTTTTTTTGATAAAACTCACCGATTTGAAATTAAAAAATAAAATGTAAAGCATTACAAAAAACATTTTTAGATAAAGAATCTAGTGGGCAGCTGTAATTTTTTTAGGAAAAAATCTAGTCGGCCGCTGTCACTTTTTAGGATGTTTCTAATATTGTTTTATTTGACATTACCCTACTGCAATACGTTATTATCTAGATTATTATTATTATCATTATTATCACTAGATTCTTAATCTAAAAATATTTATAGTCCTGACATGTAATGCTTTACATTTTATTTTTTAATTTCAAATCGGTGAGTTTTATAAAAAAAATACAAGAGATAAAAAAGTTTCTAAACAAACTAAACTATCCAAATTAATTTTTTTGCATGTGTTTGATAAGATTTTTCTTTAAATTTCGTTAACAGGAATGATAGGGGTAGTTAATTTCAACCCCTTCCACTCATTTTAAAAAAGTGAAAAAATTACCAGAAAGGGTGTTTTCGTAACAGTAATGTTTCCATAAAATTTCATTAGTCTATCTCTTTTCGTATTCAAGATAAAAAATAAAAACATTATTTTTCCGCCATCTTTGTACCGCGATATCTCCCTAATGGTTGACTTTTGACCCAACGTTTATAAAGCAAACTACCATTAATTTTGAACAAGGAATCACCCCCTGACGTTTTACGCATTTGTTTTGAAACACCCTGTATATATATTTCATATCAATTAACCTTTTTGTTACGTAAATCGAGGGCGCAATTTTTAAATTCATTATTGCCAACCATGGACGTATTCAGCGCCAGGCTGACTAACTGGAATTTAAATTTCCCGCTGTGGATTCAGGTGGTAGCTCTGCTGTAAAAAATACCAAGTTGCCACATTTATTTATTTATTTCCTGACATTGTCATTCGTTTTGACACTTTAGTTTTGTATTACGAGGTTTAAATGAATTGTGTTGTGGTAGTTTAAGCTTAAATTTTTTTACTAGCAGACCTTGCACTCGAACATTGTTTTTTAGAACCTCTTTTAGTGCGAAATGTACAAGATAGCTTAATAGCCGAAAAAACTAATCGCAACATTATTAGAATATTTTGAACGGGAAAGTGGTAGCAATGACCCTTTATGTACTTTAAGTGCTGTTAAGTAAGTGAGTTTTGTTGATGTAAAAAGTAACTGTTTATTTATTTATAATTATTTTAGTTTTGTTTTCTAAAATATTTTGATTAAAAGAAAATATGTAAAAGTGGGCAACGCTGTGTCGGCCAAGCTTAATCACGTGACTAAAAGTTTATTTGATATGAACTATATATCGGTAGGTAACCTACCTCATGATTGCATAAATAAAAGTTCTAAAATTTGATATAATTTAAGAAAATTTAATAGCGATTACTAGTAGATGGGTATATCTACAGAGCACGACAAAAAAAGTCGTTCAAAAAAAGGACGACAAAAAAAGTCGTTCTTAAGTTAACTTTTTTTTCCATAACAAGGGGCCGTCCTCTGCCGGAAACACTGCGACCTGTGAGGCGTATTGTGTTTGTCCCTTTTCAATACTTGCACCCATTCTCCTATCCCTGTGCCCTGCACTAGCTTATGCAGGTCCTTGATAGGAGGGGAACATAGTTCCTCCGGTTCTAGCCTAGCTTTCCCAAATAAAAAGTGTCGCTTGCGATCCAGAGCCTCGCAATGACATATTATGTGTTTCACTGTTTCAGGATCTTTATCGCAGAGTCTGCAGCAAAGACTTCCTTGATAGAGGTTGAGCTTGTTCAGGTAATACTTGACAGCCATGTGTCCTGTCAAGAGGCCTGTTTTAATCCGCACTTTATTCCTGCTAAGCATTAGCAGTTCTTTTGAGGTTTTAGAGCTAGGTCCTTGGATAAAAGCCTTGCTGTGCGTGACTGTGGCCCTGTCTGTTTCTCTAATGGACATTCTGCTTTTCCCTGATCGAGAGTTTTAGTGCACTACGGCCATACATTTGGGTATTACAGACACTGGCTCTGGACCAAGATAAGATGCCAATGATCCCTGCCTAGCTAGCACATCGGCTTTTTCGTTGCCTTAAGTTAACTTGAGCAAAACATAACTTATAGGTAGGTACTCATATTTATATTTAAATCTTAATCTTATGGGTTCACGGTTTTATTAGAAGATTAATAATTTTAAAATTAGTGAAAACTTAATAGGTAGGTTACGGTTGGTTAGTTACAGTATGTCCCGGATTGTCCCCGGGTTATTGACATTTTCAGAAAAATATATTCTTCACAAAAATTTTTGTTTGTTCTAAAATGGTTTGTTCCTTTTATACTTTTCCAAATTGCCATACCGTTTTAGAGAAAATTACAAAAAA